TTCTTGTCTCTTTCTCCCAATCTCCCACCCTCCTGTTTTTTCGATTTCCCTTCCCTGCTTCCCTCCTTTCCACTCTCCAACCCATCCTCACACCCGTCCCTCGGCCATCTATTTCTCGTTTCTCCATCTCTCCCTCTGTCATCTGTATATCATGCTGGCACTGCCATTGGGCGGCGCTGCTGCCTCTGTGCTGCGTCTGCGCCCCACCCTTCCGCTGGGTTGCCGGCGCCGCTCACCTCCCGGTGCCTTCCGTGCCGCCCCGGCCCTCAGGCAATCGATGCGCTATCGGCTCCGCTGGCTACTTGCGGTCCGCAGGTGCCGTCATGGCCCGGGCCCCGGCCGGTCCCCTCCCACCACCCCGGCTCCCGAGGGGAGGGGGAGAGGGCGCACCAGCTGGCGCGGCGTCCGCCGGCCGTCGCCACCGTCGCGTCGGCAGACGGCTCCTCCGAGGCGCCGGGCTCCCAGGCTGGGGCGGCATGCGGGGCGTTCCCGCCGTCACGTCCACCCGCTGCTGGGCGGGCCGGAATGCAGCCGATGTGAGACCGTCTCCGTTTGCGGAGCGCGCCGCTCGCCGTGGGCCGATGCCAGGCGAGCCCAGCGAGGCATCGGCCCGCGCAGCGCTGTTGAACGGCTCGGCGGCGGACACGCCCGTCCGCCCCCCCCCCCCCCCCCGCCACCACCAGACTGATTGCGCTTGGGGACTATGACACTGAAGTGGTGTGCGGCAAGTCGATCGGCGAATAATGCACATGTCACGTCGATGCACGCCACAGTTCGGGGTCGGGCTCGGGTCGGATCGACCCCGCGGCCGGCCGGCTGCCGGTCCCGCTGGCAGGGAACGCCGGCGGCCCGCCGCCCGCCGCCCACCGGCAGCCACGCCCCGGCACCGCTCGGAGGTGCGCGGCTGGCCGGCGCCACCGGGCGGCGCGCGTTCAGCCGTCACTGGCCGGCCCTCCTCAGCTGGACGACTGCCGGAGCCACGGAGCGGGATTCGCACCATGAGCGGCGCAGTCGGCTCAGCCGTGGCGGCGGCCGGTCGTCTCAGGCGGTTCGCCGTAGCCAATTAGGCGCGAATCGTGCCGGAGCACGTCGTTGGGCGGCGGCGGCGGCGGAGGGCGCGCCCGCCCGCGGTCCGTCAGCCCGTTACGGCCGACGGTGTCGGTGACGTCACGGCCGCCGCCGCGCCGGGCCGGCCGGTCGCGCCGCCACCCCTATGACCGTGCATGGCCGGCGCGGCGTCCAGGAAATGCCGGCCGGCGCGCCCTGATGCGAGCGCACGGACCACGCGCCGCGCTGTGCGTCACCGGGCCCTGGTGGCGGCCGGCGGCCGGCCACCTTCGACCGAACGGCCCCAATCCCGGCCCGATCCGCGGCTGGTCAGATCCCATCCGGTCCGATGCGATGCGATGCTATTCAGTTAGGTCCGCTGCGCCGTGCGAAATACCACGTCTTCTCTTTTTAAGATAAACGAGTCCGAATGATGTCCATTGGTGGCTTTGTGCCCCCGAGTGCATACCGGGGAGAGCGGGTGAATGCCACTTTAGGCTGCAAATCCTGAATTCAGCCCTCAGGTAGCGCCTTTTTTAGGTGGACAAATACGGCCGGGCCGATCGGCCGTTTGGTCTGCTGCACTGCAGGAAGATATGTGTGGTGTCATGCAGGGATGTGACGCGATCGTTGTGTGCCGCGTTGATTCAGCTGACCGAATATATATGGTAAACGGTCAGGTCAGACGACTCTCTGTGTCTCTCTCTCTCAGGTCAAACGACTCGCTGTGTGTCTCTCTCAGGTCAAACGACTATGTGTCTCTCGCTCAGGTCAAACGACTCTCTGTGCCTCTCTCTCGGGTCAAACGACTCTCTGTCTCTGTCTCAGGTCAAACGACTGTCTCTGTCTCTGTCTCTTTCTCAGGTCAAACGACTGTCTCTGTCTCTGTCTCTTTCTCAGGTCAAACGACTCTGTCTCTGTCTCTTTCTCAGGTCAAACGACTCTCTGTCTCTGTCTCTTTTTCAGGTCAAACGACTCTCTGTCTCTGTCTCTTTGTCAGGTCAAACGACTCTCTGTCTCTGTCTCTTTTTCAGGTCAAACGACTCTCTGTCTCTCTCTCTCTTTCTCAGGTCAAACGACTCTCTGTCTCTCTCTTTCTCAGGTCAAACGACTCTCTCTCTCTCTCTCTCTCCTCTCTCTCTCTCTCTCCTCTCTCTCTCTCTCTCCCTCTCTCTCTCTCTCTCTCTCTCTCTCTCTCTCTCTCTCTTCCTCTCTCTCTCTCTCTCTCCTCTTCTCCTCTCGTCTCTCTCTCTCTCTCTCTCTACTCTCTCTGTCTGTCCTCTGTCTCTGTCTGTCTGTGTCTCTGTCTCTGTCTGTCTATGTCTCTGTCTCGTGTCTGGCTGTCTCTGTCTCTGTCTCTGTCTCTGTCTCTGTCTTGTCTCTGTCTCTGTCTCTGTCTCTGTCGTCTCTGTCTCTGCTCTGTCTCTGTCTCTGTCTCTGTCTCTTCTGTCTCTGTCTCTGTCTCTGTCTCTGTCTCTGTCCTGTCTCTGTCTCTGTCTTGTCTCTGTCTCTGTCTCGTCTCTGTCTCTGTCTCTGTCTCTGTCTCTGTCTCTGTCTCGTCTCTGTCTCTGTCTCTGTCTCTGTCTCTGTCTCTGTCTCTGTCTCTGTATCTGTCTCTGGTCTCTCTCTCTCTCCTCTCTCGCTCTGTCTCTGTCTCTGTCTCTGTCTCTGTCTTGTCTGTCTCTGTCTCTGTCTCTGTCTCTGTCTCTGTCTCTGTCTCTGTCTCTGTCTCTCTGTCTCTGTCTCTGTCTCTGTCTCTGTCTCTGTCTCTGTCTCTGTCTCTGTTCTGTCTCTGTCTCTGTCTCTGTCTCTGTCTCTGTCTCTGTCTCTGTCTCGGTCTTGTCTCTGTCTCTGTCTCTGTCTCTGTCTCTGTCTCTGTCTCTGTCTCTGTCTCTGTCTCTGTCTCTGTCTCTGTCTCTGTCTCTGTCTCTCTCTGTCTCTGTCTCTGTCTCTGTCTCTGTCTCCTGTCTCTGTCTCTGTCTCTGTCTCTGTCTCTGTCTCTGTCTCTGTCTCTGTCTCTGTCTCTGTCTCTGTCTCTGTCTCTGTCTCTGTCTCTGTCTCTGTCTCTGTCTCTGTCTCTGTCTCTGTCTATGTCTCTGTCTCTCTCCTCTCTCTCTCTCTCTCTCTTCTCTCTCTCTCTCTCTTCTCTCTCTCTCTCTCTCTCTCTCTCTCTCTCTCTCTCTCTCTCTCGCCGCCCTCGGTCGGAACGGGCGCTTTTAAAAAACCATGTTCTATATTTTCCCTTCGTCGCAAGTCCCTTTACAACTGTCACCTGCTGTCGGACCGCAAGGCAAAACAGTCAGGGTGGGACTATTACCAGGTCGCCAGTGTATCACTTGGGCTATGTAAGCAAGCGTTATTTTGGTTTGAGACGGTAAATGACGCAATATATCAACATGCTGTTGCAGGATAACAAAACAAGGCCCTTGCCTGCCTTCATGATGTGGCCTGCTAGTGGTTATCACCGTCACGTCCTGGCGAAATCTGCAACTTCTCTGTTTTGAATGAAATCGGATATCTGTAACGCAATCAAAATGGATTGTTTTAGCGGGACCGCGAGGCGTAGAGCAACGTTTGCAGACGCCCGAAGCGCCGTTGAGATGTGTTGAGTCCCAGCCATATCACCCAGCGGGCGGTTTTGCGCCAGCCTGGCATCTGTGCCTGGTGTCCGTGCCGCGGCAGATACGGTCTTTCTTGCCCGGACGTCGGCGCGGTGAGGCGGGGCGGCCTCTCGGACGGGTACCTCACGGCCGGGCTGCTGACCACGTGCCGCTTCTTACACACCGGTCCGGATGGGGTTGGCCTCTCGTCAGTGGTTGTGCCTCGCACCGGACTGGGACGCAGCCTGCGCCATTAAGGTCGATGCGGTCCTTCCGTGGCTCGCTTGTCTGTTGACACCTCCGTGTCGAGAGCTGGCTGTCGCCCCGTATAGGCTCGTCTGTGACAGGTGTACTAGGGGATGACGCCGGTCTTGACCCCCAAAAGCTGGCGGATTGCGCTGTCGGACGGCGTGCATTGCGCAGTCCTTTGATGCTGCTCGGATCAGAGTATCTCTTGATCAGCGACAACTCTGTTGATCTTGATCGGGCCCCCAGAACTCGCTTGCATCGCGCTGGTATGCTGTTCCTTCTGGGCTCAGTTAGGTTCATGGCAGCCATACGATGGCCCGTAATGGTTCGTTAGCGTGCATATTTCTTGCGCGCCATCTGCTAACGATGTCATGGTTTGGCGTTCTGGCTGTAGTCTAGTATGCCGGGCAAGTCATGCGCCATTCCATCTACCTGTGTTGTTTTTGCAGCGATAATGCATACATCCGTGACGGTGCCCTGAGTCGCCCAGGAACTCTCAGCAAGAGTTATCAGAGTTACCAGTCGCCTTCACTGGAATCGGGCGTGATCGGTGTTAGGTGCTTGCTCAGATTGCGCTGTCGGCCCATAAATCTATCGTGTTAGCAGCGAATGATGTCAGTAGCCGACCAGTTGTATGCCAGGAGAAAGACATCAAAGTAGCGCCGTCGCCGAAACGCGTCACATTTCATCCTGGCCGTGCGCGAGAGAGCCGTTCGAACACCTACATATGCGATGTGCTGGAGCTATATCACGTCCAAGACGGTCCAAGCCGGCGTGGCTGTTGGGCCAATGAAGAGCGTCAATGTTTCGTGTTCCGCTGCTGCGCGGCGCGAGTTCGGTGCAACGATGAGATGATCTCATGGTCTCATCACTCACTTCATCTCATGGCCTCATCTCAGCACGCGACATGGTGTGGGTTTCCAGCTTCCAACGCCTTGTTCGGAGTTGATTTGAGTTGTGCACTTTGTTATTGGATGGTTTCCATGTTTTGAAGGTGCGTTGTCCCGTCCCCCATCCCTGCGACGGTGGTTGGGCCTCCCCGGGCCGGCAGCTGTGCGCGCGCCGTGGCCATTCTCTGATCTCCGTCATCCACCCGTGCTGCAGCTGAAGTCTCCGGGCCGCACCCTCTTCGACATGGTCTGCAAGCACCTGAACCTGCTGGAGACGGACTACTTCGGCCTGGAGTACGTCGACCCGCAGGGAGTCAAGGTGAGCCGGCGACGGCGGCGGCGGCGGCTGGCCGGTCGCCCGCCGTCGCTCGCCACCCGTCTGGCCGGGGCGGTGAGAGATCGCGCCGCCGCGGGACGGCAGGCCGCCGTCGCTGACAGATCACGTGACGTCGCCGGCGACGACCGACGTCGTTGCTGACGGCAGGCGCCTCCGCCGGACGGCAGCCACGGTGTGTGGCTGACTCCGTCCACCCGATCAGACTACACACACGTGACTCCGGCCACCCAATCACAGTGCACACCCGTGACTCCGTCCACCCGATCAGACTGTACACACGTGGCTCCGGCCACCCAATCAGGCTACACACACGTGACTCCGACCACCCAATCACAGTTCACACCCGTGACCCCGGCCACCCGATCAGACTACACTCACGTGGCTCCGGCCACCCAATCAGACTGTGCACTCGTGGCTCCGGTCACCCCATCAGACTACACACACACACATACACTCCGGCCACCCAACATGACCGCACACGTATGAAGTGGTTGTGGCCTGAGGGGGTAGTTATTGGTGTGTTATATCGTGTCGACTGCAAAGACCGTTTTACGCCGGGTAGTCAGCTATAGCGACACGACTAGTGTCTGGTGAACGGGTGCGTTTATACGCCTGTCCTGGCCGTTCTCACGGTTTGTGTATTGACGTTCGACTCTTGAAGCAGACCCAAGCGCTGGCATCCGAGCGCCCCTGGAGTTAGCTGGTGCGATGCCGAGCCGTCCGTCACTTACCAAAGCTCATCAGCGTGGAATGGATTCGCCCTCCGTGCTGGTCAATCTTCTCTCACGCACGATTTGTATCTGAGCAAAGAAGATGGTGCAAGCGCGGTTTTATCGTGCATGATTCTGAGATCAGGAGTGCAGCCAGAGGGACGTCACCCTTTCCCCTTAGGTCTAGATTTATTTCGTTTTTCACAATACATGACTCTCGTCAGAAAGTTGAAGATCAGTGTGATGCGTAATCACCAAGGTTGGTCCTCCCCCCACACCCCAATTAAGAAAATTTTGGCTGCGCCCCTCTGTGATGGCGTACATTAACGCGTAAGCGTGACCGTGGTGGGCATTAGCACCAAGGAGCTCGCAATTTCGCGCTCACTTTCCCCGTGCTGCTAATTTGCCAAAAGTGAGAAACATTTATATTGAGATAATGGACGGGGAGCGTAGAGAGCATTATGACTCTTCTTTTTGGTATGTGGGCCAGAGTGTGCGAGAGATAGCCGCGGCAGATAGCGCTGTGAAAGTGTGTCAGAGTGCGGCATAGGCCGGGCTCGGCGCTCGCAGACCGGCCGTATCTGCGCGCGGATCGTCAACCGTCCGTCGCGCGGCCAGCGGCGCCCGCCGGGGACCGCGCCGTGCGTCTGGAGCGGCGCCGACAGCCGGTGGCGGCCGCGTCTGGTGCTGGTATCAGGCGCTCCGAGGGTCGACGCCCCTGGGCCGGCCGTCTCCGGCGCGCTGTTTGTTTGCTTGGGGCGAGCCGTGGACGACTGACAGGCGGAGACGGCCGGCCGGCGCGCCCACCGCTACAGACAGACAGGGGCTGACGTTCTCACCCGTGCAGACAGGCGGGGTGCTGACGTTCTCACCCGTGCAGACAGGCGGGGTGCCGACGTTCTCATCCGTGCAGACGGACGGGGTCGGACGCTGTCACATGTGCATATAGACCGACGAGGGCCGACCGTCTCACCCGTGCTGACAGCCGGCGGTGACGTTCTCGCCCCTGCAGACAAATAGGAGCCGACGTTCTCACCAGTCCGAACGTCTGAGTGAGGCGTGCGGACTGGTGAGGCTGGTCTGCACGTGAGGGGACGGCTGGCGTGCCCACCGAATCGAAACGGACATTTTTAGGAACGGTTGCTCCGCCCAGGTCTGGCAGGACTGAGCGTAGCGACAGCGTACCCCGCCGCGGGGTTCCCCAGGTGCGATGGCGACTGTGGCGTGCTCACCTCGGTTCTCCAGCTGCATGGTGGCCGGGTGTAGTCTCGTGCGGTGTGTCGGCATGGCGGCCGAAGCCGTCGCCGGTCGGTGAGCGTCCAGACGTCGGTGACCTGCGCTGACGACCGAGTAGACCTGACCTGGCTTCACGACTGACGACCTGACCTGGCTTCGCCGGGCTGCTGCGCTGCTGGCGGAGCGTGTGCGGCTGGCCGGCGGACCGTTCGCACGCCGCGGCCGGCAGCGCTGTCGGGGCCCGTAGCCGCGGACGGCTGCGCCTGGTCGTGGCCCGCACTGACCCGAGCTCAGCTGACCCGTGTCTCCGTGTCGGCAGTTCTGGCTGGACCTGGAGCGGCCGATGAGTCGACAGATCGCCCTGACGCTGGCGCAGCCGATTCTCTGGTTCTGCGTCAAGTTCTACACGCCCGACCCGGCCCAGCTGGAGGACGAGTTCACGCGCTACCTCTTCTCGCTGCAGGTCAAGCGTGACCTGTCGCAGGGCCACCTGCAGTGTAACGACAACACGGCCGCCCTCATGGCCAGCTATATCATACAGGGTGAGCAGCGCCGGACGCTGGCCTGGAACGAGCGGGGGTGGACGGGAGGGGCCGGGAGTGAGGCGACTGGGCGGTCGTGGTGGCCCTCCGCCGCCGCACCGAGTGGGGTGGGTCTGCCGGCGCCGCTGACGGCAGCGGTGCGTCTCCCCGCCGGTCTGAGCCGTCGCGGGCTTGTCGCGTTATCTGTCGGCGAACGCCATCGCCCGCCTTCCGCACCGACCGGGGCGGCCAGAAATGGTCGGGATTGCCGCTGGTGGCTGGAGTGTGTCGATGTCACCGCTTTAAAACACGGTTTGACGGTGGCCGGGGAGGCCGGCGGCTAGGGCGTGTTGGTGGTACGGCTTTAAGACACGGTTTGACGGTGGCCGAGGAGGCCGGCAGTTAGAGCGTGTTGGTGATACGGCTTTAAGACACGGTTTGACGGTGGCCGAGGAGGCCGGCGATTGGAGTGTGTTGGTGGTACGGCTTTAAGACACGGTTTGACGGTGGCCGAGGAGGCCGGCGATTGGAGTGTGTTGGTGGTACGGCTTTAAGACACGCTTTGACGGTGGCCGAGGAGGCCGGTGGGCCGCTCAGCCCAGCATTGGCAGCTATGGGAAGGACTGGGATTACGCCTCTTCCCTCTGTCCTTAGTTTTATAGTTTCCACAACGATAACAGATACAGATACAGAGATGGCATTGGTCCCTGAAATCGGGCTCTTACAAGACGGTCTTAAACAAGCCTACCTGCTCACCTTACTCTCATTTGTCTTTGTTGGCCAATGTCGGGGGATCTTTTGGCCAGCTTCCACGAGACTACATAGGGCAGTGCTCGTCCAAAGCAGGTGTCATCGCTTTCACCAGCCAGGTTGGGGATACGCGTTTGTGTATGTTCTGGTAGGCTGTCCTCGACCATTCAGGACCTGCTTCCAGTGTAAGCATGTATGACGGCCTAGGCCCGCTCCGGGCCTGGCGGCCGGCCAGTGATGTTGCGGCCAGCGAGCGCAGCTCACATCTGGCTGCAATTCACTGCAAATAAACGGGCCGCCGCAGGTGAGCGGCGGCCCGACCGGGATCAAGATATACACACACACGCGCGCGCGCACGCACGCACGCACGCACGCACGCACGCACGCACGCACGCACGCACGCACGCCGCTCTGTTGGGGCGGCAGCAGGACAACTCGCGCCACCTGTCATAGCGAGGCTGTGCGGATCCAGCGACCACGCAGCGCTACCTCGCGCGCGCGCCACGCGGCTCCGTGATTTGTTGCGGTGATCTCGCTGATAAAAAGCTGGAGGCCATGTATCTGTCATCTGATGAGCCGGCGTATTTGTAAAGGCCGTGATGAACGTCATGGCGCCGCGGTGTGTTTTGTGTTAGTTCTGCCGGGGGCGTGATGAGCTCTACAGTCCAGCACCAGCTGGCAGAGGGGTGGAGCATGCACGGTGGACACGTCGCCGCACGCGGCTTTTACTGCGCTGCTTCTGCTGCGTTCGTCAAACTAGTCGGCCTGTCCCCGCAGCTTACTAAGACGTTCTGCCGCCGCCGCCCGGCCAGTTCTGGGAAAAGCCTTGAGCGTGGTGGGAAGTTTTTTTCCGTGAAGCGTCGTGCTTGAAATGGACGACATAGGACTTGTTGCACGTACGTTCCACGCGACTTGGGATGGGGCTTTCCCGCTCGGCTCGTGCTGGCATTGTGGCAGCCTCCGCCATTGGTCCGGAGAGGGCGGCAGATACTGCCAGAGATCTGCGCTCGGCAAATGCCATAGCGGAGTTTGAGTTGTCAGTATCGACATATAGATGCGAAGTCAAGCCAGTCTGTCGTAATGTAGACTGGAGCTTTACTGCTCACCGTCCACGGATGGATAGGGCTGAGCTGGTCTGTGGTTACGCTGGCCGCGTCCGGTGTATGCACCCACCCGTACCAGTGCCGCTTCTCAGTCCGTGCAGCTCCGCCGACAAAACAGTGGCTCAAGTCTGGTAAACGTCACTTTGCCGTTTGGTTGGGGAAGCCGGGCTGCACTTTGACTGCGGCCCGATAGATGCTACGACGGCGGCGCATCGGCCAGCCGGAGCGCCCCCGTCCGATAGCGCCCCGTCCACAGTGCAGCTCCCGTCGGAGGGCTGGGTCGGAGGTCGGTCCGGTCCACAGAGCAGCTCCTGTCGGAGAGCTGGGGCGGAGGTCGGTCCGGTCCACAGAGCAGCTCCCGTCGGAGGGCTGCGGTGGAGGTCGGTCCGGTCCACAGTGCAGCTCCCGTCGGAGGGCTGGGGCAGAGGTCGGTCCGGTCCATAGTGCAGCTCCCGTCGGAGGGCTGGGGCGCCGGTCAGGAGCAGAAGTCGGCCTGGCCACCTCTGCTCTACCGGCCGGTCGCCACTCATCGAAGCGGTGGTGGCTGCGGGCGGAACTAGGCAGGGCTGCCGGCGCTCTCCGCCCGTGTGGCGTACCCCGCTGGGCCACCACGCGCCGGTTTCCGGTGTCAGCGCGCTCGGTTCAGCGCGCGGCTCACTCGGCCGCCACGCACTCGCTGCGCGTGCAGCCGCCGTCCGTCAGCGCGCGCCGACCGACGCCGGCCTGGGGTGGCCGCGGCCCGACGCCACGTCCAGAGCCGATCTCGCTCGCCACTCGAGCTGGTGCACCGGGCCTGCGCACCACTGTGACCTCCGTCAGCGCGCGCTGACCGATGCCGGCCAGGGGTGGCCGCGGCCCGATGCCACATCCAGAGCCGATCTCGCTCGCCACTCGAGCTGGTGCACCGGGCCTGCGCGCCACTGTGACCTCCGTCTGCCGCGGCCGGTAAAGCTGCAGGCCTGCGTGACGACAGGCAGCTGGCGCGGACCAGTGCTCCGTGGCAGGCGGCAGAGCGGTTCCGTGACTGGCAGTGACAGACCACCGAGACCGGTTGGGAGCTGTGAGCGCCGATCAGCAGCGGGGCCGCGGGACAGCTGATGCCCGCTGTGTCCCCTGCCGCCGGTCGCTCGGCGCGGCTCGTCGAGGCGGCCCGAGGCGGCCTCGACGTGCACCGCCGCCAACCGGATGCGGGTTTTTAGTGGCGCGCGGGGCGCGTCTGAAGAATGCCGTCACCCCGGTCCGCTCCTTATGCACTTGGCGCCGCGGTTTGTCCAATTACTCCGGAGACAGATGTGTGCGTCGCCCAGCTGCGCGTGGCCATTAGTCGCGTGGGGAGCGTGCCGTCTGGCCCGCCTGCTCCTCTCCCGCGTCGTCCGGGCGTGCGACACGTACGTTGGCCGGGGCTCGGCGGGGGAGGGGGGGGGGGGATGCGCGGCTATCGGCCCGCTCAGGTGCGGTCGGATCCCGTCTGTCCCACCAACGCCGCCGCTGCCGCCGCTCCGCCCCGTCTGTTGGGCCGGGCGGTCGCGGCACGGCGAGACACGTGCGTGCGTCACCATTTCAGCCGCCGGGGCGCGCGCCATACGCGTGTTTAGCCAGGTGTTGCTGGTCTTTGTCTGTCGTCGGTGGGCGCACGTCAGCGCAGCCCACGTGACCGCCGCACCGGCCATCACCGTCCAGGCGGCGGACGGCGTGTAGGACGCTTCACCCAGCTTCGCCCGGCACGGGAATGGGTTCGACAGCCCCGTCTGGCCGAAACATCCGGTAAGGAGAAGGCCGTCTCTCTCCTTCCCAACGCCAACAACAAATTGGCCGGGAGTGGCCCGTAACGCCTGGCCTATTTATTTGCCGCCCGACGCCCGACCTTGGTGTTAATGTCTGGACACGTCGGTGACAGCGCTCTGCGTACAATGCAAGCCGTTTGTCAGCGCGGCCCGACGGCGACTGGATGTCGTCTTCAAACCATGGCGGCCGCGGTTGGAATTGCCGCGTAGGCCAGAGTGTGCGTTACTGGGTGGCGCCGGAAGGCTGGGGTGCTCGTGGCTGGGCGTGCCCGGCAGGCTGAGCCGGTGGGTAGTCGAGGTCGGACGGCCGCTGCCGGTCCGAGTACCCGTGCCCGTACGGCTCTCCTCGACTGAGGTGCCCGTGACTGGCTGTCGCGTGCCGGCGGGAGGGGCCGTGATTAGATGACCTGTGTGGGCCGGAGTACCGGCGATTGAATGCAGCGGCGTCGGGTCCGACCGGCGGCCGGGGCGCGGCGCTCGCCGCTGACGGATCGGCCGTCGCGGTGCCGTCGGCCGGCGCTGATGCATGGCCGCCGGGTGGCCGATCTGGCCCGGGCGCCGGCGCCGCTGGCCCGTCTCGCGCCACCGGTGGTGGGCTGTTGCTTTGGCGGGAGGCCGGCCTCCTGCCGAGCGGTGGTTGGGTCCGCTCCGCTGACCGCTGGCTGAGAATCCCCCCCCCCCCCGTTTTACGACCTGAAAACCTGGTGGGACGCGGGTAGATATGGGTGTTGTTTAAGTGGTGAACTCGTTTGTTTTTGCGGGAGCTAAAGCTGGGTGTTTGAACTGTCGAACGGCCGGTGTATGTTTGCTGTGCTGCTAAACGTGCCGTGTCTATGTCCTGCGGCTACGGCTGGAGTGGTCGTGTGGTATTTTCTGCCAAGTTATTTCGCGTTGTATTTGCTCAGTCGAGGACGACGTTCTGCCAGCTCTTGTTTGCTCTTCTTTGTTCCCGTGCTTGCCACACAAAAGACAATTCTCTCTCTTCTTATATGGCATCGCCTGTTCGCTGCAGCCAAGCGTAGAACCTTCCAGACCGATCGTAAACGTTGTAGTATGCGTGTCATTTGGGCACGGCTGCCTACTCGGTCGGATCATGCGTTCTCTCCTGTCATGGCCAACCGTGCTGACCTGATGCAAACTCATGCAATTATCACTCTCCTTGTCCTGCGGCAGTGTGTCTGCCCCTCCTGTGGGAGCCGTAACTATCCTCTACCAGCTGCTCCTGCTCTGCCCCCGCTGACCCGTGGTTGTGTGTGGGTGGGTGTGTAGCCGTGACCGGCCGCGGAAAGTGGCGTGCGTGGCGGCACCGCGTCACCGGCCGCTGCACCGTTGCCCCGCAGCCGAGTGCGGCGACCTCCAGCCGGACGAGTGCCCGGACCACTCGTACCTCAGCGCGTGCAAGGTGGTGCCCGGCCAGGACGCCGATGTGGAGCGGCGCATCATGGAGTCACATCGCCGCCTGGTGGGCCAGACGCCGGCGGAGGCCGACCTCAACCTGCTGGAGACGGCGCGCCGCTGCGAGCTCTACGGCATGAAGATGCACCCGGCCAAGGTGAGAGCCACGGCAGCGCGGGAGCGTCGGGCCCGCGGCGGCCATGGACCTGGCCGAGGTGAGAGCCACGGCAGCGCGGGGGCGTCGGGTGCGCGGCGGCCATGAACCTCGTCAAGGTGAGAGCCACGGCAGCGCGGGAGCGTCGGGCGCGCGGCGGCCATACACCCGGCCGAGGTGAGAGCCACGGCAGCGCGAGAGCGTCGGACGCGCGGCGGCCATGGACCCCGTCAAGGTGAGAGCCACGGCAGCGCGGGAGCGTCGGACGCGCGGCGGCCATGGACCCCGTCAAGGTGAGAGCCACGGCAGCGCGGGAGCGTCGGGCGCGCGGCGGCCATGGACCTGGCCGAGGTGAGAGCCACGGCAGCGCGAGAGCGTCGGACGCGCGGCGGCCATGGACCCCGTCAAGGTGAGAACCACGGCAGCGCGGGAGCGTCGGGCGCGCGGCGGCCATGGACCCCGTCAAGGTGAGAGCCACGGGCAGCGCGAGAGCGTCGGACGCGCGGCGGCCATGGACCCCGTCAAGGTGAGACCACGGCAGCGCGGGAGCGTGGGCGCGGCGATGAGGGGGAGAGCCACGGCAGCGCGAGAGCGTCGGACGCGCGGCGGCCATGGACCCCGTCAAGGTGAGAGCCACGGCAGCGCGGGAGCGTCGGGCGCGCGGCGGCCATGCACCCGGCCGAGGTGAGAGCCACGGCAGCGCGAGAGCGTCGGACGCGCGGCGGCCATGGACCCCGTCAAGGTGAGAGCCACGGCAGCGCGGGAGCGTCGGGCGCGCGGCGGCCGTGCGGCGGCTGCAGGCGGCGCTCCGCGGCCGTGGCAGGTGGAGTTGGCTAGTCAGCTGTGTGTGGCCGGCCGGAGAAGTGAGGGAGGTCACTGCAGGGTCTGACAAGGGTCGCCACACTGCGCCGTGTGGAGCGCCGGCCGCCGACCCCTGCTCCGCCGCCACCTCCCGTTGCTGCGCCATGCCCGTGGCCCCCGTGTCGGAGACGCGGCCGTCGATACTGTCGGCTGACGCCGCCGGCGTTGGTGTCGGCCCAGCCAGTCCTTGACTCTGTCGGCTCCGACAGGACCACGAGGGTGTCCCGCTGAACCTGGCGGTGGCCCATATGGGCATCGTGGTGTTCCAAAACTATTACAAGATCAACACTTTCTCCTGGGCCAAGATCCGCAAGCTGTCGTTCAAGCGGCGTCGCTTCCTCATCAAGCTGCACCCGGAGGGACACGTAAGTGGCAGAGGAGACTGTGTTAGAGCGCTCAGAATGCCGAAGTCATCGTCCGAATGAAGCGGAGTTCAGTCCAGATGTGTTTTGCAAGCGGAATCGATCCGCGGTGAAAGTGTCTTTGCGGCGCGCGCGATCGCCGTCGGCACGCCCATGGCGGTCTTCTCGCACGCCGGCTGATGTCAGAAGCGGGAAGACCGTCCGTCGTAAGTGGCGATGGCATTGCCGACCTCGATCAGTGTGCTTTGGATCATCGGACAAACACTGCGCCGCCGGGTTCCATGGCAAAATCGCAATGGTACTCTCGAGGGAAGATGGAAAATCCCGGAGCCGTTCGCCGTGAACCCCCGGGCCTCGCCGCAGCCGCCGGCCGCCCATGCTGGATCATACCTACTGTTCACTGCTGCCTCCGCGTTGCTAACGGTGGAAGTAGCGGTGAATAGCGTGCATGGCCTGCCGGGGGCCGGTGAGGGCCGGCGGGAAGCCCGCGACACTATTAGACGCGTTAGGGGCCGCTGGAGTTGGGTGACGCAGAGGCAGCACGTGCGCACACGCACTCGCACACCGAACGCGCCTGGTGACGCGCCTGCTATGTTCGCTGCGTGCGCTTGGCGCGGGGCGCGCGGACGGGCCCGCCGCCCCGCTCACGGTGTGCGCCGCCGCCGCTGTCGGCCCCGCCCACCTGAACTGATGTCGTGTTGGCTTGTTTTGCCGGCGCTCCCCACCAGACGGAGGTACAGTGAGCCGCGTGACGCATGCGGGAGCTCTGTGAACCCTCTGGCCCTCGCCTTCTGTCGGCCGGTGTGATGCCGGCACTCCCGGAACGGCTCCCCTGCCCTGCTCGATTATCCCTTGAGTGTCGGCCGGTGCCTGCGTGGTGCGTGTGGCCGCGGAGGCAGGCGGCACGGCTGGCTGGCGTTGGTCGGATGGCTTGGAATGGCCTGGAATGCGGGAACACTCTGAAACCTGCTTGCTTAGTTGGGACATTCCGGTGCAGTGCGAGTTATTTACTGGCATACTTTATGTAAGTCGTCCTTTGCGGAAAGCTTCCAGCACGTTATACCTTTTCGTGAGGGTAGTGTGATGTATGCCTGAAACAAAACCATGGCCCAGGCTCCCTCGGGCCTTCTGCCGCATTCCCACTCATTCCGCACTCTTCTCTTGGACAGGTTGGAGAAAGTTTTAAACCTTTTAAACCTGTCCTACTCGGCGGTGCTCGTTTTCCAATCACCCACAAGTGTCGCACGATAGCACGGTGAGTTACTTTTGTGGAAGTCGTGAACATACCCCTTCTTGCTCCTCGCAGTGCCCATGGCAGCAACAAACCTGCATTGTATGGACGTTTACTCTGCAGTTACAAGCTGCATATGGTCTGCCATCTCCGTTCACACGTTTCTGTCTTGTCATGTGTGTGTGTGTGTGTGTGTGTGTGTGTGTGTGTGTGTGTGTGTGTGTGTGTGTGTGTGTGTGTGCTGTGCGTGCGTGCGTGCGTGCGTGCGTGCGTGCGTGCGTGCGTGCGTGCGTGCGTGCGTGCGTGCGTGCGTGCATGCGTGCGTGCGTGTGTGTGTGCGGCGGGTGGCTACTCCGCACGCCTCCGCCGCGTGGCGTCATCTCTGCTGGCTAGACCCCGTGTGCTGCTCAAACGGCAGCTGTGCGGCTCGAACGCCGGGACCCGGGCTCGCTGGTGATGACCCCGTCCCACGGGTGTTGGGACGCGCGGAACTCATGCGGAGGTGTTTCGTATTCCACGCGACTTTCACCGTCCGTGCACGGCTGTCCGGTGACGCTCGCTGCTTCTCCTTATACCCTGGGTGTCTGGCACCGAAACTTTACTGATGTGACCTCTTATTTTACGCAGCAGATTGTGGAGTATGTTTGTCAGGTCTTGTGTGATCGTTTTATGTCCGAGCATGTGAAATTTTCCTCTTCTGTGGCTGCTTATACCGGCATCATACTGTGCTTCCAGTAACATTTCCTTAGACTAATTGAATTTGATCCATTTTCGTAATTAACGCAATATGTGTGAGGTCTGCCTTCCGCGACCCGGGGCATGAGCAGCCGCGTCCGCGTCTGACGCTCTGCAGTGTGGGGCCGATGCGGCGGCCCTGACCGGCGTCAGGCGTGCCGGTCGGGCGTGTCTGGTATGCCGAGCCCCGTGTCATCGACGTCGGCGGCCCGTCGCCACCCCGCTGAGCTCTGCCCCCGCCACCCGCCACCGGGGCCTGGCCGGCGGCGTCTCACCGCCCCCGCGTCCGCCGCCGCCGACTGCGGTCTATTTCGGCCGGGTCGGCGGCGGCGGCGGCGGCGGCGGAGGCGGACGTGGCGGCGGCGTCAGCGTCAGCGTCGGCGGCCGTTTTAGGCGAGCTGGCGCCGCCACGCGTGCGTGCCCCAGCCGAGCGGCGGACCGGCGTGTTGCGGCGGCGGCTGGCGTCCGGCCAGCCGCCGCCGCTGTTGCTGCCGGCGCTGCTGCAGCCGCCGCTCGGTCGGCCGTGCTGACGGCAGCCCGATGACGGCTGGGCCGTTCGCCGCGTATTGATTGGGCGTGGCCGGCCGCCGGGGCGCGCCACGTGCGGCCACCGGCCGCGCTGTCCGCTGACCGATCCCCCGGCGCCAGCGAGCAGCCGAACTGGCCGCTCCGGTGTGGCTCCGGTGTGGCGGGTGAACGCCCACCGCTGGCGGCGTCGGTGGCGACTGATGGGACCAGAACCCCGCGGACCGATCGAGACACGAGCTGCACCGCCGGCTGTAGACGGTGGCGGGCCACTCGCTCTGGCGCGGCCTGGCCCGGCGCGGTGTCGCCAAGCCTCGGCCCGGCCGGTGCGCACAAAGGCGGGCCTGTGCTGCGGCCGGCCGAGTCGAGCGCGGCCGGCTGACACGGCCCGACCAGCCACCGTGCGACAGGCCGGCGCGACGCCCGCAGACGATGCCGCCGAAGCGCAACGTGCTGGCACAGGCACTCGCGGGGTGGGGGGGGGGGGGGGCCGACACTCTGTGGAGACGGCTCCGACGCATCTCTTGGGTCTCGGGGACTTTCGCCCCCGCCCGCCGCCGACTCCGCCCGCCGGCATCGCTCCTCGGCGTGGGCGGGTGGCATTCACCGAGGCACGTCAGGTCCCTGCAGCCCTCGGCCGCAGTTCCCTCGACTCCCTTCAGCGTGCCCAAACCTTACCCAGACGCCGGCGAACCGTGGCAGGTCACTGTCCTCGGCTTGCCCGCCACGGCCTCAAAACCTGTCGCCGAGCCCCAGTGGTGTCGCGCTGCTGCCGCCCGGTCGGCGGGGCAGAGGCTCCGCCTGAAGCCGGCCGTCGGGGGAGCGCGGCCGCCGCGGTTCGGCTCGTTTCGAGGAGACGGCGGCGGTCGTTCCGGGCCGCTCTCAGACCAGGTGACGTTTATTGTCGGTCCGAGCTCCGCGCTGTCCACCACATAGTTGGCCGCTGACTTAGATGGTGATTACACGCTCCCGGGCTGTACGTCTGCCAGGCTGTTGGCCGTTGACGCCATTGTGGGGTCGTGAGGTCCCTTGCCGGGACTGCTGTGGCTTTCTGGTGTGTTAATGTCGCCGAGGCGGCGTCCCGACCTTACCGCTCCCTGCTGGCTTTCAGGGCTACTACAAGGATACGGTGGAGTTTTTCTTCGAGACGCGCAACTACTGTAAAAACTTCTGGAAGAAGTGTGTGGAGCACCACGGCTTCTTCCGCTGCATGGACGTGTTGAAGCAGAGCCGGTCCAAGCCCCGCGTCATCCCCCGCGGCAGCTCATTCAGGTGTGCTGGGCGCGGCCCGCCGTCCCGCCGGCCGGGGCTGGAGTCGGGGTCAGGGTCCGCTGACGCCGCTGCCGTCGCCGGGTTCCGCACGCTCCGGCGCGGGGTGTCGGCAGAGTGGGAGCAGCTGTGTGACATGCTCTGCGGCTCGGGAGAGGGTGCTCTGCGGCCGGACTGTCCTGCCCGTGGGTGCCGACGTCTTGGATGCGCTTGCAATCTGAACGGCGTGTCATGCGATGGCAGAACGTACAAGCTGAGCGGGCACAATCATGCATCGGAGTTTTCGTTCTCCGCAAAGTACAAAACAGAATAGTTGGCATGGCTTGGTTCCTTTTGCAAACATGCTGACAGAACTGCAGTTCGACGCAGCACATTGTTCTCGTGCATTCGTGGTTTTTGTTTTACCTTTACTGTTGTTCGCCTAAAAGGATTAGAGCATTGACGTCAAATGCCTCCTGGTAAAGGCCACGCGAACTGATGCTTGTCAGTCTGGGTTGTTGCGCGATAAGGACCGTCCCCGTTCACATGTTTGGCTGAGGGCATGGGGAAAGTCGCGTCGCTGTTCGGCGCTCTTCCCCGTCCGTCCTGCAGCGCTCCGACACGTCCGACACACTGCGGACGTGCCGCGCCGTGCCGTGCCGTGCCGTGCCGTGCCGCGCCGTACCGTATCGCGTCGTGTGCCGTGCCGTGTCGTGCCGCCGCTGACCGGGCCCATCGCTCCCAGGTTCAGCGGCCGCACCCAGAAGCAGATGATCGAGTACGTCCGCGAGAACTACGTTAAGCACCAGGGCTTCAACAGGTGGGTGTGTGGCCCGACCGAGCGGGAGGCAGCACCTGGCAGACTCGGCGGGCGGTCGCACTGGCCCACAGCAGCCTTGGGGAGGCGCGGCTCGTCTGTATGGCCACAAGGAAGCTGAATTGTCCGTGCTTTTAGTGTTGAAAGTTTGGTTGAAAATGGTGCGTGTAATGGGCTTTCATTTGGATGACAATGAGGGCATAGTGACTGAACCATCAGATCATGATATGGTTTGTTTGGTTTTTAGTATATTCATTCCGGCTCGGTGTTTTGCTAGCGAAATGCAGTTAAGCTGTGAATTGTTATTGAAATGACAGCGCTGAATGGGTAAACGTGGAATTGGCATGTCATATGTAGTTGCATGTGTGGCTTTTCCATATCACTGTTACCGAAAAAGAGCGGTAGGTGCACTGCTACCAGACGTAGTGGTGCTAATGAAAGACTTAACTAATAGAAGACACATGTTTTGAATCCCCCACGAGCGGAATGGTCGTATTATTGAAGGATCGTGGCATGCCTGTGCAGGTCAGTAAGTATGTGGTAACACACAGAAGCCTTAGGTGTCGGCAGCTCGGAAGGAGCGTAAGGAGCGGCTTCCGCGGCACCCTGTCGCGGAAGCTGACTGTGCGGGTGTCGCGTACCGTGTGCCTCCGTGAGTGCCGCCTCCCGAGCGTGTGCCGTGCTCAGGGGCCCCGGCCAGTGGAGAGCCGCCAGTCTGGCCGCCGGCCCTGGCAGTGCTCCGCTCTCCGTTCGCCACCAGGTCTCAGTCGTTCCGGTCGACGGGCGCCCTGCACGCCACCAGCCTGAGCGGCGTGGGCGCGTCGCTGTCGGCGCACCCGCTCATTCCGGCCGACATCATCCAGGACACGTCCGGCGGTCAGTCTCGCCGGCCGGGCCGTCCCGGGGCAGCCCCGACCGGCAGTCCCGGCCGGCAGTCCCGACCGGCAGTCCCGACCGGCAGTCCCGACCGGCAGTCCCGACCGGCAGTCCTGACTGGCACTCCCGACCGGCAGCCAAGACAGGCAGCCCCGACCGGCAGCCCCGACTGGCGGTCCCGACCGGCAGCCCCGACCGGCGGTCCTGATCGGCAAGTCCGACCGGCGGTCCTGACCGGCAGTCCCGACTGGCAGCCCCGACCGGCACTCCCGACCGGCAGTCCCGACCGGCGGTCCTGACCGGCAGCCCCGACCGGCGGTCCTGACCGGCAGCCCCGACCGGCAGTCCCGACCGGCGGTCCTGACCGGCAGCCCCGACCGGCAGCCCCGACCGGCAGCCCCGACCGGCAGCCCGACCGGCAGCCCCGACCGGCAGCCCCGACCGGCAGCCCCGACTGGCAGCCCCGACCGGCACTCCGGACCGGCACTCCCGACCGGCAGTCCCGGCCGGCAGCCCCGACCGGCGGTCCTGATCGGCAGTCCCGGCCGGCGGTCCTGACCGGCAGTCCCGACCGGCAATCCTGGTCGGCAGCCCCGGTCGGCTGGCCTGACGACGTCCTGACACACGGCTGTTTGTATGATGAATGTTACTGGCGACGACGGTCGCCTGTGGGCTTTCACCGTTGGGTGCATGCCATTGTGGCGTGAGCTCGTGCCTTGCCGGCTGTGGTGCCATGAAATTTTGCGATAACGAACTGTTGTTATACCGCTTCCAGATGGTTTGCTTGCCGCAATATGTGCCGGTTATTGCGATGTCATGTCCCACTGTCTGACCGGCGTTGTCTCGGTTGTCTCGCTCTGTCCCACCGGGCCCAAGACGGCGACCCATGGCGTTGTGCGGCGGCCGTGCGGGGCGTGGCGCTGACCCCGGCTCCGCGCTGTTGCAGCCGGTACGCCCGTCTCGCTGTCGTACGGGTCCGTCACGCTGCCGTCGTCGACAGCGACGGCGCCGCAGTCGCCGCAGTCACCGACGGAGCGCGACGGGGCGGAGCTGGACACGACGTCGCGCGGCGAACCGACCACCTCCGTGACGTCGTCGCCGGCGGCGGCGCCGGTGCGGCAGCCGGTGCCGCCGCCGCCGCCACTGCGCTCAGGTCAGCCCTCGCCCGACAGCGAGCCCTCCAGCGGCGCGCTGACCGACTCACCGTGCGGCCGGCGCCGGCCGCTCTCACGCAGCAGCCGCAGCCTCTCGGAGACGGCCGATGACTCGGACACGGCCAGCTCTGATGCGCGGCGCCGGCTGGCGCGGCTGGGCCGGCTCAGCCGCGAGTCGTCCAGCCTCAGCTCCGTCAACGAGATCAACACCGTCATCGACCGCCGCCAGCCGGACGACAACGTGTCGCACGACTCGTACGATCTGCTGGACGCGCCGGTCGACTGGCCGCCGGCGGGGCTGCAGGCTGACCGAGACGCGCTGCTGGCGGCAGCGGCGGCTGACTGGCGCGCCGGCGGCGGCTGGACCGGCCGGCCGGTGCTGCTGCCGGGCACCGACGCCGCCGGCGGACCGCTGCTGCTGCCGCCGGAGCCGTTCGTCGGCGACCGGCCGCCGCACGGCGCCGCCACGCTGCCCCGCGCCTCTGAGCGGCCGGCGGCGCCGGGCTCGCCGGCCTCGCCGCGCCGGCACCGCGTGCGCGTGGACGTGGAGCGGCCGCGTCGGCCCGACCAGAGTCCGGTGCTGTACGCGCGCGCCGCGCTGCCGGCCGGCTCGCCGCGCGCGCTGCGCCGCGATTACGTGGAGGTGCACCAGCTGCCGTCACAGCGCGCGTACAGCAGCCAGGACGACTCGCTCGACGACTGGCTACAGGTGCGCTCCATCTCGGGCGCGCTGGAGCGTGAGATCCTGCAGCATCTGGCCGAGCGGCCCGGCCCGCCGACGCCGGCGCTCGGTCGAGACGGGCCCGCCGCCGAGCCGCCGACGGAGGACGAGCCGTCCACGCTGTCTGAGTCATCGCGGCTGGCCGAGGACGAGTCGACGCTGCAGTATGACACGGTGCCGGACGAGTCGGACGAGCTGGACGCGCCGGCGGCGTTCAGCGACGGGGCGCCAGACGGTTGCCGGCCGCCGCCGTACCGCGCGCTGAGCCGCATCAGCGAGCTGAGCACGGGCTCCGAGCTCGACTCGCGCCTATCCACGCCGACCCAAGCGCTGCCGCTCGACGAGTTGGCCGAGCGTGACGAGCGCGAGCCGAGCGAGTCATCCACCGAGGATGGCGGTCAGGAGACGCCATCGGGTGATGAGCCCGACTTCCCCTCGCCGCCCAGCTCGCTGCTGGAGCCGCTGCGGCCGGGCGCGCCGACGCGCCGCGCCAGCGGGCCCCGCCACGTGACGCACGTGCAGCGCCGCCTGCCGGCTGCCGAGGCGGCGCCGGTGCGCGTGCTCGTGCCGCCCGACTCGGACACGTCGTCGTCAGAGCGGGCGCAGACGGCCGGCGGCGACTCGGAGCCGGGCGGCGGCGACGACGCGCTGGGCGCGCTGGAGGCGGCACACGGCCGGCTGGCGGCGCGGCGCCGCTGCCTGGCCATCTCCCCCGACGCGGGGCTATGACGGGGCAGCGGCGGCGGCCGGGCCGGCCGGCGGCGCCGCGCCGCCCTCGCCGGCTGAGGCGGCGCCGCGCCCCGGCCGCAGCACGGCGGCCCGCACTGGTCTGCCTCGGAGCTGGCAGGGGCGGCGGCGCCGGGCTGCCGGCGTCGTCGTGGCAGCCGCCGCTCGCCCGCTCGCCCTGGCCGCTCCGGCCTGTGGTGGAGCGACGGGCAGAGTCCGGGCGGGCGCGGCAGAGACAGCCGGTCCGCGGCATGTTCCACACGAGCCGTGACGGGGAGAGTGACGAGATGCTCGCTCTTAACGCCGACTCCGAGCGTGGCCGCCGCTGGTGACGCTGCAATAACCGCCACCGCCGAGCCGACTGGCGGCCTCGTTTTCCATTCGCTTGACTCATCATCGTACGTCGACGGCGCTCAAGTTGGTCACAGCGCGTCGGCCTCCTACCCTCGCGACCCCTGACCGCACAGTTCACCCTCCATTAGACACGGCAGCTCGTCAGCTTGCGTTAGAACGCCGAGCACAAGTGGCCGCCGCCTCGTTCCGAAAGGCTACACAGCATCTGGCACTCCGGCCGGCGCGATCGGTCTCGCTAGGAGCGACTCGCTCTGTTAGTAGTGGCGTCGTTGGTCAGGGTTCACGCATGCTCCATGGTCGTTCTCTGTGTCGGGGCGGGCACGCCAGCCCCAGGTTTTCCCACAAAGGCGCGAGCGCAGGCGCCGCTCCGGCGTCTCGGAGCTCATTGTTGATCTCATTACCCGGGCACAACCAACCACCTCGACCTCACGCGCTGCCGCGTCGTGTCGCTTCACCCTCGCCTCACGCCCGGGCGCGCGGGTACCGGGCTGTGTTCGGCCCGCTCACGCGCGGCGCTCGGGGCGCTTCGCGGCGCCGCTGGGGAGCGCGGTGGCGGGGACGGTCCGGTGGCTCCGGCCCCGTGGTCGGCTCCAGTGGCGTGACGCCGGGCCTCGCCTGTCTCGCCGCCTCTGCTGTTACGGCACCAGTCGTTGTTGCGTTACGCAGTGCCTTTTGGTTGTCGGTCGACCGTTGCGTTGTTGCCCCACGCTTCCTTGTTGCGGAGTGCGGGTGCGCTCTTGTCATGAGCTTGCCGTCGCCCATATCTGCCCGGGGAGGAGTGTGTTCACACTGCCGGCAGTGCCGGTGGCCGCCGCCTGACGCCGGCATGCTGGCGGAAGGAGCAGGAACTGCGTGAAGCGGTGGCGGTACCCTGATGCGCACCCCGTGTTCTTGTCTTTCGTGCCGGGGTGGGGCGTCGCCATGTTTGGAAGGACTCAAGAGCCCCACCCAGTGTTTTGGATTTTGGGCTTGAGTCACTTGGGCGTTTTGTAGAAACAGTTCACTTGAATGGCCCTGAAACGTTTTTTCCCTTTCTGTTTGCCGCCATGTTGGAAGGACTCAAGAGCCCCACCCAGTGTTTTGGATTTTGGGCTTGAGTCACTTGGGCGTTTTGTAGAAACAGTTCACTTGAATGGCCCTGAAACGCGTTTGCCCTTTCTCGAGCGTTCATCAGCAGTGGCCATGGCAAACACCCGTTTCTGCAGGAGCTTGTTTTATGGCTGGTGCCTTCTCAGTGAGAAGCTCCGGAGTGATGCTTCCTCATGTGATCGTTTCGGAACGCCGCGTGGTATACAGACAACGCGAGAAGTGCTCGATATCAGCAGGCGTCTCTCACGGGCTATATGATAGTTGCTTATATTCGACCAGGGCTTGCGGAGAGCGTACGTGCCGACTACATGCGTTTAGTCTAACTGTGGTCTGGTATGAGTGCACTTCACCGTAGCCTTACGTCACTCGGGACCTCAAATACTGACCCCCTTCCCGCCACCCGCTCCCCGCAGCTGCGCGCGTGGCAGCTTCAGTGCTTCGCCCTCAGCGGTGACACGCGCGCGCTAATGTCCTTCTCTCGTTGAGAGGCTCACCATGTGATAGGCCGCTCCTGACCCGCGGTGGCCGCTCGCTGGCTGTCCGCCGTTTTTCGGTCATTCGTCGTGTATCGTGTCCGTAGGAGCGAGTTGAGCATCTTTCAAGTTTCAATACATAACGTGCAAGGCCGGTCACGTTTCTGTGTTCTGACGTGTCGCGTGCGTGTGTGTGTGTGCGTGCGTGCGTGCGTGCGTGCGTGCGTGCGTGTGTGTGTGTGTGTGTGTGCGTGCGTGTGTGTGTGTGTGTGTGTGTGCGTGTGCGTGTGCGTGCGGAGCGACCGTTTTCGTGTGCCGCCCGGCGGCGGCGGCGGCTGCGACGGCTATCCTGGCGCTTAGGTGAGAGCCGCCCGCCCCTGGGCCCGGAATGCTGCCCCTCTGTCGTGACCTAGCCACAGGGTCACGTTGCGCCGCACTCTGGGTCGGTCGCCGCACGGTTCGGTTGCGTCGTCACGCGGTGACTTTCGTTGGGTCGCTCGGCTGCTATCCGGCAGCGCCACTGCAGCTTTCGGTGTTGTCCGTTTGAGGCTGGCCGTTGGCTGGGATCGCGCCCGGACGGAGACTGGCCGGGGTTTGTTTTGTTTTAGCTCTGGCATGGTGGACTATTGATTGTCGTTTTAGCCCGACATGTGCTGCATGGGTGTCAGTAGACTGGACGCAGGGATCGGCACGCCGCTGGCGAAAACACATTTTCCTATTGTTTTGGGCTGATCATTGTTCGTTGGTGTTATTTGCGTTCATCTGATGATATTCGCCTGGCTGGTTTTTGGTGCAGGCTGCGTCGCCTATTTTTCTTTTGGGTGTGTTTTGTACTTGCTGATTCATGCCTGTTGTGGCTCGTACACCGACTGGTGATCGCTAGCATCTGATGGCTTCACCTGTATTTGTATAATGAAACAAGTGCCTTGTATGGTCACCGTGTAAATATCAGGTTCTGTTGCCGATTCCTACCAATCAGCTGCGCCACTTGCCCGCGATCTGCACGGCCGCAACCCCGCGCCCGCCGCCTGCTCGGACGCTGACCTTTCTGCCGTGTTTCAGAGGGCTCCTCGTTGCCGATCCTCAGCGTGGACGAGTGTGACGCGGGCGTGGAGGAGGCACCCCCACCGCCACCGCCGCCACCGCCGGCGCCGGTGCCGGCGCCGGCAGAAGTGCGCCTGAACGGCGGCGCGCCGGCAACGAACGGCGCCGCGCCGCCGGTGCCGGACGTGCGCCGCAAGCAGCGCCGCATCCCGGCCGACCGCGCCTTCTTCATCGCCAAGGAGATGCTGAGCACCGAGCGCACCTACCGCTACCGACCTGCGTATCCTGCACGTGGTGAGCGGGACCGGGCAGGAGTCGGGCACCTCAGCCGGTGCTTTCTGCCGACCGTGTTAGCATGGCCCTGCCATCGGTCCCGGCGCGTGTGTGCTGGCGTCGCGTGCGCGTCTGCCCGGGCCCGGGGAGCAGTGTGTGACCGGGTCGCCGCGGCCGTTGCAGTGGTTCCGGGAAGCCTCGGAGCGAGACGGTGGCGTGCCGCCGGGCCTGCTCTCGCCGCTGTTCGCCCGGCTGGAGCCTCTGCACGCCGCCCACTGTCAGCTGCTGCGCGAGCTCGAGCAGCGGCTCATCGCCTGGTGAGCGCGCCGCGCGCGCCGCCCGCTCTGGACCGCCGACAGGCCCGCCAGGCCACGTCAGGCTATGTGCTTTTGTATTATTCAGGCGTTGGTGGTGTGACCCATGCGCGAGTGGTGCAGGAGCAAAGCACGCTGTCGGCGGACCGCGGCCTGTGCTGTGTCTGTCAGGGACCTAATCTCTGGCTGCGTCTGCTGTGTGTGTCTGCTATGCAGGGAACTGAGCAGCCCGTCGAAGGGCGTCCCGCCTCCGTCGCGCGTCTGTGACGTGCTGTGTGCGTCGCTTGGCTGACCGCTGTGTGTGTGTCTGCTGTGCAGGGAGCAGAGCAACCCGTCGGAGGGCGTCTCGCCTCCGCCGCGCGTCTGTGACGTGCTGCTGCGAGCCGAATTCAGCGACGCTTACGCCCCCTACCTGGACAGCTACGTCCACACCCTGGAACTGATTGACCGCGAGTACCGCAGCAACGAAGCATTCAAACAGGTACTGGCGGGCCGGGTGCCTTGTCGTAGAGATGCGGCTCCAAGCTGACGGCGATTCGCGTGGCGGTGTTAGCTGTTTGCCGATCTGTGCCCGTGATGAGATACGCCTCTCACATTCCGAACATGCAATGGGCGCAAAATGACCACTGCAGTCGACGCGCCCGAAAACACCAATGAACAACACATTCAGAACATGGGAACGGTAAAGGGTGTCATTCTTGGACTGGTGTTGTTAGGCCGTCTTGCATGGTTTGCTGCGTTGCGATGGGCTTAATGTATGTGTTCACGCACATTTGCTTAGTTCGTTGCCTGTGGAGGAGTCTTTCGCTAGCATATTTTGTGACGGGTGCCTGCCCGCGGCCGTGAGCGGTGCTGCTGGCGGTTGTCCACGAATGCTCCACTCCATGTCCGGGCGCGCCGCAGATGTACCGGGAGTTCGAGATGCAGAAGACGTGCTACCTGCCGGTGGCGGCGCTCATTTTGAAGCCGCTCCAGCGGGTGCTCCACCTACAGACCTTGCTCAAAAGTGAGTGTCGACCGAGAGCCTGCCTGCCGCCGCCAGCGGCTGGCGCGCGCGGCGCTGGCTGCCCAGGGTCGGTGCCCAGCGGCAGCCACAGCGGGCGCTGTGACGACGGACGCCGCCGCCAGCTGACGGCCGTCTTTCGAGCGTTAGGCTCGTGATTCGGTGTCCGCCGCCGGACCGCCGGCACGTCTCAGCCGGCCATCGCCGCCTCGTACTCCTCTCCAGGGCTGGCGCGCCACTGCTGTCATGTCCGGCCCGTGTGTTCCTCCCCAGAGTGCACCACGACTCTGTTTTGTGTGTGAGCTTCTCTCTCCCTCCCAGAACCGGCGCACGTCCGCGGCGCTGTTGGCGTCACCTGTCCGCCCTTGTGTTCACCCCCAGAGCTGGTGCACCACTACCCGGCGGGCCACCCGGACGCGGCGGACGCGGACGAGGCGCTCGCCGAGATGTCGCGGCTGGCGGCGCGCCTCCTGCCGCGGCTGGCCGTCTCCGACAACCTGGTGAAGATGATGGAGCTGCAGCGCGACCTGGTGGGCTGCGACGCTCTGCTCAGCGGCTCGGCCGACGCGCGCCGCCGCTTCATCCGCGAGGGCTGCCTGCAGAAGCTCAGCAAGAAGGGCTACCAGCACCGCATGTTCTTCCTGGTGAGTGGCGCGAGGGGACTCCGGTCGGCGGCGGCTGGCTCTCTAGAGCGCCGACGCTCGGTGCTCCTGCCTTCGGATGTGTAGGCATTTTTGGATGTGTGACGCGTATGAAATGGTGCTATCTCTGCACGTTTTTTGTGCCGTCTTTGTTTTGTTTTTGCGTTCAGTAAAGATCAAGAGCCTCCATGAACCAGAGGCCTGGATCGTGTACCCTGGGGGCGTAAAGTTCCGAAAGCTTTCCCCGTGTGTGATATCCGTCCGCGGTTTAACAACAGCTGTGGGGGCAAGGCTGTTGACACGGCCGTTATTTGTTGTAACGCTCTACACTGTGTGGGCCCGTGTATGTTCGTTGTCCCGATGCATAAGCCACAACACAATGTACGATTGTAGCGCGCCTCATGCTCGCGCTCTGGCTGGCTGCGGACTGCTGTCACTTTTGGACGTCTGGTGGTGCTCTTCCACACACTGGTGCCCCGGCTGCGTGCTGAGCGTGAGCCCCGTCCCGCCCCTCGGCCGGCGGAGGCTGCGCCGCTCCGGCCGCCGTGTGGTCGTGCCCCGCGTCTGACGCCACCCGCCCGTGCCCCGCCGCCAGTTCTCTGACGTGCTGATCTACACGTCGCGGACCACCAGTCCGGTGCCGCAGTTCAAGGTGCACGGCCAGCTGCCGTTGCGCGGCGTCACCGTCGAGCAGACCGACTCGCAGCTGGGCATCGCCAACTGTTTCACCATCTTCGGCGGCAACAGGTACGAGGCCGGCCGCGACGGGCGCCGCGCGTGGAGACGTTGTGGCGCGCCGGTGCGGGCCGGTTAGGCGCCGGCCTGACTGTGTCCGATCGTGAATGGGCAGTGAAGCCGTGTCCTGCTCGCGTCGGTGCGGGGCCGGTTGGGCGCCGGCCTGACTGTGTCCGATCGTGAATGGGCAGTGAAGCCGTGTCCTGCTCGCGTCGGTGCGGGGCCGGTTGGGCGCCGGCCGGACTGTCCGATCGTGAATGGGCAGTGAAGCCGTGTCCTGCTCGCGTCGGTGCGGGGCCGGTTGGGCGCCGGCCTGACTGTCCGATCGTGAATGGGCAGTGAAGCCGTGTCCTGCTCGCGTCGGTGCGGGGCCGGTTGGGCGCCGGCCGGACTGTGTCCGATCGTGAATGGGCAGTGAAGCCGTGTGCTGCTCGCGCCGGGGGCTGCCGCTCAGATGTGAGATGTCGTGGCGGCGCCCTGACCGCTCGGAGTCTTCGGATGTCCCACCTCAGGCTGGCGTGTGCGCCCGCGAAACCGCGCCGCCCTTGACCGGCTGACCGGATCGGCCGCAGGGCTCTGGTGATCGCGGCCAGCAGCTCGTCGGAGCGGGACGCCTGGCTGCGGGACCTGCACGCCGCCATCGACTCGGCCCGGCTGCAGACGGACGCGCTGCCGGCCGGCCTCAGCCTGTTGCCCGCCTGCAGTGCGTACCTGCTGACCTAGGGGCGGGCCTCTCCCCTACCGACCCAGGCCAACCCCGGCCGACTCGTGCGGTGGCGGTCCGGCCGGCCGCCCAGTACCAAGGCCATCCCAACCCCAACTGCCGTCCCCACCCCGCCAAGAGTGCTCTCCATTCAACTGCGCGGCCGGCCATCACCCTCACGACGCGTCCCGAGCTGACTGGCGTGCTCCGCCTCCGTCGTTTTGTCGCGCACTGCCTCTGTCTCGCTGGTGCTCCTCGCCTCCGTCGCAGCGGCGCGCCGCCGGCTGACGGTGTGCCGGCGTGCTCCGCCCCGTCTCTGTGTCGCGCCGCCGGCTGACGGTGCGCCGGCGCGCTCCGCCCCGTCTCTGTGTCGCGCCGCCGGCTGACGGGTGTGCCGGCGCGCTCCACCCCGTCTCTGTGTCGCGCCGCCGGCTGACGGTGCGCCGGCGTGCTCCGCCCCGTCTCTGTGTCGCGCCGCCGGCTGACGGGTGTGCCGGCGCGCTCCACCCCGTCTCTGTGTCGCGCCGCCGGCTGACGGGTGTGCCGGCGCGCTCCGCCCCGTCTCTGTGTCGCGCCGCCGGCTGACGGTGCGCCGGCGTGCTCCGTCCCGTCTCTGTGTCGCGCCGCCGGCTGACGGGTGTGCCGGCGCGCTCCGCCCCGTCTGTGTGTCGCGCCGCCGGCTGACGGTGCGCCGGCGTGCTTTGCCCCGTCTCTGTGTCGCGTCGCCGGCTGACGGGTGTGCCGGCGTGCTCCGTCCCGTCTCTGTGTCGCGCCGCCGGCTGACGGTGCGCCGGCGCGCTCCGCCCCGTCTCTGTGTCGCGCCGCCGGCTGACGGGTGTGCCGGCGTGCTCCGCCCCGTCTCTGTGTCGCGCCGCCGGCTGACGGTGCGCCGGCGTGCTCCGCCCCGTCTCTGTGTCGCGCCGCCGGCTGACGGTGCGTCGGCGTGCCCCGCCCCGTCTCTGTGTCGCGCCGCCGGCTGACGGGTGTGCCGGCGCGCTCCGCCCCGTCTCCGTGTCGTGCCGCCGGCTGACGGTGTGCCGGCTTGCCGCCAGGTTCGTCGGACGAGATCGTGTCGGGCCTGGCCGGTGACGACGGCGGCCCGCTGCCGGCCGACCGGCAGCCCAACTGGCGCAGCAACAGGAGCCCGCACGTATGCTGGCACCGCGGCATCTCGGTCAGCATGGCGCACACGGCCGGCGCCGTGCACTGCCAGCTCAGCGGCTACCTGCTGCGCAAGTTCAAAAACTCGGACGGCTGGCAGAAGCTGTGGGTGGTGCTCACCAACTTCTGTTTGTACTTCTACAAGACCTTCCAGGTGAGGCCGTCGCGCGGGGGCGCGTGCTGATGCGGGCAGGTGCTCCGCTGCTGGAGTGGGAGGGGGGAATAGCCGCGGGTCAGGAGGGGTGTGTGCTGTGATGCGTGCGTGACGTGACACCGATCAACCCGGCTGTCGGTGCACTGCCGTTGTGTAGAGGGGGTCCGCACACCGAGGCACGGGTGGGTTGCCCACCGCCCTGCACTGTGGGAATGTATGGCGTGGGATGTCGCTACCGGGGTCCCCCCCCCCCCCGCTTTGCGCTGCTTAGTCGTCTACCGTGTGCCATGTCTCACAGACGCCATTTCTCAATGCCGATCACATCACCGGCATGGCGATCTGCCGTTGTTCACGCCCATGCATTGTTTCGACTACCGCCTAGGCGTGCGCCGAGTCATCCATGTTCTTTGTCGTGCTGTGGCAGACCGCCGTTTTCTGTCGTGCTGTGGCAGACCGTCCTGTGCCGACGCTGGGGCACCGGCGGCTGGTGACTGCGTTCTCGGTCAGCCGGCCTGGAGTGTGCTGCGCTCACAGGGCTAAAGCTGTGGGGAGAGCACCGTTAGCATGCGACCCGCGGGGTTTGGCGCGGCTGGTGTGCCGCTGTCGCTGACGGTGGCGTCGCCTGCCGCAGGACGAATGCCCGCTCACGTCGCTGCCGCTGCTGGGCTACGTGGTGTCGGAGCCGGCCGCCGCCGACAACATCCACAAGGAGCACGTGTTCAAGCTGCAGTTCAAGCAGCACATCTACTTCTTCCGCGCCGAGAGCCGCTACACGTTGGAGCGGTGGCTGGAGGTGATCGGGCGGACGGCCTCCACCGAGTAGGAGGCGCCGCCCCGTCAGGCCCGTCTCGGCGGTGGGACGGTCCAGTCGCGGCGGCCACGTCGGATGGAGCGCTCTCGGGCCGGCGGAGTGGGCCCGCTCGAGCGCTGGCCGGCGATGCCAGCCGCGGCGGCGGTGCACACGATCGAGTGCAGTGAACTACACTGGATCTGCTGTGTGGTGTCGGCGGCCGGCGGCCGGTGGCGGGGCGGAGCCGCGGTCGGCAGCGGCTGCTCACCCGAAGCTGAAGCCGGAGCCCGCTCCGTGTGAAGACGAGTGACTACTCGCTCCCTCCTCCCCCCAGTCTCCTTGTTCGCTGGAGCCCGCACCGGCAGCCAAGACGAACGGACGGCGGGAGCGGCCGCCGACTCGGCCGGCGGTGAATCTTGGGCGGACTGCTCCTCTGCCTCTCCGCTGTGCTCCTGCTGGGCCCACGAGGATGCGGTCAGCGCTGGCCGTCCGTGCCCTCCGGCTCCACCAGAGTGACGGCCGCTCCTGAGTACTCGACATGCCGTGCTGCGCAGACGCGATCTCGCCTTGCCGTGTGCGGGCCCGCCCCGCCCGGGATCCACGTCTGGCTGTGTTGTCAGACCGCTGCCGCTGCCGCAACCGCAGCCGTCTGCGGCGGCGGCGGGACGGCCGCCAGGGCGTGAGTCGCGCGCCGCCCGCCGGCTGCCGCGTGCGCGGGGCCCGGCGGTGGCCAGGCGAGGGTCGGCCGCGGGCGTGATCGGGGCTCAGTCTGTGCCGATTGTTATGGCGTGCCGCGCTCCTAGCAGTGGCCGCTGGCAGCTGCGGCGCTGTGGCGGCGTGGATGGGCCGCAGCAGACGCGTCTTTGTGCCTTACTGTGGTGCTCGTGTGTATGCATGACGGCCCGCGAGGGGGCTGACGTCCCGGCCTCGCTCCAAGTGCCTTCGCACGCAGTGACAGTTATATTCAGGTGACTGCAGCTTATGAAGCGGACGTTTTTGGCGCGATGAGAATGATGCTTGATTTTACACCGGCGAGACGCTTATTTCCGTCGGTAGCTAAGGACCTAATTGTGGCTTATTTCCGTCGGTAGCTAAGGACCTAATGGCGGCTTGCATTGGAATAATCGTGTGGCTGATGTGCGAGCGTTTGCAGCCGATGAAAGTGGTGTCGACGCGGTAATCCGGCTCCGGCCTGCGCAATACATATTTTGTACGTTTAGCCGGACTGTGGTGGCGGAGTTGAGCGGACCCGGCCGGGCGGGTCGGTTGTACGAGCGACGCGCGGGGCGGCGTCGAGAAGCGTGGGGCGGAAGAAGTGGCGTGCCCTCCCGACCCGGGCCGCTTCCCATCATCGACTCACGCTGGTGCCGTGCAGGCAGCGGCCAGAGGGGCTTCGGGGATTGCGGACGCGAAATAGCCGGTGGGCCCTTCTAGAGGCAGTCACGGACATACCGCAGGTACGTCAATGAAGCGCATTTCAATGCGTGGAGTGGGGACCGTAGGTGTAGAATGGTCCAAAATGCGGCAAAAATGAGAGTTTCGGAAAGGTATCAGACCTACTGAAAACCATTTCCAATTAAATTTGTAGAGAGGTGCGGCACACTGTACTCATTCGTTGTCTCGTTTCATTAGTTCCGCGTCGCCGTGAAAAAAAACGTTGCAAAGTTTTGCCCTTATCGCAGGCCTTTTGTGGTGGCGATGGCGGGCGCCACACGATTGTGTATTTTGGCGAGGCTGTATTCTGTAATATTGCGGCTGAAGATGAAGCGTAGAATTGGCGACAATCCAGGTGCTAAAAACGGGCTTGCGCCTGATTCCAATAAGCTGGAATCGGTTCGCAATCCGAATGGAAGCGAATGCGAATGAAACTGTTGGAATAGGTTGCAACTCTGCGCGCAGTCTTACCTATAAGCATATCAGTTCCTCCGCGCATCCAATTGGCCTAGTTGGACCCTAGTGACGTCATGCGTCAGCTGGCTACTTGTCAACTTCACTTCCACGGAAATGATCACGTTCCACACATTGGTGCGTTCGGCGCCAGTTTCGAGCGTAGGTGGGTGGGTGAGTTTGCGATCATTGTTTTCTTTATATTCAGAAACTTTAGGGGTGCTGTCAATTCTGGGAACGTTACCATATGCCCACATGCCTTAGCGGGGAACAGAAATAGCCAAGATGGCACACATATGGAAATGGATCGAATAGATAAATGATAGCAAGTACTAAGCCATATGCAGTGGAATAACGTATTGAAATGAAATCCAACTTAAGTCTTATCCATTGCCTGGGAAATGACGCACTTGCACATCATGTGCATGTATTCCTGTATTTTCCTGCTTGTTCAGGTTAACCCATTGGTCAGCATCTGTTGTTTATTAGTTAGTATGAATTGTAACTTCTCAATCAGAATAGGATAGCCCTGAAACACAAATAACTAAATGGGGATAGTTGTTTCATCCTACTGATTTGCTCCATGCAGGGTCACAACATTGGAGGCATAGAAGTGTTAAATTGAGCCTTAATTTTGCTTCTGCTGATTTAAAATAAAAATGGCTTCCAAGTTCTAACCTTTCCACTCATGGCTTTATCCCAAATAAGGAATGCTGCAGTGGCATATGGCCTGTAAAAAATCATGCTGTGCTGGACCCCCATGTATTAGCAAAAGTCAAGTCAAACTGCAAAAAATGCATGGCTATTGACATTGCAGTGTATATCCAAGCTCTTAGAGTGCAGCAGAATGATTTCATAAGGTGAGGTTTGGTGCACCACTGTTGTGTAGGCACTGTGGTGTTGCATAGGTTTCCCATGCTGCATGGTGGGTGAATTTTTTGCAGGGTAGCATTCCAATGACAATGAAGCTGTTGGCTACATGTTAGATTGCTATGGTGGCTATAATTCCAAGCCTCTTGTTTGTTCCATGGTCAACACCAATTTGAGCTCATAGGGGACCAGAAGTTCAAGAAATCAGTATGTTGCAATGGTACTTTCAGGAAAAAGAATGTTCAGGCAAAAACAAATAAAGATGGAAACACTAATGTAAGATATATTCAAAGCACTCAAATAATTTGTGGAAGCAAAAATACTGAAAATTCTGGGCAATGTAGCATGAACTGAGTTGGGCATATATGTGCATGTCATTAGCCAGTTTATGTGGCTCTGAAAAGTTTGTTTATTGTGAAATGTATTTCCAAATTGAAACAAATGATTTATACTAGTGTGTAGTTCATGCATTATATGTAATATATGCCCATGAATTTTTCCCCATTTTCAGCAATGCACTGGCATATCCTGCATACATCTTGCACTTAACAAAATATCATATTTCACTTGGTTACTACAAAGTCATCTGCAAGATGATCAATTTTGAAGATGAAGACTTTGACTTAGCAGAGGTAATAAATTGATGAGTACACCAATGTTTGTGTGCTGAAATATGCAAAACATTAGAATGTTTTTCTTGTCATAAGAGGAATGTAATAAAAGGGTAAATGGGGACAGGAATGGAATAGGGGTAAGTCATTGCCATTGTCTGAATATATCTACCCTGTCTCATTCATGCTGCTCTGCTAAAACTTTGTTATCAGTTCCTTTGCCCATTGATGTTTTGATTCATGTGCAAAGTGCTTGTGTGGTCAGGGTTTGCGTGTGTGGTCAGGGTTTGTGTGTGTGGATGAGGTGTGCGTGTGTGGTCAGGGTTTACATGTGTGGATGAGGTGTGCATGTGTGGTCAGGGTTTGTGTGTATGTGGACAAGGTGTGCGTGTGTGGTCAGGGTTTACGTGTGTGGACGAGGTGTGCGTGTGTGGTCAGGGTTTCCTGGACGAGGTGCTGGCGTCATCCCGCGGCTCGCAGCGTCCCAGCGGCCGCGGCGTGCTGCGCGACACGGTCAGCTGCCGCTCGGCCCCGGCCGACCTTCCGGAGGAGGCCGGCCTCAGCTGCACGCCCGACTCCGTCAGCGTCTCGCAGATATTCGGCCTGCGCGCCGGGCCGGCTCTGAGCGCGCGGGGCGGCGTCGGCCGGCCCCCCGAGCCAGCGCGGTCGCCGCCGCCACCCGCTGCGCCGTCCTTGGCCGACCCGTTTGCCGACGACGACCTGCTGGACGGGGACCTGCTGGAGGCGTGTGAGGCGGCGTCGGCGGCGGCGGTTACCCGGCCGGGGTCACGTGACACGCAGACTGGCCCCGGGCCGCGGGCTGCACCGACTGCCGTGTGGCCTGGGTCACGTGACACTGCCACCGACGCCGGCTGCGGGCCATGTGACGCGCCGAACGGCTTCCGGTCCGAGTCACGTCACAAACCGACCGGCCCCGGCCCGGAGTCACGTGACACGCCGACCGGCCCCGGCCCCGGATCACGTGATTGCGGTCGTCGCCTGTCGGCCGGCTCGTCTGTGAAGCGGCGGTTTCCAGGCCCGGCTGGCATCCTGCCGATCACGGTGAGGCGTCTCGCCGCCACCCTCACCCGTTCGCGGCGGGCGGGGCAGGGCCTCCCCAGGGGTGGGCTCGCATTGGCACATGCTTGCTCACTGCCGTCTGCTGAAACCGGTTACGACGGCTGCGTAGTGTGGGCGTCTGTTGCGCATGTTTCAAAGGCTGCTGCGCACGCCACGTGTTACGACGTGACGTGTGCTGCTTCCTGGCCGTTTTGAATGCAGGCATAAATCAATGGTTGTCTTATCTTGGGTATATGGTGTGTTGTGGACTGGTGACGGAGTTTGGCGGTGCCGCCGTGTCCGCTTGCTGCTCCTGGTCGCCCGGGGTAACAGAAGGGTGTTTGGCCTACGTTTATGGCGTGTTGTGGACTGGTGACGGAGTTTGACGGCGTCGCCGTGTCCGCTTGCTGCTCCTGGTCCGGCCGTGTCGGCTCCCAGGCAGCGGCCGGCCCGTGTCCGACTGACCGGTGTCCGCCGCGCAGGGATCCCTGCTGACGCTGGCGCACGAGATCAGCCTGCAGGAGGACGACGTGACGACGGCGACCGAAGACGACGAGCACGGCCTGCCGGACGCCGCCTCGCAGGTGGGCCGCCTCACGCCGTGAGCGGGCTCGGTCAGCCAGGGCTAGGAACGCGGGTGGTGGTGTGTGGTGGCTGCTGGCTGATCAGGCTGGGGCCGTCTGGGTACATTTCCTGATGTGGCGCAGTGAGCTCTGGCTGGGTCTGTCTACTGCGGGGTGTGGTCAGCTCTTGCGGAAACAGTGGCGGACCCGGTTTTACAGACAGCTGTGGGCACCCATACACTTATTTGATATACCCTCCCTTTCCTTTTGTAGCAATCACATGGGACAGGCTCATCTCCGAAGTGAGGTAAAAATAATTGGTGGCCAGGGGCTTTGCTGACGGATTGACCGCTGGTTAACTATCTAAATGGGATGAGCAAGCGATTGGTTTCCTGCTCCATGTGACGCTGTACCACTATGCATGAAACTGATCGGTGCCTAAGAGAAGTTTTTGTACCTGCTCTGAATACTAATTTGTTGGAGGCACGTCTGTGTTGCGTCAAGTTTGCCGTACACACAACAGCTGCTGTACTAAGGTGACTGAAGCTGGTGCGGAGCTGTCAGTTATGCACACCGGTCGGGCGGCCAGGCGCCGGCGTGCTGCGTCGCGCTTCAGCAGGCGTTGCTTGTGTCGTGGCCGTGTGACGCCAGCCTCCGTGCCGTGACCTGGGCGGTGCCGTGTGCGGCAGAGCGTGCTGTCCCAGGCCGACGGCTCCGCCTGGGAGGCCGGACCGTGGCGGCGCATGCTCGCCGAGCTCTGCCTCTCCGCCGACGACCCCAGCTCCGTGCTGCGGCGCATCAATATCAGCGCCGTCAAGCGGTCGGCGGCCAACAATAAGTTGCGCAAGGTGCCGCTGCTGGCGGTGGCGCTGCTGTCGCTGGAGGCTACCTCCGACCTCAGCTATCAGGCCAAGTTCAAAGATCCCACGGGTAAGCGTTGGTGTCTGTCCGGCATTGCAATCATTGCAAAAGGTGGGCGTCACCCTTAATTAGATTCAGAATGTTATGCGTTGTGTCAGAATGAATGTTCTCAGAACATTATGTGTACATGCTTCCATATGGCTGAATGTGTGCTCTTTGGTAAAGGATCGCGTCATTTACCAGAATGGTATAGCAGCATAGGGTTAACATGTCATGCCGTCAAGTGAATCGTAAGCACACAAATGTGCATAGAACAGACGTTCTTAGGCAAATGTATGCACAAGATATCCTTAATTACAAGCGTTTGTATTCTGTATTGCTCATGCCACAATTTTTTGTATAGCAGATGTTCGTATGCCCAACTGTTCGCACCCCATCGTTTGTCGATGCTTATGTACATACCGCAATCGCCCGAACCGCAAATGGTCGTAAACATGGGACATAGCGGATATTCGCATGCACAAATGTAGTGTGCATACACAGACAGATTTACATACATGCGCTTTTGATGGACTAGGTTAGTTTTCGCCGTTGCCGAAGGCTTGCCAGTTCCAGCCAAGTTTTACTCACTCGCAAGCCAGCTGACACGCGGTGCCCAGCTCATGCATTAAGTATGTGACGATAGCATTGGCAAGTGCCCACGCGCCTTGTCCTAATCAGATTTTTAATTGATTTTGATCCACCCGAGCCAAATTGGCTGGCTTGTGTTGCGAGCGTGTCCCGCGTAAATATCGTCATGCAATAACATTTGCGATACGAGCGTGCACCATACGAGCATAACCATCCTTACGAACACATGCCTTCACGAGGAACTGCGTTACAATCATCTGCACTACCGAACATGTGTGACTACGAACAGCTGTCATCTGTCATGAACATTTCATCTGATTCGATGATCGATGATGCAAACACTTGCGCATGCATACAGTAGCGTTTCGTAGTATGAACGTTGCGAACATTTGGGCATGCGGACATAACAGTTTATTTATATCACCGATACAATCGTTTGCACATACGTATATTTATGATTACGAACGTTTGCGCACATATTTTTGCGATACATACATGTGCCTAATTTCCAATGTGTCATGTTATTGGATTTATGCGTGTTTGGTGAGGGATTGTATCATTTTCCAGAGTGATATAGCATGCATGCTATCAGGTGATTACAGATTCGACAATAGCCTGTCCGCCATAAAGACATAACCGGAACGCAAGCATCACTTATTGGCCTCCGCATATTGTTGGGTTTTGTGTCGCCTTCGGAGCTGCGTTGGCGTACAGCTGCATACGGGGGACACCGGCCGCGCCCAGCCGCGTCAGAGAGGCGGCTGCGGCTGCGAGTCAGACTGGGGCTCACTCGTCTCCCCGGCAGGCGAGATGAACGGCACGGTCGCCAAGGACGCGTTCGAGAGCTGTGGCGCCGCCCTGCGGCCCGGCTGCGTACTGGTGCTTCGAGACGTGGCCGTGTGGCGGGAGTCGGCACGTCGGCTTTATCTGAGCGTGACGCGGCGCAGTCTGGCGCTGCTGTTCTCGGAGATGGGCGACGAGCCGGACACGCCCGGTGTGCTTCAGGTGGGCGTCCGCGTGTGCCGGCTCCAATCAGAGACGATTGCTGTCGACAGAGGGGCTTCGCTGGTAGGAAAATGTGGGATGCGTCAAGAAAGCCTTAGATGATGTAGAGTTAAAACTCGAACGTCAAGTAGTGACAGATGTTCTTTTTCCTTTTGCCGTTTGTTTCATTGCATCATTACAACGCACTTAAAGCTCTTTTGAAGTTCTGTAAAGCATTTTGTAAAAGTTACGTCAATAGTCTACTCGAAAAGTTGGACGAGAAAAAAGAAAAATAAGAAAACAAAGTAAGAAAGGCGGAGCTAAAAAAAAAACAACGCAGAACACACTTGTTTAAATTCATTTTCTGTCAGATCTTCAAATGAGACCGCAACCAGCACGGTGTGGGCGCGAAGTCCACGGCGTGATGACCGACGGATGTCAGTATTTCCATCATCGGTTCATCGCGCTTCTACTTCTAGCTGAAAGTAGCCACGTAATTGCCGGTGCGGCAGTTAACCTGGTCGAGACGCCCAATTTTAAAAAAGTTGGCGCTACACTGGTGGCATGCACAAATATACATTGTATGTAAAAGCGCACGGTGTCCCGACCCACCACGGGGAGACGCCTGTGCCTTACATGTCACCGGCGACCGTCAGCGCGGTAGACGTCGGCCTACAAGGGCCGAATTACCTGTCACGACCGCTGCTCACTCTATGGTGCCACCGAGTGTTGGTGGGACGAGACACTGCAGCAAAAGATCTAGGAGATTGCTTGGAATAATACCACGGATTCCACAGGATCATTTCGTCAGGGACTTCAGGGGTCCTGCTAATGATGTTTGAAAGATCTGCCCTGATCTTTCCCCACTTATTAATCTTTTGATTGACTTTGTTTTCCCAAGGACTTAATAGTTTATTTTATAGAGCTTTATCGTCGATTTTTTGTCTGCTGATTTTGATATGTCAAAACGACTTATGGGTGGGTGAGCAGGCTGGTTTTCCCAGTGATATCAGCTCCGGTGATAAGCGACAAGAAAAGTTTCCCTGTGTTGAGATATGCCTAGGTTCATTTGAATGTACTTAGGATAAATAGCTTTGCCGTTTATACCGCGTGCTGCCATTTGCGTTGCTAGTTGAGGCTTCGGATGGAGCCAGGGTACCGTTCTGTATGAACGGGACCAGGGTACCGTTCTGTATGAACGGGACCAGGGTACCGTTCTGTATGAATGGGGCCAGCGTACCGTTCTGTGTGTGATGGGGGCCAGGGTGACGTTCTCTGTGTAGTGGGAGCCGGGGTACCGTTCTGTGTGTGTGGTGGAAGCCAGGGTACCGTTCTGTGTGTCTTGGGAGCCAGGGTACCGTTCTGTGTGTGGTAGGAGCCAGGGTACCGTTTTGTGTGTGGTGGGAGCCAGGGTACCGTTCTGTATGAATGGAGCCGGGGTATCGTTTTGTGTGTTGTGGGAGCTGTATGCTTGCAATAAGGTCGCCGCCGTATGCGGTGAATTCACCACCGTATGTCAGTGGTGATAAAAGATATAGAGCTAAAAGCAATGCCTATTTGGGGAAAAGCTGATAGGCATTCGTTTCCAAATGCATCAAGTGCAATAGCTCGTCTTTGCCAGATTATTTAGTTATCAGTTACAAGTTATCTGATTGTCCCTCATTATGTCCGTGGATGGACTCTGCCACCATAATTTCCGCGCCACCATCATTTCTGCATGTTGTTGAGCCTTCGTCGCGTACATCCCTTCGTGGTGCTGAGGGCCCTGTGTGCACGTGTGGCCAGCTGTCAGCGGTGAGCCGAGCGGAGCTGGTGTCGGCCCGGCTGGTGGAGGAGCCGCCCTCGGTGGCCGTGCTGCACGAGTCGCCGCCGCCGTCGCCACCCCAGCCACGCCTGTACCCGACGCCGCAAGCGCCACCAGCCGGCGGCCGCGGCCGCGGCGGCGGCAGGCGCCCATGGCGCGGCCGCGGTGCGCCCGGCTTGCGAGGCAGGGCCGGCCCCTATACCCCGCGCCCCGCGGCCCGCTCGCTGAGCGGCGCCGGCGGCGGCACCCGCCGCGCGTCGGCCCCGGCGACGGCCGGCGTGGCCTCGCCAGCACTACGCTGCGGGCCTCGCGCCGCTGTCCCTGCCGCCGGGCCGCAGAGGGCCCCCGCCGTCCCGCTGCGGGTCGCCGAGGCCCGGCCGAAGGGACACGCCATCTCGCCGGCCGATATCGACGCGATGTTTGACGACGAGGATGACGCGCTCTTCGGGGAGTTGTGAGGCGGCGCAGGGAGTCGGTTTGTCAGTTAGCATGCGAAGACAATTTAGAGGTGTTTACTATGTAATAAGGTAAGCATTTACATGTGACATGCTGGGAGTCAAGTTGGCTGTGTAATGTTGGCAATATTTTGTAATATATCTGTCCCGTTATGTCTGGCTTTCTGTTCGCCAAGAGTTCGATTGGGGCCGACGGCGAGAAGTCGGACTTGATTTAGTGAAGCACTGACTTCATGTTCAATTGTCTGATTAAAGTATCTTCAAGAAAAAGGTCAAGGTGGCGGACGTCAGTTTGCCTGTGCACATGTGCAGTGGACCCCAGGTCAGCATGTGTTGCTGGAACTAGCCATAACTCGAATCAAATATAAATGCATATAACAACAGATATTCATTGTTCGACAACTACTAAGACGCGCGTCAAAAAATAGATGCATAATGCGTGTTAGTGTGGCCAAGGCAACGATTTGTATCCTAAGGCGTTGCACTCGGAATCCATCCGTCTGAATCCATTTTGAAACAAGCTTCTAACACGAAATCAGACGAGAGCGGGACGTTCAGGTTGCTGTTAAGATTGATGTCCGCTAGTCATCTGCGTGTATAGATCCCATGATCATAATGAGGGCTCTCCACACTGTCTCTGCAATCCGTAGCAAGTTTCTTGATACGAACGCTCTCGTGACGTCAAGTAAAATCGACGGGCAAAGCGTGGTAACTGCGGCGACTGCGGCGCTGCGCTACAAACTCAGCCGCTTGACGTAATTGCTGCACAGTACCAGGGCAATAGAACATCGTGCCGCGTGGTATGCGTGTAGCCGTGTGCTCCCCGAGTCGTGGGCGCGTGGGCTGGCGGTGGAGGTGGCAAGCGAGGGTAGTGGGGGTGATATGTTGAATCGGGTGGAGAGGTAGGTATATAAGCGTTTTATCACTTCTCCACGCCGAAACATCCTAAGCGCCAACAACGTGAGGCGCTCGCATTCCTCGAGGACTGCGTGTAAAACAAGTGGAAAGGTTGCCGGGTGGCCACCGGGATGCCCGGCCGGCGAATGTTGATATTAACGCCAAGGGCTTGAAGTTCTGGTGCTGAGATGTAGAAATGGGTCGCTTTCATATTGTTCTTAGTCAAGAACCAGGTTTACCCAGATGTGTCTTCATTTGAGTTTATGTTGAATGATCATTGGCATGGTCAATTGGCAATCACTCTTACATTTATAGAGGCCTGTTAATCGTTATTTTAAGAGTGATGTTGCACTTCTTAAGTCATGAAACCCATCATGATTATATTTTATAGGAACTTCAGAAGGAAAAGCTTAAACTAGCTTTATGTCAGATATGTGGTAAGCTGTTCTCATTTATAGTACTGTCAGCAGCTGTCATAGTTTTTCATGTATAACAAAATGGGAATTAATAGCGGTATCCTGATCAAACAGATTGTCATGTGGCGTTGCTCTCTAGAGTGTTGTTTGTGAGTATCTGCAAATACTGTCAAGAAAGTTAGATACAATTATCCAATGGTTTGTGCTGCTGCCTTTAATAGCTAATGCTGGAAAATAATGAGTGAATACGAAATAGTGGAATGGCATGCCTGAGGTAATCCCTTAGGGAGTTAAAGCCAGTGATCTATATGTTAAACCACAATCATCTCAAAAGCAGAAATGCTGTGCTGCCACAAATGTGCCTTCTAAGTCACTTGTCACTCCAAGTCACCTACATGCCGGACTGCACACCACATGACAAAAAGTGAAAAATTGGACTTCATGCCCCCATACACCAATACTCTGTGCCTGAATCCATCCTACAAACTGTTGTTTTGCCCACTGTCCTACAATCAACATTGTGACAATAATGAGCAAAGCAGTTTGATTCATTATACAGAAGTCCAGGAAAGAATGTGTGTGAAAATGTGAACCATGTGATGTAGTTTCAATGACAGGATTTTAGTTTTTTATGCACAAGGTAGAGAAATGGTCCCATAACATTTTGTGATTTCAGACATCACTGTTCAGACATTGCAGACAATGTTTGCCCCACTTCAAACAGGCATACTGTGTTCCAGTCCACCCTGATGTATACAAGATGTGCTTTGCCAGGGAATATGAGTGGTGTTTTTAAAGGGAAGTTGGCTTTGCCAGGGGATGTTAGTGGGGATTTTAAAGGCAAGATATGCAAAAAAGGAAAAACTTACATTGTATATAATAGGAATGTTCATGTGACCCATACTGATGCAAGACATCAACATGTGATGTGGTGTGAAGATGAAAATGAAGATGAGTGTTCACCTGTGTTCTGTTGCAGATGGTCTTTGTCTAGATTATACCTTTTGAGCTGCTTTTGCCTGCATCTTACGAGAAATGATTTCACTTGTTTCAGGCTTGGTTAAACCACTGATTAGCCATGGATACCAACGACATCTTCTGGAAATTAACCCGGGGTGTTCGCTTCGGAAACAAGTTTCGGCAAGGTTACAAAACAACTCCTGACCCAGCTGTGCAACAGCAGCCGAAAACACACGTCCAAGCACAAGAATTCCCAGTGCCAAATGGGATCAAGAAGCGGAAGTCATCCGCGTCGTCCGAGGGCAGCGATGATGACGGTGACAATGCTGTCCCGCTGTCCAGTTTCCAGCACAGGAAGAAGGCGGCGAAGGCCGGACCCGAGCCAGCCGCGGACGACCCGAAGCCGACCGCTGAGAAGCTTCGTAAGCTTCACCGCCTGCACGTGCTGGGCACGGACGTGCCGGCGCCTGTGACCAGCTTCGACGACATGAGCGACCGTCTGGGAGTGCAGCCGCAGATTGTGGCCAACTTGCGCGCTGCAGGCTATTTCGAGCCGACGCCGGTGCAGATGCAGGCGGTGCCGGTGATGCTGGAGCGGCGAGAAGTGCTGGCCTGCGCGCCCACCGGCAGCGGCAAGACGGCGGCGTACCTGGTGCCAGTCCTGCAGCACCTGCGTCAGCCGCGCAATGCCGGCTGCCGGGCGCTGGTGCTAGCACCGAGCCGCGAGCTGGCGCGCCAGATCGCGCTGGAGGCCAGCCGGCTGGCGGCCGGCACTGGACTGCGCGTGCGCTGCCTGGACCGCGCGCGCCGCCGGCCGGACGGCGCCGCGCGTCCCGTCTCGGCCAAGTATGACCTGCTGGTGAGCACGCCGAACAGGCTCATCTTTCTGCTGGACGCCGAGCCGCCGCTGCTCTCGCTGCGGGCCGTCGAGTGGCTGGTGGTGGACGAGTCGGACAAGCTGTTTGAGGCCGGCGAGCGCGGCTTCCGTGAGCAGCTGGGCCGCGTGTACTCGGCGTGCGACTCGGCGCAGGTGCGGCGCGCGCTGTTTTCGGCCACGTTCGCGCACGACGTGGACCAGTGGTGCCAGCTAAACCTGGACAACGTCGTCACCGTGTCGGTCGGCCAAAAGAACACTGCCAGCGACGTTGTGGAGCAGGAGCTGGTGTTCGTCGGAAGCGAGGCCGGCAAGCTGTACGCCTTTCGCAATATCATGCAGAAGGGTCTGGCGACGCCCTGCATCATCTTCGTTCAGACCAAGGAACGCGCCAAGGAGCTGTTCCGCGAGCTGATCTACGACGGCGTCATGGTTGATGTCATTCACGCCGACCGCACACAGCTGCAGCGCGACAACGTGGTGAAGGCCTTCCGCGCTGGGCGCGTCTGGGTTCTCATCTGCACGGAGTTGATGGGCCGCGGCATCGACTTCAAGGGTGTCAACCTGGTCATCAACTACGACCTGCCGCCGAGCACCACCAGCTACATCCACCGGATCGGCCGGACGGGCCGCGCCGGCCGGCCGGGCAGGGCCGTCTCCTTCTTCACCAGCAAGGACGTTCCCAGCATGCGTCAGCTGGCACACCTAGTGAAGAACTCCGGGTGCGAGGTGCCCGACTACCTGCTGCAGGTGCCGCGCAAGAGCAAGAAGGACCGTCGCGAGATGGCCGTGCACCCGATCCGTCGGGACACCATTGACACCACGCCCCGGTTCGACCGTGACCGGATGGCGCGCATCAAGGCGCTGAAGAAGGCGGCGGACAAGCGCCGCGCCGCGGGGGAGGACGGCAGCCAGCGTGCGGCGCCGGCTGGCAAGAAGAAACGGACCGGCAAGAAGGCGGACAAACCGGCACAAAACAAGGGCGTTGGAAAAGCGGCGCGGAAGAAAACGAGCGGGAGGGAAGGTGCTGGGAAAGTTACAGCTACCGCGAACGGCGCCGCGTCGGCTGCCATCAAGGCGACGAAGAAGCGGGTTGTGAAGACAAAAAGTAAAACCAAGGCCAGCGCCGGGACAACCAAGAAGAAGCCAGGGAAAACTAATGGGGTGAGCTGAGGGGTGTGCTGGGTTCAGATGTCGTTGATTTTGATACGTCTGTGGAAATAAACGCCGGATACTGGATACAGCTGCTTTCGCGGATGATTGTGAGGGGTGTGACTTTTCTGAGGGTCAGCGCATTTGATTCAGTAGTTAGGCATGTGAATGATAGCAGCAGCATCTAACGACGTGCACGCACTTTCCTGGCGGACAAGGCACTCTACTGGGCGTACTGTAGGAGAAGAGTGGGAGGAGAGGGGGAAAGGCGGCATATGCAACAGAGTGTAATCACCTGTGTGCGACATGACCAGGGCAGTCGCCACGCCCTCGCACCCTTGCCAACAAAACAACCAGCAGTTGACGGTTACGAATCAAGAACGAGCTGAATAGCTAGCTTGAATATCGGCCAAATTGACTAGCCTAGCGAAGCAGCATTGGCGGGCACGAATGTTTGCCTTGATGGAGAAACTTTGAGGGTTTTGGGATCCGGGAATGCCTCATGTCTGAGCAGTTTTTTTTGCGGTGCTTCCGTTCGTGTTGCCTGCTGACAGGCGGAAGTGAGGGCCACTGTTCGCCAATGATGGCCCCGCGGGCCGCCGAGGCCCCGGGCGGTCACCGCTGTCGCCCAGAGTAGGCCAAGCGTCATTCGATCCAGGGGCGCTAGAAAGGCCTGTGCCACTTTATGGAAGCCGATTTCATGTTTTCTGACGATGATTTGTGTGGATTTTCAGCACTAGTGTGCTTTTAATCGTGATTAAACACGTTTTAAAGCTGGTTTCACCCCGGTAATTTTCCAGAATATCTCGAAAAGCTAGAAACCCTCTCTCACACAGTCCGCTCCCTCACCAACAGTATTCGCACAGGATAATGAATAATGCACAGCATGGCGCGTTGATAGCACCATCTGATTTCTCTTTTTCATAGACTGATTAGCATAGTCATTTCTAAGTTTCGTGCCTTATTCCGCTGTTCAGGGACCAGGAAGAGCGCGAATTGGTCGATAGTGTTAGGGCTTGAACAAGCGCTAAATGAACGGATTTATCATATATAGCATGTCCCTTTTTGCAGCAGCTCAGGCCGAGCGGTCACTGACATAGATCATTATTTTTCATTGTGGAGACGCTCGGCAGTCACTTCCCGGGTTCTAGAACAAAAAGTCATCACACCCATCTGGCAAATGCCTTTGTTGTGACTGTCATGCAGCGACGTCTGAGAAGTCGCAGCGACAAGTGCACACATCGGCTGGGTCGCGAGTTGCAAACACGCAAAACTGCATTAGAAGGTTAGCGTGGCATAATAACGAAAGGCCAAATGGCGTCCCGCGAAACAGCGGCGTAAAAAGTCAAAATGACAACTTGGCGAACGGACAAATCGCCAACTCCAACTGCGTAATGACAGCATGTTAAAACATCCATATGCCAGAATGCCGAACGTCCAAAGAGCAATCTGTGAAAGGTTCATATTTTAATCAATACTGACGTGGGAAAACGGAGACACGGCTGCCTACTGGATAACAGGCGCTCGAAAAATAGATATCGGCGACTGCGCAGACAACTGTGTAAAGGCCGCTGCACCGTGAATATGCATGTATTATCTAGAAATCACCTAGACAGCCCTACGCCGTAAGGCAAATGGCGATGCCAGCAATGGGCCGGAAGCGACCAATGGTGGTTTTTCTAACATAATCTAGATTACACGCTGAAGTCCAGAGCGGGCAAGCTGAGGTCGTGACGTATAAATTGACGCGCCCGTTCCTGTAGAGTTCCCCCGTTTTCGTCGATGCAAAATGCCACAATCATTCGCCGGTTTATCAACGATTTCGCACTGGCTTTGAAGTCGCGGGTCTACACTAGCGGCCCTACGCGCGGAGAATATTTGGACGCATCAATGAGCAATTTGGTGTGCAAGGTGATAGCTCAATGGAGCTACAACGCTGAACTAAAACCACATCATGCGATTGTACTGGCGTTCACATCCGTTTCTGCTTACAATGGCCGCGCGCTGTCGAATGCAGAAGCTGGATTGGTTGAGCCTCATGCTTTTACATCGGGATTGAGACGAGATATTGTTGTCACGGATGCAACCATTGTTCAGGCTATCGTCCTCGCCTAGTGCGTTAGTATGCACACAAGGTTCGACCAGTTGACCCTTCAGCCATTGTCAGGTTTCACACGAGTCAGGAGAAAGACTGGGTGGTATTTGGCTTTCAGACATTTTTGCGTCACGACACGAAATCGCTCCAAGAAATTGTGATTCCAGGGCTCTACCAGGTGAGAGAACCGGGAAGGACGTCGTGAAAAAAGACATTTATCGCTCTGGAGCCGCGCGTTACCACGCCTGGGCTCCGTATTTTGGCAACAGTTTTTAGAAGGCTCAATGAGAACACCGTCTAAAGTACGCACCCATATTCCAAAGTTTCGGGAACTGCGGCCCAATAACCCCCCCCCCCCCCCCCGAGCTTTCAAGCCGCATTAACCGCCGTTGTGCGCCGGCTTCGGCTGTCCGCCTGCGATGTTAGACCGCAACGCCCCGGCAGCGCGTCAGCTTCGTCACAGCTCCAGGTGCAGATACCTCCCGAGCCAGGCGTACAACTCTTCTGCGGACAACTTCGTGATTTGTGTCTGCAGACTATCAGATGGAGATGAGAGCAAATAATACGTTGCTACGCTGTTCCCGCAGAAAGCCGCTTGTCGGTAAGGTACAGAGAGACGCAGCAGGCACAGTGGTCACAAAAGTTCGAGTTGGGATTTCTCCATTTCATACTGATCATTCCTTTCTCCATGCCGTCATTTAGCTTTCCGTTATTTTGGCTTGTCGCCAACTATTCAGACATGACCCTGCAGCAGTTCGCCACGTGGACGTTTGCCAATGCGGCATGCACACTTTTTGGCATGTCGCCATTTTACAAACCTCCATTTAGCAGTTTGGCCTACTGTTATTCGTCCGTGTCGCCGTTTAGCCGGTCAGCTTCAGGGCACGCCGACTTTGTTGCATGTCACCAATATGAAAATTGTCATTCAGCGGTCGACAAGCAGACATTCGGCATGTTCGGCTCACGGTTAAGACCAAGAACATCGCACACATCGTGGCTGCAACGATCTGTGTACGTTGGCACATAGGGAGGCGGCCTTAAACAGTGAGCTGTGATTATATTGAAGTCTCAGCGACCTACAGTAAGCTGCGTGTCAATATCGACCTACAGTAAGCTGTGTGTCAATGTCGACCTACAGTAAGCTGTGTGTCAATGTCGACCTACAGTAAGCTGTGTGTCAATGTCCACCTACAGTAAGCTGTGTGTCAATGTCCACCTACGGTAAGCTGTGTGTCAATGTCCACCTACAGTAAGCCGTGTGTCAATGTCGACCTACAGTAAGCTGTGTGTCAATGTCGACCTACAGTAAGCTGTGTGTCGATGTCGACCTACAGTAAGCTGTGTGTCAATGTCGACCCACAGTAAGCTGTGTGTCAATGTCGACCTACAGTAAGCTGTGTATCAATGTCGACCTACAGTAAGCTGTGTGTCAATGTCGACCCACAGTAAGCTGTGTGTCAATGCCGACCTACAGTAAGCTGTGTGTCAATGTCGACCTACAGTAAGCTGTGTGCCAATGTCGACCTACAGTAAGCTGTGTGTCAATGTCAACCTACAGTAAGCTGTGTGTCAATGTCAACCTACAGTAAGCTGTGTGTCAATACCAACGGAACATGGTCTCGATCGTTGAAAAATTAAAGTTGTGGCTTGTAATATATATTGTCACACATGCCCTGGTACCAAAACACACGCTTAAATGCAAATTTGGAGTACGCAATAAAACTTCTAGGATATATCAACACATCGATTCATTGTGCCAGTGGGGTCCGTTCCTGCAACAGAAATCCGTACGGGTAGGCAAATAACGTACCTCAGCACAACGCTTCATCATTTACCGTCCGGCAACCGCGCGCAGTCAACCGAGCTCTAGCCGCCGCTCGCGAACAGCCAAATAGACAGATTCCCCGCTCATTTTCCCCTTCCAGGAGCTCTGCAGGCACCCATTCCGTGCGCATGACGGTTGCGGTGGGCGCCCAGTTCGTCCCGTTCGTCGAGACCACGCCGGGCGGCGTCGGCCGGCTCTGTCGTGTTCAGCGCGCGGCGGCGGTGTCCTCATCGCTTGGAGAGCGCCATCGCCAGGCCGACCAGACCGCCGACGGCCAGCACGGCGCCGCCCGTCACCGCCATCCCCGTGAGCGCCTCTGCGGGACAGGTGATGGTGAGCTGAGCCGCGCTAGGGTGACGTCACATCAACTAGGGTGACATCACGGCCATCCGAGTTGGGGTCAGTCAGGTGACGGTAAGCCATTCCTTGGACCACAGGCTGTCAGCGGCCACTTTGTCAGTGCTCTTTCTCTAAGAAAAAGGTAATTGTCGACTCGTTCATATTTGACGTTTGTGAGCAAGATTTCCTGATAAAACGGCCGGCAAATGGATATCAATCAATGTTGCGCAAGGTACGATGACGCAATCAAATAATGACGTGTTGAGGAGCATACTTCCATAAACAAAGGAAATTTGTTGTCTAACGTAGTATTTTCTACTTCAAAGTATGCCAATAGTTGAGCAGGCTTATTTCACAATATCTGATGCTTAATTTAACATCTCCAGGCGTCAAAAATTCCCTTTTACAAGTGCCCGTCAACTGCAGTGGTTATTTGCCTGAAGGTTCCATTACTACCCTAATGAGCCTTCTGCTATTCTTTTATTTGCCGTTTTATTTCTTTTTACCTAGTTTATTCAGCCTGTAAGCTCTACGTTCGGGTCCGCCGACCAGCGCTGTGCCAAGAGTGCGGTTGGTAAACGCCGCGCAGCGCCACGTCTGCACCACTCACCCCGTTCCATCTTTTTCTTCACAATGCTCTCTAGCTCTATCGCCTGCCGGTTGTTGGGCTCCTTCTCAAGCAGTTGGCGCACGAACTTCAGGGAATCCACGTACTCCTGAGCAGACGGCCAACGGATGTCAATTGGACGTTGCAAAATAGGGTATTAGGCTGGGAGAGTTCACGATCTCACAGTGCCGCACACCATCTCGAGTGATTCACGCAAACCGTGCTCGGCGCGGTCTGGTGATGATTTTTTTTCTGATTGACTGATCTGATCTGATATGATTATATGATATGATTATGATTCGTGAACTACCCAATAAGGTAGCGTCCGAATGTCAAAACATGGGACGCGAGCGATGACAAACTTAAACAATGTCACGACAGCTGTCGACATGGAAAATATCGGATGCCATCCCATGGAAGACACCAGCAGGGTAAAGACTGGCTCATACAACTGGACACGCAGACGACCAGATATCAAAAACGGGAACGGCAAAGCAACCGTCAAGGAGAACGACAACGGAAATCACGTTGGATCGCGTTGCTCGGTTACGTTGCTCGATTCCCTCGTTGCTCGATTCCCTGCAGTGCTCGCCCTTCCTGCCGCGATGAAAGGTAAGGTCATGTAGACTCAGCAGCTGCGTAAATAATTAAGTCTTAATCACAACGCCCGCGGCCTAATCTGGCATATTCTCTAAACAAAAGCGACACATTCCATACCACGGACTGTTGTCTGTTACGACTGTGGCCAAAATGACTAATTAACGGATTCCAATCGATACGTGAGCTATGCCATAAGTTACATGACGCTGACTTGCAAAACGCACTGCCAGCAAAACTCTGACGTCAACCATTGGCACTATCGAATACCTGACCGGTCAATATACAGCGTAGGACAAATATTGACACTTCTGCCATGCTTTTTCAAAAAATCAGTTAAGAGTAAACCAGTAGAGATCACTTGTCCCACAGAAGAAACAATATATACCGTTGACAGCTTAATGATGCGAACAAAAACACCACACCTGCAGTGTTGTTACGGCCTGGGAGCGGCGTTAATAATTCCTTCGATGTGAGCTGTCACCACAGCGTTTCGTGACGCTCACATTCACCAACATGACCATTCTTTCACGTCTTTTTTGTTGCAAGCCACAGCTTGAAATGACCCCAAGAATTCGTCCATGTCGCTACAATGAACTGAACGGTGCTGTGGACGTTGTCTTTAAACACGATAACGTCGCACAATCCCTTAAATGTGGGAAGCGGGCGGCGGGCCGGGCTGGGGTCGGGGCATCACGGACCAGCACGAGCTCCGCCTTCAAGAAGGCAGTTACTCGCCGAGCAAGCGGGTATGATTAAATGGGCACCACTTTCAGTGGCATGACACCCCTCCCATCCCACTTGGCTGGGATAAAAGAAGCCCAGGACCCATTACCAGGTGCAGCGACCCCAACATGTTGGCGTCACTCACGCCGTAATGGAGATCATCGAAAAAATTGGGAGTTCCCGAGGAACAATTATCTCAAAGATGTTTCGCGGAAGTCTAGTTTACTCGCTGAAAACGAGTCCACTTCTCTAGTCCAGTTCATAAAAAGAGCACATCTCAGCTGCTCACTCCACATCTCACACCATTTGACTCTCATCCCATCCAGTCCTGTCTGCCTTTGACAAGGGTTGCAGCATGTGCAAACAATCCCTTGCGAGTAACGCCCTGAGGAATCAGGTAACTAAAAGTGCCTAAGTTAAACAAGTGCAACAAAACTCCTGTTCATTGTACATGCTAGGCTTCTTTACCCCTTGCCAAGAGTCACCCAAGTAGACTGCGGTGCACACCTTGACTTTGGCGTGGCCTACGGCCAGAAAGTAGAGGTAGTCCCTTGTGGTGGCTGCCTCAGCACTTCCACTGGATGGGGTCTTCAGCAAGTTGGTCAGCATCTGGACACCTTTCTTCACATCTGCTAGCATACCCACTGCGCACCAGGCAACATGCATACTGGAACTGTGTGGATTCACTCACTGCACCCTTGCCCTTCTGCAGCTCTTCATAGAATTTCTGCTCAAACACCTGTCAGAGAATTTATAATTTGTCAATGTTTTCAATGTCATGACTTTTGCATGTGTGCTATACAGATGTTGTACAATGACATGACCTAAGAATGAGCTTTCAGCAACAGGTACACTGGAACAATGTACAAAGAAGATGGCAACAGTCTGGTTGTCATAAACATGCTAAATAACATTAAAAAATAGGCAAAACATTGCTCTTTTTCATGCCATGGCATAGGTCTATATCAAGGTAACCTTCACAAGTTACCTTCAAATCTTCCACTGGTATTGCTTCATCCAAGATTTCTGTCATGGTTGGTGGCACAGAAACTTTTCAATTTTTGCAGAAAAAATAACTTCAGCTGTCAGAGGAGGAAGTAATAGTTAGTATAAAGAGATGTTACTACAAGAGTGGTGAAATCTAATTTCTTTGACCAGGGGCATTTTATGGGCTGTGTCCATAGCAACAACACCAGAACTTAACACTCTCAGCTTTGGGCTCTCAAAAATTTTGATTGATTTTTTTGAGGGGCGCAAAAATTGCGGTCGGCCCCACCAAAAACGACCTTGGAATCTCTGTCGATTAATCACAGGTTTAAGTTCCACGTGCAAACGACGGCGGCGATCTGAAAGGCCAACCAGATTATGTCAGTCATGAGGTGGTCATTCACCAACATCGATGCTTGCATGCTCCCTTTGCTGTACAAGACCATAATTGAACTGTTCTTGGAGTATGGCAACATCCCCTGGGCCCACTTGGCAAGCTGCACCAGGACTGGTTGGAGCTGGTACAACAATGAGCTACATGTCTTGAGCATGAAGTGAGGCACTGGCCAAACCCTGAGATGCTCACTCTACTAGCTGCCCTCATTGTACTTCCATCACAACAGGGGAGACATGGTTGCAGTATACCAAGTGTTTCATGGAGACATGTCACTGTCTGAGAGGTAATTCCTGACAAGATGCAACTCGGGTGTGACAAGAGGACAGCAATGGAAGCTGAGAAAACCTCGAGCTGGGACCCACATTCATCAAAGCCCACTCAGCATGTACATAATCAATGATTGGAACATTCTTCCACCTGCAGCTGGTGGTACCACCAAAGTCAGTTCAGCAGTTAACAAATAACAAATCTAGGCTCAATTTACACTGGGCTGACATCATGTACAACATCCCACATTCACCACATCCATAACTTGAGACCATTTGGTTACCTGAACTGGAGCTTAAAGAGACTAGGATCAACAGGCCACATTGCCTTTGAAATTCCTGGTCACCACAATGCACAGCAAGGTAAGGTAAGGTTTTATTATGCACAATGAAACACAATCTATGGAATTTAGAGGTCAAGGTTTGGAAGTTATCTAGCTTTAACCACTCACATCAAAATTCAGGTGAGGTCATGCCAATGTCATTATAACAACCACTTGAGAACATCACCTGCTTTTCATCTGCATGACATAAATGAAATATGAAAACAGCTGGGTTTAAGTGTATAAAGGTTATGTTGCAAAAGCCACATTAAAACAGTACTGAACCAATGGGAGAATTTAAGATTATGCCCATGCACTTTACATAGTAAGAATCATAACACAAGGATATATACATGATAACATGCAGGCATTTAGGGGATTGGCTGGGGACATGTTCCTGCCTGTGGGGATGTGAGTGGGCTGTAAGGAAGTGCATACAACTTACTTCCAAATTACTTTAACATGTTTCACCACCTTATCTGGCCTTGATGGGTACAGAGAGTAGGAATGCTTGCCAAGGTCACCACACTTAATTGGTGCATACCAGGGGCCTTTTTAATGTCAACACTGTAATGAGACATGGAAGCCCTTACAAGATGGTCAGGTCACTGACTCCCTTTCTTTGACCCAATAAAATATGAGGTGGTGCACACCATCCATCACAATGCACATCTGACCTAATCCCAACTATGCAACAATTTGGGAAGTGTCACAACAGAATGGATCTGACTTAGATTCCCCTTCTTGTGAGATCATTCTAGATCATCTGGATGTACTTACAAACAACCAACCAAAATGCTACAAGCAGCAAGGTGTTTATTTGAAACTGCCAACTGCAAACCCTCACTTTTATACAAAATGCCTGCAGAATAAATTACTGGGCATGGCACCCCATCTGGTAGCATATCAGAGCATGGAACAGGAGCATGCTGAGCAAGTACAGTCATATAGCAGAGTAAGAGCACTTCAACCATGTCTGCAATCATGGTCAAGGCCACAAAAAAAACACCAGCCTACATGTTTGGTGTAGCAGCAACATCAAGGCAAATACGTCTGGGCTTGAACAGCATAAATCCAAAGGCAATTTGTACTTTTTGCCGTTGATTGGGGTTTTGGGGCACTCTGACTACTAAGGTAATTTTGTGTCCCATGCATGTTAGACTCATACCAGGTCTGGAGTCCTGAACTATGTACAGCGTACTTCACTCCAGAGGCGGACACGTTGGAAAAAAAAGGAAAAATGAGATGGAGACCCACAGGGACAGAACATGTGGCCTTTGAGCTCCCGATAGCTCAAAGACAAGGTAAGGCAGGTAAGACTGCAAAGAAATAATTATGCCAAGCCCAACGCAACGCGAGAGCAAGGGTACAACTTCTGGCTGCATTTTATACCATATTCAACAGGGCTTCGAGCAACTCACTGCACATTTGACGGATAGGTTACGGTCACTCCCACCCACTCAACGTACCCGATCCGTTCAGCCGTACCTGAATCAGCGCCTCTTCCCACTCTATCCAAGACCCGGTATACCGTACAGCTGACGCAAATACATAACAAAATACACGTCGTGAACAGCTGACGTGATTCTGAGTACCAGAAAAACTTGCACTCTAAAAGCGCATGCTGTTAGCATATATTACAAAAATTAAGACCAGATCGTGTTCAAATCAATTTTCTGACCGGAAAAAATAACAAAGTCTTCTGTTAACCCATGACTTACTGTGTATTTGTACTTTTTTGTGTTTTCCTAGGTATATTTGAACATTTTTGGTAGCATTGTTGTCGCATGTAACCGGCAGCCTGAAGCCGAAAAACTGACGAAAGGTACTCGGGCGGGGCGCAGGCGGCGTGGAGGGGGTGGTCGCTGGCCGGGTTGTGTTTTAAGTGTTAGTCATTTGATTGATATTTTCCCATAGTTTATTAGAAGACTGGAAAAAGGGAGAGGATTGTTTTGGATTTAGCTTCAAACACTGCGCGGTTAGTATTGTTCGGTGTGATGAATTGTACGATTGTCTGTCAAAGTTGTGAAGATTGCATGATCTCGGCGTAAGGTCTTTATCCAGTTGAGCTCATCACACGCAGAAATATTGCCATATTGTTGTGCTGGTGCGTCACAAAGTCACGAATGGCTGGTAACAAAGCGCTAACTTGCCGCCTGGGTTATACCAGAAGGTACATGCTGATTGCGCCGCAATCGCCGCGATGCTCGCACTGATCGATGGCTCAGAGATTACAAGCACCTACCCTTTGCTACCTTACCTTATAATGATCAAGAATTTTGAGAGGCAATCTGTCTTGTAAATCCTGGTTTCCTCAAGCTCCTGCTTGGTGACCAAACATTTGCAATCAGGCATGTGATTGGTGCAAGATTTCATGCATGATGTCAGCCCAGTGTAAATTGAGCCTAGGTTTAACTATTCAACCGAGATTGATGATGCCACTGGTTGTAGGTGAAAGAACATTTCAACCATTTATGAACCACATGGTGCAGGGATGGGGTGCTGCACAGGTCTCAAGGATGAGTTTGCCAGCTTGAGGTTTTCTCAGCTTACTTACCTTACATTACCTTATGATGATCAGGAATTATAAAAGGCTACTAGACCTGTAGGTCCTGGTCTCACCATTCTCCCAGTTTGGTAACCAAACAGCCTCTAATTATAGGTATATTCATTGTGGGATGTTATACATGATGTCAGCCCAGTGCATATCAAGCCTAGACTTGAAATGTTCAACTGGGGTTGATGACATGATGGGATGTGGAAGAGTGTTCCAATTCTTGCTAACCCCTGTGCTTGATGGGTTATGACAGATGAGAGTCCTAGCTGGAGGTTTCCTGAGTTTTCATTGGTGTCCTCTTGTCACCTTTGAGTTGTGCCTTGTCAGGAACTCCTCTTCCAACAGTGACATACCTGAGTGAAATGTCTGGTATGCTGCTGTTTGTGCCTCCATTTGTGTTCTCTTGTCACCTGTAGATTGTATCATGTCAGGAACCCATCCATTAATAGCCGCATGCCTCTGTGGAACATTTGAAACACTGCACGCTTGTCCCCCCATAAGAGTGTGAGTGGCTGACCGAGACATGACTTACTAGCAAACCATCCACAATGGGCTTCTTGTGAGATGATTATTATCAGGCTGTGATCCTGGATCTGGTCTCCTGTGTAACCACAACCCAACCTGCCAGAAATTCATCTGCCGTGCTGCGCAGATACTGGGCATCAAAGCATTAAAGCTGTTGTCTGCGTGCTCTGAGCTCAGGCCCAGTCCAAGTTGTGTTGGATTTTCAAATTAGCTTTGTGTGAAAAATACTTCTGGAGCATGTTTCCTGAAATTACCATTGCATCAACATAATTCCTTTTAATATTGGCTCTCTTCACTGAAATTCATGGCAGCCAGGTGGTGAATTCTGAGCATTTGAGTTGATGGCATACATGCTCCAAAATTGTTCCAGTGATGTTACTGCTACATCAGTCATGGTCCATGTGGAATGCATTTCTTGTAGCCTGTACCACAGCTACCAGGTTCTGGGACAGATTGGTTTTGTGGATCTGGTATGTAATGATAATAGCTTGTAATAGATTATAGGTGTACCTGTTTCTTACTTTTCTAGCAGATTCCACATGCCCTATATGCCTAGTCACAATCAGTTGTAATTTTGTTTACAATTGAACCTAGTCTAAAATCAGCTGCATTTGCTGAGGGTACCTATTGCCAGGCCTGCAGTGTTTATTGATTTTGTGCCTTTGCTTTCTTTTTAGCTAAAATCACACAACTTCTGTCTATTTGCTACTATTTTCTGTAAAGTTAAACCTAGCCTGAACTCAGACATGGTTGCTGAGGCTATCTATTTTTAACTCTGCAATGTTTTTTAGTTGGCTTGTGATGATGCTCCACCATAAGTTACAAGTCTTGCACTTTCCACAGCGCAATCTAGTCAACTCACAGCCACATTTGGTCAAGCACAAAGCTGAGGCTCAAGTCCATAATTGTCTAGAAAAAACTATAAGTCTCATGTTCATGTAAAATAGGAGCAAAATTAGACAATTTTGTTTGTCTTGTTGCTATGTCATGCTTTGGGTCTGTATTGGATATACCATGATACTTTTGGTAAATGTTTTTTCGTGATCAACTGACAGTCCTGATGCATCAAGCAACATATTATGATGTGAAGAGGGTAGGTGCTGAGTGACTGCAAATTGTCTCATTTCTACAAAATAGGTAAACCAGGGTGCCAGAAGTGGTCATTTGGTCAGACTAACCTACTGGTTTGCCTTTATGCCTACTGGTAACCTATTGTGTACAAGGAGCCTCATGGTTTGCATTCAGGATAAAGTTGCCAGGAAGAAAAAGAATACAGATGCCCATGGTATTTTGTTTTTCAGAGGAACTAAACAAGGGACATTTTGTCTCTCAGAAACATCTCATCTGATATCCTTGAAACCAGTTCAGCCATTGATTCAGCACAATGAAATGATGATGGGTGACAGTATGCTGACTTTGCTATTTCAAACAAAAGGTGAATATAGTTTTTGTGCACAAGAGCATGCAACTGAGATCTCTGAAATGTATGATAGATAGATCTCTGAAGTCTAATTCCAGTATATGCATAGTCTTCAATCTGTGATGCACCATAATTGATGCATCAATGCAGTTGTGAAAATGGTGACACCAGGTCAAGTCAAAAGTCATCCATTTTGACAGATCCCAGAATTTGGCCGACAAACTATTGCACAGAACTTTTTGCTGTGATCAGCATGAAATTTTCACTGTTTTAGTCACCATACACAGTCTGTTGCAGTTTCAGAAAATGATGACCCTAGATCAGGTCAAAGGGGGTCAGTTTTTGCCTATCAAAGTTTTTGTTTGCTGACAACTCTGTTCTAGGAACCTGTTGCCATGACCAGATTTAAACCTCAACCATTTGATTATTATACTTTGATCCCCCATTGCAGTTGCAGAAATGGTTGGGTCCAGGGTCATCAGTTTTGATCAAAACATTCCTGCTTGTAGACAACTCAGTTCCCAAAACTACTGTTGTGATCACCTTCACAATTTGATGTGCCATGCCTTAATCCTGTTTGCATTTGAAAGAATGTTCAATGAAAAATCATCAATTTTTACATATTTTGAAATTATTGCTCACAGACATCAATGCTCAGAACATATTGCCCCAGTAGCCTCAAAACCTTTGCCTTCACTGCCATAGGGAATCAATTATGGTGCATTGAGTGGTTAAGGTCTGAGTGATTGGAACAATAAGCTCTGAAATCAGACCTGTATGCTTTGGCAGTTCATTTTTTATTTTTTTCTATCCAAGTTTCATCCTCTTCCAAGCTGCTATGGAGGTAAGTTATAGTAGTAAGTAAATTATATGTAGTGTTGACACTACTAACACAATGTGTGCATTCTGCAGTTTGAGTGACCTCATTTCCAACCTCTTCCTTTTTAGATGCACTTCATGCTTTTGTTCAGCCGGCAAGGGAAGCTTCGGTTACAAAAATGGTATTGCGCCTACCCAGAGAAGCAGAAAAAGAAGACAACTCGTGAGCTTATAGCCACAGTGCTTTCAAGAAAGGCTAAGATGTGTAGCTTTCTTGAGTGGAAAGATTTGAAGATTGTGTACAAGAGGTAGGCTCTCTTATATAGTTGTACAGTCACAACTGTTAACTTGTCAGCTTTCACCAAGATGCTAAATGTTTGTCATGTTCAGTACTGTGTTGTGTGCTGGAGAGGCATGTAAAAGGGATGCAGGTGTGTTGAACTTGTACAAGGTGTCTTGAACTTAGCTGACATGGCAGGTATTTGTTTGAAACTTTTCAAATTAAAAACCTTACAGTTCATGTCTATCTTGCCATTAGATAGGTGTTGGACACAGAATGGGCATCCCTGTCAGAGCTGTAGTGACATTTGTTGTTTGACAACTTGAATGGCACCACCTCAGAATTGCCCAGCATCACTGGTGCTTCAGGTGTTTTAAATTTGTGTCCATCCAGCCAGCCATCTGTGCCCAGCCCCTACCCTGCACTGTCCTGAATAGCATTCAAGCCTTGAACTTTCTCAACTGTGATTAATTATAAGACCATGTCTTCTTATTTTCTATTGTCATTCATGTATTTTTATCAGCATTACCATGTTTCATTAGTGTGGTATTGGTATTATTTCACCTTTACCATGTATTTGATAGCCAGGCAATTCTTAGCCGACCTTTGGCATTGGCGTTTGCATGTCCTGGCTACCCAGTGACTCATGTAACACACGTCCAGTTCGCCAGTGCACGTGTTTGTGCCGGCAGGTATGCCTCTCTGTACTTCTGCTGTGCCATCGACAGCGACGACAATGAGCTGCTCACGCTGGAGATCATACACCGCTATGTGGAGCTGCTCGACAAATATTTTGGCTCGGTAGGAGGCAAAGGACCTGGCTCGATAGTCCATGGCCTCTCACTGAGGGCATGGGCCAGATAGAAGTACTGGGCATGGTGTCATACTTTGTTTATGTGTTACTTTTAGATCTTTGGTTTTCCTGTTGATATTTGAACTTGAAGGAATCACACCTTTGTTGAGCAGCACTGAGTTACATTCATGTTTTGATGTTGCTGTTCGGCAGGTCTGCGAGCTGGATATCATTTTCAACTTTGAGAAAGCATTCTTTATGCTCGATGAGCTTCTGCTGGGTGGTGAGATCCAAGAGACGAGCAAGAAAAATGTCCTGAAGGCGATCACTGCCCAGGACTTGTTACAGGAGGTTAGTAACGATGCTGTGCCCTACGAGCTGTAGTGCTTCTCTCTTCAGTCCGCCATCGGCCGTGCATGGAGCCAGCCTCTGCCCGATTGGTCGCCGTCTCGCGTGCTTTGAGCTGATTGGTCGCTGGCTCTGTCCGCTGCCATCGCATTGGGTGCCGGATCCCGAAGGTTGCGTTCCACCGGTGGCTGCCTGCTGCGGTGGTGTGAAGTACATGTGCATTTTTTGTTTGGACTGTTTGGGCGTCTGGGCGCAAAGTTGTTAGGCTTAGAGGCGCTCTGGGCTCGCCCGATTTTTGTTTTGTTTGGTTCTGTACACACATGCTCGGCTCGTTATGTTATATTCGTTGCTCGATGTGCGCTCAGCCTGGGAGAACCAATATGTCGAACACTTGGTGTGGCATCGTGTGCTTTCCGTGATTAACTTGAACAAAATCTGTGCTTTAAAGAGGCTTAACATTGACGTTGGGAGTAAGCTTACATTACATCAAGTGAAGTACATCACGTGTGATAATTCGATGTGCTTCCAAAAAAGCACGTTAGCGTTCAAATAGTACGTTCAAATTTATGTCTCACTTAAGAAATGCATTGTGGTGTGATAGATCAATGGACGAGATGCACCTTTGCAGGTTCTTAGTGACATTGTGCTTGATATGGCGGGCATTTGTTTGCGACTCTTCAAACTGAAAACCTTACAGTTCATGTCTGTCTTGCCATTAGATGGGTGTTGGACACATTACCGGCATCCCTGTCAGAATCATAGTTACCATTGTTATTTGAAAACTCGAATGGCGCCACCTCAAAATTGCCCAGCATCACTGACGCTTCCCGTGTCTTAAACTATAGTGCATGTGCAGCCCTCCACTATCACGGAATGGTCCTGTCGAGTTAGCTGCCGCAGCTGCTGAGTTAGCTGCGGATATACTATCCGCAGCAGTCCGCTAGGTCCTGCTGATTGGTGCATGTGCGCTGTGGGTCCCGGCCGCCGCCGCGTTGTATGTGATCGCCAGCCTGTGCGTAAGGTCTGCCGCGTGGCTCCTGTCTTTGGCATCGGCTATCTGCGCCCAGCCCCTCTTCTGGTGAACAGCTGGCTGGTGAGCCGGTGCTGGGAATCGGGCCGTTTGGTTGTCCCCGTATGGCCTGGCGCGGCCCCGTTCCCGCCAGGGCCCGGCGGTCGACTGCGGCTGGTACGGGGCGTTCTGGGGGGGGGGGGGGGAGGGGGTCAGCGGCCCCAGTTGCGGCTGGTTCTCCGAGGCATGGGGCCGGCGCAGGGTCTGCGTAGCACTCTGGGGGGGGGGGGTCAGTGACCCCAGGCGTGGCTGGTTCGCCGGGGCATGGAGCCGGTGCGGGGCCGGCATGGTGCAGTTGCAACGAAAGTTTTTAGGAACACCGGATAGATCATCACACCGCCGGACGTTGAGGACTCAGGTTCCTAGCTGGCACCGCCCCTCCAGTTGCAAGCTTCCAGCGGAAACGAAAACGAACGTTGGTTCAGCCAATCCATCGCTTATGTTCTGCTCGCGTATAACACCTGCTCATCACGCGCTGCACTTTTTTTATTTGTCAGCTCCCCGACAGCTCTGAAGTTGATCGGCACCCTCACACGGCCCTCTGTATGTTTCTAGGATGAGGTCCTTCAGGACGCACTGAAAGCGGTCGGGTTGACCTAGGTATCGTAGTTTAAAACCACGTGCCTGCATTCGAATTTCGATGTCGTACGTAGTGCCAGCCCGAACCTCTTCTGAGCTTGTGGCTTGCCGTCGTCGGCTAGACGTTCTGGCCGCCTGTCTTGCCGTCGGCTGTCACCTGTGTGCCGTGTCGCTGGACCGACTGCCGATTGGGCACCGGTTGTCTGTAAAAATGCGAAACCCCTTACCGGACCCATCCGGTGCCGCGTGCCATCTTCTACTCTTACCTGGTTCCGCATGCGACTTTGTCCCGATTCAAAATTGCCACTGCAGACTTTGTCGGCCAGTGATTTGAATGATTTGTTGAGTTGGCACGCGAAAACAATTTTCGTTCATATTAAGGCCGAACGTTACCCAGGTGCAAGCTTTGAAAACGTGTTTTTGGCATGACGGTAGCTTACCGTTTATTTTATTGCGGTGTGGATATTTTTACTGCTCTCCTTCGCATCGGTCGAGCTATCTTCATCCCAGTCATTCGCATCTCCTCTGACCACGCGTCTGTCATGCGCCCAGCCGCATTTCGGGTGAAGCAGCGGTTGCCGGCGCCCCCCGTCGTGTTGGCGTGGCGTCTGGCGCGTGGGGGTACGTTGCTGCACGTCAGTAGTTCACCCATGGTTGATCTGTGCCTCTCTTTTTGTCCGTGTCTCGCGTCCAGAGGAGGTTTGCGGAGTCTCCCGCTTGTAATCGCCGTATACCGTGTGAGTGCCCGATGGCTGTAGGCCCAGTCGGTCGCACGCACCACTCCCATTCGCCGCTCGGCGCCCGGCCCCTGCCCTCCTGTTTTGGCCAACCTCGGTCCGCAATTGCTTTTGCTTGGGCTGTTTGGGCAAGACGTTTACCCGCCGTCCTTGCACTTGCTCATCTACGAGTTCTATCTACGCAGTGATGTTTTTCCCGTCGGGGCTGGCGAATGCGGGAAAGTTGCGTACTTATTTTTTACTAATTCAACGCCAGATTATAGTTTTTGCTCGTTACGTTTGGAAACATGATTGATGATGTCAGATGAGATGCTATTTTCATAGCAACTTTCCCCGAAACATTCCTCAACTCTCACGTGACAGTCCAAAGTAACTTCAATTAATTGTTAACATCGTTACGTATCTATGCCTGTATCATCGCTGTGCACCGATGCTGATGTGTAGTTTGTTTACTTATTTTCGTTTTGTTATTGTTTTCCGTAGGATGACGCCGGGGATTACATTTTGAACGACTTAGGCATTCTTTAGGCGCCTGCTGTATGCCACTTTGTCTTATTGCGATGAGTGGCCATTTCCACACGCGGACACATTTTCGTGTACAAACTATTGCATCCAAGGCTTTGGATGCGCTATGTGCGGCTTTCTCCAAATCTGCTGTTTTCGCGGCGTGTCAGTGCTCTTGACTATTCATCACTGCTAACCTTGGCTTCTCATTTAGCTTAATCCGTTACCCTGGAATACATTTTACTTGAGATGCATGGTGTCATTAACCAGCGAGGAATGCATGTGCCTAAATCTGGCCGGTATTTTCTGATTGCTCAGAAATTTATATTGTTTTCTCTTTAATCTTGATACATGTGCATGCAGCTTACACGTGAGTGAATGTTTGAATATGGCCGTGAAGTGATCGAAGGAGTGCCACCAGGCTTTCGTTGCCGTCATTGAAGCGTTTGGAACATGTCACGCCTTGATTGCATGCCATGTCGCGGTACGAACCAAAATAAAGTCACGAACCGACTGTAGTGTGTGCTAATTACTCCATTTTACTGAGACAAGCCGTGGAGCATGGCGCAGCACCGCTCTTTGCTTTTCTGTAGCTAGTCGCTAATCCAGAGAACCGCCCACTAAACACGTAGCACATGAGCCAGCTCTGTGGCAGCTCGTCGCGATGGTGAGCAGCCGTGTGCCGACGGTAGGTTAGCGTGCGGTGCGCGGCGTGCCGCTGCCGCTGACCTTTGACCTGTGTCTGCAGGAGGAGACGCCTCAGGGGTTCTTTGATGACCACGGCCTTGGCTAGCGGAGCCGTGGGCGAGCGCTCTGAGCGCTCTCCGGGCCGGAGGTGCTCTCACCCGGTGACGCACGCGCAGGGCTGGCCAATATGGACCAATCGCGGCCGGATCTTTTTTGTTCATTTTTCTTTGGTGCTTACATTCCATGCGATGGTGTGCTTCGATGCGCGTTTCTGCGGATGTGGTATTGGTGCTGATGTTTCGGAGGCGGCTGCTGTAGGCGCGTGAAATTACGTGTCGTGATAAATAGTATTTCAGCAGTCGGTGCGGTGTCTTACTCACTTGCGCTGCAAATAAGCACGTGTTTCTTGTGGAAGGTGTGATGGTGTGACATTGCCTATTCAAGGAATTACTAAGACAAAGTGTTCATGCCAGTCAACCTCTGTGTTTGTCCTCCTTTGACAAATGTGCTGCAACCCCAGAAACGGGGCGTCTTCGATGATAAGTTTCTTGGGCTTAGACGTTAAGTATCAAATAAACCATATTTATTGGCGTATTTTCTGGTGGCTGTCACCCATGAGCACTTGCGTCGGCTGATAGCGTTAATCAAAGTCAACTTGCTTATCCCCATCTGGAAGACTAGGATGCCACCCTGGGTTGGCCTCCATGCCAGCGGATAGGGCTCGTTTGTGTTGAGAGCCCAATGATGCGTGTTAAGTCTGAGCCCTTGGTATGAGCGTGGAAGGCGGTCAGACCCGGCAGGGTGACGGCATTGTCCTGTCGTGAGCGTAACGTCACTGCTCCTTCCAAATGCGCCCCGAAAACGCTGTGCTGTACTGTATATACCAGGGACGTCTGATCATAAGTCCACGCTGGAGCTGGGGAAAACGACCGCCGTCTGAGTGCTCGGAGACTGCTGCTCGTGATGCCGGACGTGACTATGGGACGCGCCACGTCCCGAGCGCCCGCGCTCGTCTGGCGTGTCCGATGATCGCACCCGCCGGGTATGCTCCCGGTCTGCGGCTCTCGCCACCGGCGGGCTGAGATTCGGACAGGCTGTTCTCACCGTCGCTGGGCTCGCGTATCAGAGAGATTTGAATGTTCTGACTGACCATTTATCCAACGAGCAGGTCGTAGGCGGATGGTGATAGCTGATTCGGAGGCAGCGTGTGGGGGTGGGGGGGCGTGCGCATCAAGAGGACAGAGGTTCGGGGGACCGATCTGCATACATGTGGATGGGTTTCAGCTAATCACGAGTGCGTTGTGGTGAGGGCAGATGCGACGGCCGCGCAGAGCATTGTGGCATTTTGAACTCGCGTCACAAAATTCTGCCGTTGAATTGGCGTTTCTCGGTCGGACGGCGGGGTCTGGGTTCATACGCCAAGCACTGCTTAGCGCAAGCCCTGATCCCAGAAATTGCATGGCATCAACTTAATCAGACTAACCTTATCGAAAGGGAATGCGCCTTTTGCCAAATGCGTGCGGAATAATCTGGATCCCAACAAATCAGCACAATTCTACAACGCTCCTAACATCATCGCCATACTGATACGGCGGCTCGCTTTGCCTCGCCCTACCGCTTGCCCTGCACGTTCGCGCTTGCGTGACGTAATCACAAATTACGTTAATTGACCTAAGGATCCTTTCTGTAAACATAAGAAAGGCGCAAACGATATCTGCGAACGGTTGCGGTGAATTTTTCATGGCACACGGTCACTGATCATCGGTGACGGCAGCGTCACCCGGTCGTTTTCCTTGCCTCCACATGCGTCGGTGTTCACATCAGAGTTGGTAGCGATCACCGAGGCGTTGTGTTTCATTGAAGTCAGTGACGAACCTTCACATCTGATTTTGACAGACTCTCTTAGCAGTGTTCTTAGTCTTAGGTCTTTTTATCCATCATGTCTTCTTGTACAGGATATTTTAGGACGTTTGACTCAACTGGATCAGGCCCGAAAGAAAGTTATCTTGTGTTGGATCCCCAGTCACATTGGAATCGCCGGCAACGAGGTGGCTGACGCGTCTGCAAGGCGAGCAGCGCTGGCTCCATGCGTACGCTCCCTCTCTATCCCTGCCAGAGATTTTTACCCTGCAATAAAAACCTTTTTGCAGAACGAATGGCAGCGTTGTTGGGACTTAACAAATAAAAATAAGCTCAGAGCAATAAAACCCAAGCTGGGTCAGTGGTTTTCGTGTTTCCGCCAAATGAGGCAAGAAGTGGTGATCCTCTGCAGACTACGTATCGGACACACGTACGCAACTCACTGTTATTTGTTGCATTGAGCCGAAAGACCTGTCTGTCATCGATGTGGTGCTGTTCTCACCGTTCGTCATGTGCTTACATCATGTCCGCGCGTCAGGGAAGAGCGTCAACGATTCTTTGGTCAGCGTGACTCGCCCTTGACGCTCTGTGACATTTTAGGAGGCAACTTGCGCCTTCTTGAATCTAAACAGGTCTTTTTATTCCTCAAACATATCAACTTCGGAACTCTACACGGTTCACTATCTAGGTAAAACAAAAATCGTTATGGGCGGCAAATGACCGCTGCAGTCGGCGCGCCCGAAAACACCAATCAACAACAACAAGATCATCAGTGACAGCCCAGCCGTGAAAACGGTGTTTCACCGCCGCTAGTGTGAGGCGCGAGTATGGTCAGCCCATCACCACCGCCGGTGGTGTGATGCGCGAGCATTGTCAGCCCGTCGTCACCGCCGATTGTGCCACCGTGGCTTACGTGACTGTGGCGAGCTGTTGTGACTGGCTCCATACGACTAGGGCTGCCGTAAAAGAAGGCACATACCTTGCTGGCATGATGAGCGAAGCGTAGCGATCTAAGTTATACGGTTCGAACGCTATCAGAGCTACGTCGTGGCCTGGATTATTCATAATTTACTGGATTCGGTAATGAAGAAATGGATCATTTTACGGCAGTTGAAATTATGAAGAAAATTGAGCTGGGCCCATGGAAATAAAGTGAGCACGTCAACCGGCTCATTTGTTATAGGGGAGGGAACCTTTTGAACGGCAATAATAATTCGTCAAACCTGTGCCCCCTCCCCTCCCCCTCCCCGTGCCAAGGCGGGCTGCGCTCCTGCGAGGAAGCACGGCAGTAGTGCCGTTTTCATCTCAATTAGCCTCGGCTTACGAGTTTAAATGGAGATGAACCAATCTAAAGCTCCCGATCTTCATCGAAAACGCCCCCGGCATGTCTAAAAAATCACAAAAAGCATCCAGGGCAATCACCTCCACCCGATGCCTTGATCTAGCTCCACTAATGTACGGTGACGCGGTCAAAAGTTACTCGAATGAAAGGGATTGTGCGGTTTCTTCCTTAAAATTGATAGTTTCGGAGGCGAGGAGTACGGTAAGCGTATCTATTTCGGTAGACATGTACTGGGAATTTAGTGGTAGTAACGTTCCAAAAAGCACGGTCACGTTAGGGCGGTGATGCCACCGCGAAGTGGATATTGTTTATTGTTTATTTGTTTATTTAGGACATAGGCATTCCACAGGCAAAAGTCCAAGTACGGAAGCAGTCCAGTTTTAAACAATGAGCATACGATACACGTACAAACAAAAAACCTTGCCCAACACACACACACTACATACACATTACACGCAGTCGTACATACACCTTACACACTCAGAAACAGCAGTCATCATGAGAATGTTCCACGTGTGCCGGCGAACCGCGACAAATCAGATCGGAATGAATTTGTTGGATGAAAAAGTCAGTTGAGGGAGAATGCTACAGACGCGGGTAGTCGTCCGACAATTCCATTTTTAACAGTGTTGACCCTTGCAAATGACCCGTGGCAAACGCCGATATGCTGAGAACGCCGGACGGGTGTAGCCAGACTGAACAGTGATGTCAGGTGATCGCAGTCAAGCCTGTGATGATGCACGTTTTATAGAAATAAAATGTCAGACTGGGCAAAGCGTGCCTTGGTGCATGCTGTCTTGAAGCAAGCGAGAAGATGCTCTTAATCCAGTGGGGGAAGCCGGGGCTGACTACTCGAACCCAACCAAATGAGACAACGGTGTTGTGGCCTTGCGAACCGGGCGAGATGAAAAACGGCAGCACTGCTCCAAATAGCGCTACCATACTCCATCAGTGATCTCACATGAGCACTGAATGCGCGAAGCAAAGCCTTGTGATCGGACCGCGCTTGAGGGCACGACTGCATTTGCACGCTTTGCATGAGGAGGCCCAGCATCCTGTTTGCTTTTGAGACAGTTGAATCTATGTGGTTGACAAAGGTGAGTTTGGTGTCCAGGAAGACGCCGAGATCGCGAATCTGCTGTCAGCTATCCAGGCGGTGACCGCCTAGTGCGTATGAGTAGTGAGCAGGTGACGTGCGGAGGGTCGATGAAATGGTATTGCACTTAGCTAGATTCAGTTTCAGTCCCCAATTTTTGGGCTATTTACGGAAGCGATCCAAATCCGATTGAAGTGCAATACAATGTTCTACGTTGTCGCTTCGGTGATACATTTTTACATCATCAGTGTACATAAGGCACCCTTAATTTGATCAGGAACATCAGCCAGAAAGCAGGCGGGCAGCAACGGTCCCACGATGCTGCCTTCCGGGACAACAGATCACACTGGAATCCAGTCAGACTGCTCGCCGTTCAGCACTACGCGTTGTGAACGATTGCTCAAGTATGATTCCAACCAGCTGTACCCGCGGCTAGTGACGCAAAAAGGATAGCGAAGCTTGTGTAGCAGAAGGTGGTTGAGGCTGATGGATGCTGAAGCGTAATCGGGGTAAATTGCATCTATTTGTTTACCTTTTGAGATAGATGTCCAGCAGTGTTCAAAAAACATGAAAACTTTGCAATGCAAGTGCGGTTTGGAAGGAATCCGTGATGGGACGAAGGAAGGACGGGCAAAAAAAAAACTAAAAGGCTTTCGCTTACAATTTTCTCCAATGTTTTTGAGCAGATAGGAAGCAAAGGCACAGGCCTGTAATTTTCAGGCAGCTTTTTGGACCTCTTCTTGTGCGTCGGTATCACGTTCGCTTGCTTCCACATGGCGAGGAAGACGCCAGAGTTTAGAGAAAGCTTGCATATCATTTCTAACGGAACAGCTAGGTCCTCGGCACATTCCCTGATAATCCGGACACGGAGCCCGTCGGGACCACAGGCCTCGTGTGCACTGAGATCACATAACAAGCGTGTTATACAACCATGTGGTACGGTAAAGCTGTCTAATCCAGGCGCACTGACCAAAGGTGAGCCAGGCAATATAGGAACGTTAGGGCCGCAGACCTTGCGAGCAAAATGGATATTCAGACAGTTGGCGCGCTCATCATCACCCTTGTACACATTGCCGTCGCACTCAAGAACGGGAGATATGTGTATAACACGTGTCCGGGTAGCCGATTGGGTACCCTCCGCTCGGGTGTGGGGGGAGGGGCAATTTGAGCTCCCTCCCGAGATACCGGAAACTAAGAAGGCTAAAAACACCAAATTCAGTGCGTTGGTCTGTACGTGGACTCACGTGTGTCAAAGTTTGGGATTCCCGGGTGATTACCTTTGATTCAAATAAGGTCAAGTAAGGTCAAGCACCAGGTTGGTCTCCATAGTGCCCCCTAGGCAAGAGGTCACTAGTGCTTATTTAAGGCCATTGATCTTGTTCGACCTTTGGCAGGTCACGGTAACCAAAATAATACAAAACTGCTTTGACTTGTGCAGTTGAATAAGTGTCAAAGATTACGCTAGGCAGTATGTTGCTCAAAATAAAGCGTTGACCTGGGTCATTTTAGGTCACTGACCTATTCTGATCTGAAAGAAGTCCCCATGGAGGATTATAATGCGGGTTCTGTTATCAATTAACTCGAAATGAGCACTAGAAATTATCAGATGCAGTAAGCTCTGGAGTAATGAAGCAAACTGGTTTTTACCTTGGTCTAACCTTCATACCTAACCCTATGTCAATGGAATATGTTTATTCAATTGTTGCGTTACCTAAGAAACAATCTCAGAGATGTATGGCTTCGTCTAACATTCCGTCGTTGCGGTAGATTGAGCGATTCCCTAGAAATCGTTTTCGCTGAATCCGTGGCCTGACTTTGACCTGCCGTAGGTCAGCGACCTTACAAGGTACATGCATTTTTGCACCAAACGATCCGCCATTCAGTTCTCTACAGATATGCAAAGTTTAGTGCGGCTATGCCGCGCCATTCGGAAACCAATGTCGAAAAATCTTCCGGCGTCGAACTGACCCCCCACCGGAGCGCGTGTTAACAGCGTAACCCGGGGGACGTTTCCCCGGCTTAACCAGTGCGTAACCAGGGCGAGGAGGGGTTGAAAATGGCAAAACATGCGCAATGTAATTCATAGGTACATGAGGTCGGCGGGTGCCAGGGCACCCAAACTCTCCAAGAATGTTCAGCATCAACGCTATGGTGACGGGTTGAAAGACGCGACGACTTTTTGGCACACGAACTTTTTCGAGTCATTCCTCCACCTATGACGTAACATAGGGACGGCCCCCAGGTTTTTTACAGCACATGAAGCTCAGATTTCATGGCAAAGCCCGCTAAAATACGTGTGACAATATTTGTACACACCATTAACACAGATTTGACTGTTTTTCTTATAACCAGCAACACACGTTTTTTTTCTCACGTGCTGCTAAACATGGGGTCAAATGGAGGGCGCGCTTATCACAGAATAAACGAAGGGAGGGTAATTTTCGCCCGGCGTGACCAGTACGTAACCAAGGGGAAGGGGCTTGAAAATGGACAAGAATGCTTAATGCCGTTAAAACAGCCACTTGGTTGTTTGCACCGTGGCATTAAACGAGTCTTGGTCGAGTAATAATCGAATTAATATCAAGTTCCATACAATGTCATATACTCATATATATATATATATATATATATATATATATATATATATATATATATATATATATATATATATATCATATATCATATAATCAAGTACGAAGTGCTTGCATTCTGATCCTACTAATTACCAGGAAAGTTTCCAGGAATCATTGACAGTTTACCAATATGAACCATTCAGAATTACCAACAAAGATTTCATGAGCATTGCTGCATCTCTTGAAGTACGCTGACTCATTGCCAACTGGGACGAATGCATAAAACGGCATTCCATTTCGGGAACGAAGCCCGCACAATCCCAGCCCCAGGACGTCATCAAAGCCCACTTGAACAGCTGATCAGCGCTGCGCAACAGCTGACGGCATGAAGCAACATCGCATTGAGAGCAATCCGTTTGCTGGCTGTCTTGGCCTGTGTTACAAACGCTTGGGGTTCGCCGGTCCTTCGTTTAAGGGTCGTGCCGAAAAGTTTTCCGCCATCACAGAATATCTCATTGGTCATTTCAAAATAGCTACCGGATGCGGGAAATTTTTGCGAACTGCGTCACTTTTGTGTGGACAACAAAAATCGACGTCTTGTGCACAGACCTTGAGACAAACCGTGCGCACAGATACCGATTGTCACTGTTGTCACTGCGGAGCGGGGTCCGCGGAGGGCATCGCAGTGGTTGGGGGATCCGGCGGTAGGATAGGTTGACATTGGAGAGCGCGAATTTTGTGGGTTGTGATCTCGACGTTGTGAAGGTCTCATCTCGTGGTGTGAATCGCCGTCTTTAAAAAGGTATTTTTTTCTGGAAAGCTTTGTATGACTACTTTCGTTTCACATTTTTATGGTGTCCAAGCGATTAGTAATGATTGTTGCACACTGATCTTTGATAACTTTCCCCTCTCCCTAGTTGTGCTGATCATTGGACCAGACTGCTGCTACATGACACATTTACCTAGGGAATGCTGTATTGTGTCAAAGACTGCTCATTTTGTGGGATAACAATGTGCTATTTATTTTTGTGATTTATTGAATGTGCTGTCCCTTTGTCAATTTTGGCACTAATTTTAGCATTTGGTCTGATACTTTTGGTTAGATTAGTACACCATTTGACAAAAACATGGAGGTGCCTCATCCTATTACAACATTTAAAGGGACTTCTTGGTACTAAATCCAACTTCTTAAGGTATTACATGCTGGATATTACTATTATGCTGTTCAGAAAGGGACCTTTTTATGCAGTCAGTTTAAAATCTGTAGTATATAAAATGTAAAAAGCAACAAAATTGTTACTCATTGGAATAAGTTGCACTAAACCCATTAAGATGCATTCAAGGTAGGTGGCTGGTGTGTCTGGTCAGAAGCTTTTGGCGTTATTTCCTGGGTGCGACTACTATGCTGCTCAAGTGAAAAGGCATTACATATATTGGGAAAAAAGGACCAAACAGACTACAGATTCAAACAAAGTGGACCAAATACATCTAGAAACACCTATTTAGGAGAAGCATAGGCTGGCTGACCATTGGCTTTCCCCATAATCATTTATAGAAATGGGCACACCTTTGCGCACTGCAGTATTTGGGACATCTGAATAGTTCAGGTTACATTGACATCCATAACATTTATACTGGTTATGCTGTCTATGAGAGAACACCCAGCTTAAAGGGTTTCATAGCTTTTATATTTTTGATCAGGATATGACAATAAAGTGTCATGGATTATATCAAAACTGAACACAATGGCATGTGACACTGGGGTGTTGTAGGTCATAACAAAACAATGGAATGATATTTTTTATAAACTATAGCTCATGGTAAAACTAATGCTGTGGTTGCAAAATGAAAGACTGTAACACTACTTTTGCTGCCCATTTATAGAATGAGCACCTGTGTAAAGCTCTAGACTGTGTTGCTTTTTTTGCCAGACTGAGATAGCATTAGTAAGGATTTAGTATATTTGGAGAAATCATTGGTATTGACTTATTCTCATTATATTGTTGCTGTTAGATCACATGATCCCAATATCAAGTTGTAAATGCTGTTTTTTGCCTTGTACCTTGCATAGTGTCAGTACAGTGCAAAATGTGGATAGTGGATACATCCATGAGAAGTGACATACAGCCATCCCTCCACTATGGATCAGTTCTCTGCACATTGGTTCTTACAATCTCAGTCTTTGTTTACAAAGTTTTGAGGCTATTCAAAACAGAAGCCTCCATAATAACCATGAGGTGCCACACCACTCCACCACATGTCACCACTCGCTATCCCCTCCCCAGCACCCAGTTGCTGCTCCTGCCAGCAGCATGCAGGGGACCAGGTGCCGGCAGCCGATACATCACCTCTGATGGTCCCTCCCCAGCACTCCGTCCCCGCTCCTACCAGCGGCCATGCACGCGGACCAGGTGCCGGCGGCCGACTTCCCGGCCGGTGGGCTCGTGCCCAAGCGCGAGACGGGCGTGGCCAACCTGCACACGCTGTACCCTGAGTTCGACGGCCGCGGTGTGACGATCGCCGTGTTCGACAGCGCACTGGACCCGGCCGCGCCCGGCCTGCAGGTGAGCGCGCGCCGCCCGCCCGCCGACGCCCGCCAGTGCCCAGACGCGGCCACTGGTCGGGCACGGCGATGGCGGTGGATGTCGCTTGGTGCGAAGGGATGGACGGCCAGACCCTGTAGAGGAAATGGAGAGGCAGCTGTGTGTCTGGGCTGAAGCCAAGCTGGGAGAGTCGTGGTGGTCTGTGTAGCTGTGCTGTGTGTCTGGGCTCCAGCCAAGCCAGGAGAGTCGTGGTGACCTGGGTAGCTGTGCTGTGTGTCTGGGCTCCAGCTGAGCCTGGAGAGTCATGGTGACCTATTTAGCTGTGCTGTGTGTCTGGGCTCCAGCCAAGCCTGGAGAGTTGTGGTGGCCTGTGTAGCTGTGCTGTGTGTCTGGGCTCCAGCCAAGGCTGGAGAGTCGTGGTGGTCTGTGTAGCTGTGCTGTGTGTCTGGGCTCCAGCCAAGCCAGGAGAGTCATGGTGGCCTGTGTAGCTGTGCTGTGTGTCTGGGCTCCAGCTGAGCCTGGAGAGTCATGGTGACCTATTTAGCTGTGCTGTGTGTCTGGGCTCCAGCCAAGCCTGGAGAGTTGTGGTGGCCTGTGTAGCTGTGCTGTGTGTCTGGGCTCCAGCCGAGCCTGGAGAGTTGTGGTGGCCTTTGTAGCTGTGCTGTGTGTCTGGGCTCCAGCCAAGCCTGGAGTGTCCTTGATTGTATGGACGACGCCTCGACCTTTGCCCTCGGCACAGGCGGGGTCCTTGCTCTGGTGAGAGGGGTCAGTGTCAAGGGCAGGGAAGGATAACTTGTCATCAGCACAGCACGTGCAGCGCCGTTTGGCCACAGGCGTCGCCGTCCGTCCGCTGACTGGGGACGGAGATGGGCCGCCCCTGCCCAGTTATATGACAATGTGCGAGATCCGCCTGGCTCACTCATGCATACAGAATGCATGCTGGTGTCTTGCTTTGATTCGCCATCCACTTGGTGGGCAGAAGGAGCAGTGCGGGCTGCATGGCAGCGCTCCCGAAGTCATCCATTTGGTTGTGCATAATGGGAATTTAAATTCATGATGCCGGAATCCTGGCTCCCCGGCGACCTAGACACGCGCAATCCGTTGGCTGCTAATCTGTTTTTCTTTGACCCCGAACCCAGACATTTGACCCGCCCAGCCGATTCGCAAGCCCGAGCTGTCCATATGCTGGGTGGGGCTCGTCCGACTCGGTGTTGATGAGCCAGTCTTTAGGGGGGGGGGGGGGGGAGAGGAGCAACAGGCAGCCAACCACGAGCCGGAGATGCAACAGTACGACAAAATATTGATACTCCCGCCACCCGAGTAGACAAAGATTGAAACAGTACTGCAAAATGACAGCTTTGAGTATAACATTCGCGTCGTTTTCAGGTATGTATCGGTTGTATGCTCTGTCGCCCCGCGGAGCCTGCCGCTCTGGGACGGGACGTTCGTCCCATGCGGTTTCTTGCCGATTCTGCGTTCGTTGTGGTTTAAATCTGATGATGACTGGTACCTTTGCTCTCAATGGCAATATATTGTTGAACTTATTGTTAGTTTTAGTCCCCACTCACGCTTTGTTTTGAGATAACTTACCGTTCCGTCCCCCCAACACGCACTCGGGAACTCTCGTGTCCGCGCTCAAACAAATTATTTTATTTGCACGCACGTTTCGGCTGCTATTTTTTAGAGCGTGAGCCTGTAATGGAGTTCGCGTTGATGTTGAGGTTTTTCGTACGTCCGGTCACTCATGCATAACAAGAACAAACAGGTCATTCACTAAATGCCAGCGTTGTGAAGCCAATAACCCGACTCGGACGTGTCCATCCTCAGCGCACCTCCGACGGCCGACCCAAGGTCATCGACCTGATCGACGCCACGGGTGCCGGCGACGTGGACACGTCGCACGTGGCCCAGCTGCAGGACGGCTCGCTGACGGCGCTCTCCGGCCGCCAGCTGAGGGTGGGTGGCAGCACGGCTGTCCGGCTAGCGTGTGCCCGGGCCGCCGCCGCCGCCGCCGCCGCCGGCCGCGTCGCGTCGCGGTCGGCCCGCCGCACCTGGCGACAGAACCGGTCCGCCGGCCGGCCGCGGTTTTCCTTCTCGGGGCAGGAAAGGCGGCGCGGTGGCCGGTGTCGCGTCGAGCTGTCGCCGACGTGGGCTGGGAGGTAACTGGGTGAACGGACGGGTCCGGGGTCCTACACCGCCCCCCCCCCCCGTCCGTGGGGAGGGGGGAGGATCGGACCAGGACGGCCCCGCCGCCCGCTGGGACTGGGCGCTGCCAGGCGCGGCGTGCGTTCCTCAGGCTGACAAAGCCTGCTTCGGCGCACTGGCCTAGATTCAGCGGATATATACGCCACCTATGTAAATGTTCCCCATGGAAGTGTACCCTGTGTACATTTACGCTATGGGACGTTTTCTAGGTAATCCATGTGCACGAATGCCGGTTGGCTCTGTGAGCGTGTCATGCTGAGCTGGTTTGTACGACTCCGGAGCAGTGGAATGGCTTGAACCCTTTTCAACAGACAGCCCCGAGCGCTTTGGCCCAATATAGCTGCTGCCTTGATTCGTGGCGTACTTCGGCGCCGAGGGTGAGCTTAACTGAAGTTTTGTGACGCACATGCATCTACCGATAGCGGCAAGGCTGACGTTTCACGTGCTGCTGAAATAGCGATTGCCGAACTCGGGGTCACTTAGTGCGCCTTAGGTGGACCCGTTAACTTCAAGGCGTTGTCAACCAGACTCTTGCGGCGTATCGTTGAACAAGATAAGATACCTTATCAGTGAGCACACGAACCGCTTACGCTATGCTGAGTCATCGTCGTCTACTGTTGTCCGTGGTGTTATTTGTTATGTATTTTTTAAAAGACATTCCATGATGTGTACACACACACACACACACACACACACACACACACACACACGCACGCACGCACGCACGCACGCACGCACGCACGCACGCACGCACGCACGCACGCACGCACGCACGCACGCACGCACGCACGCACGCACGCACGCACGCACGCACGCACGCACGCACACATCTATGTTTTTGGGCGGTGATAGTTAAGTGGCTAGAGTGCTTCACTGTGGACCTGTTTGTCCTTGGTCCGATCCCTGCCACGCCACTAACGCGTCCCGCATGGTACCTAATAAAGGCGTCCTGTCTCGCAATGGCCTTGGCAGTCGGCCGGGTGTAAAGCCCCAGCAGCGATCGTTTTTGTCCGGCTGCCCCACGCAGATCCCTGCCGGATGGGAGTGCCCATCGGGCAAGTTCCACGTGGGCATGAAGCCGCTGTACGAGCTGTACCCGGAGAAGCTGCGCAAGCGCATCCAGTCCGAGTACAAGGAGAAGGAGTGGGTCAAACACCAGGCCACGGCGGTGGCAGAGGCTCTCAAGAAGCAGCAGGTGAGGGTCGGCAGAGCGGCCGCTGGTGAGGCACCGCCACGGAAGAGGGAGACTAGCATTTGTCGATGATCCGACGGCCGGTGACGAGGCACTACGGTGGAGGCGGGTTGTCTGGTGGAGACGACCGACTGCTCTGGTCCGGGCCATGAGAGAGCATCGGGGCATCGGGCCTTAAAGCAGCAGCAGTGGCAGTCTGGCTGGGGTATGCGGAGCGGGGCCGAGCGCCAGCCGCTCCTGTGCGGGCCAGCTGCGGCCGTGCAGAGCTTGGCGAGCTGAGATTGTCTGGTGCCTCACGGATGGACGCAATCACCTTGGCGGATCGCGCGGTCGCAGATGTCTGTCAACGCCTCGCCACGTCCATGCGCTGAATCTGTGTACCGTGGCGTCGCTTGTACTTGGCTCGTAATAGCGCCTGCTTGCGATTCAGGAGCATGAGCAGGCGCACCCGAACCCGACCGGTCTGGACAAGCAGGACCGCGAGGACCTGGACGCCCGCCTGGAGGCGCTGGCCGCCGCCGACAAGGCGTTCAAGGACGCGGGGCCGGTGCTGGACTGCGTTGTCTTCCACGACGGCAGCACCTGGAGGTGAGACGTGGCAGCTGGCCGTGCTCGGTGTAGCCTGGCCGGTCCAGCGCTCGGCCTTCTCTGCTCTGGAGGTGACGGTGTCATGGGAGCTCCGTGACCGCTCACGAGGGAGGCCAAAGCAGGCTGCTGTCACGGAGATCTGTAACTGACCACTGTGCCGTCGGGAGCCACCGTGCTATTTCGGAAGGCAGTACTAGACCATGACGTGTTGTGTGCGAGTCGAAAGCCGGGTGCCACCGGCGCCGTGCCTGTTCGGCGTACCCTCTGACCCGTGCGGTGGTGTCACCATGCTGTGGCCCCGGCCCGCCGCTGGGGCAGGATGTGCCGCTGACCGGCCGCCGCTCGCTGCAGGGTCTGCGTCGACACGTCGCTGACGGGCAACCTGGGCCAGTGCCAGCTACTGGGCAACTACCGCGAGACGCTGCAGCACGGCTACCTCAGCCGTCGCTGCATGATGGCGTTCGGCGTCAACGTCTACAGCGACGGCAACCTGCTCTCCATCGTCACGCCCTCCTGTGAGCGGCGCGGCCGGCGCGCTGTCGCGGCAGAGCCGCTCAGAGGCGCCGGCCCGGGGCTGGCTGATGGCAGCTGATGGCAGGCGCCTGGCATCGGGCTCGGCTGCGCTCGGAGGGGATTATAATCCCATAAGCTTTCGGATTCGGACGCCAGAATTTGATTGGGCTCTCAGATAAGTCGGACGCCCTAGACTCGCCAGTGAAAGAAGAACTATAAGCTCAGGCTCAGTGTCAAGCGTAGGGTGTTGCTGACTGGATCCAGATGCGAATATTTCGGAAACCTGGGACTCGATCTCGAACTCAAACCGGTAGCGAAATGGATCGATGCTGAGCTCGGTCTGTCGGCAGGTTTCCAGCGGATGTGTCGGCTGTCTGGTCCCGTTTGTTTCCATGTTGTACAAGGTGTGTTGTTTCGGTGAACGAGATGGCCGAGCCGAGCGGCCGGCAGAGCAGCGGCAGCGAGCGCTAACCGGTGTCCTCCGCAGCCAGCCACGGCACGCACGTGTCGGCCATCGCGGCCGCCTGCTTCCCGGACGACCCGGACAAGAACGGCATGGCGCCCGGCGCTCAGCTGGTCTCGATCAATATCGGTGAGGGTTGCGCCGCTGCAGGGCGGGTAGCTGACGCTCCGGCTCGGTCTGTCAACATGGGTGGGGGTTGCGCCGCTGCAGGGCGGGTGGCTGACGCTCCGGTCCGGTCTGTCAACATCGGTGAGGGGTTGCGCCGCTGCAGGGCGGGTGGCTAACGCCCCGGCTCGGTCTGTCAACATCGGTGAGGGGTGCGCCGCTGCAGGGCGAGTGGCTGCCGCTCATGTTCGGTCTGCGATCGGCGCTGGGCTGGAGCGACCCGCGAGACAGCGCGCACCAGACGTTAGCGTGCCCGGTCAGTCATTTGTGGCCAGGTTTTCGTGTGAATGCTGCGCCAGGTCGCGCCCTGGATCTGTGTGATAAAAGCCCAGTCATAGGTTTGTGTCACCAGTGTTTGCAAGACCCATCAAGACAAGAGTTAAAGCGATCTAGCCACGTATCGCGAGTCCTTCCCCTCGACATCAGTCAATGCTGATGATCACCTCAACCTCAACTGTACAGTTCCACGCGCGCTGTATGAAAAGATCCCTCGTCATCAGTTGATACTGATGACTGCATGCACACAGTGTGCAGGACCACCTGCACTGAACGGACTAGCACGCCCTCCATCTCTCGCCGGCCATCAGCACTATGTTTGTGTGTTCGTCCGCCAGGCGACGGCCGCGTGGGTACCATGGAGACGGGCACGGCCATCGTGCGCGCCGTGGCCCACCTGATGACGTGCCGGGACAAGTACACGGTCGACCTGATCAACATGAGCTACGGCGAGCACGCGCGCTGGAGCGACTCGGGGTGAGGCGGCGGCGCGGCCGGCTCCGCGGGCGCCCAGGACGGCCCCAGCTGCTGCGCCAGGCTACGAATGAGCGCTGCGAGGGCGTGTTTGCGTGCGCTGACGCAAGCTCGTCTCACGCTCCGGCTAGATGTCTGGCGAGCCCGCGCGCCGTCTCACGTGCTTGCGAGACCACGCTGTTGGGGCATGCGCGCTCATGATTAATGGGGTTTAGCAGTGCAGACTCCCATAGTACCTGTCATGCACTCACAGGTGTTATTTTAAAGAAATGAATGGGTAGGCACTTTCGGATTCTGTCGGTTGTTTGTACACCATGCTAAAAGGCCTTGTGGTGCAGTTAAGACGTATGGAGAGGGCTTCAAGCCCTTTGAATGTGCGGCAGATTCCACCCGTAATGGAACAGTAGGCCCAGGCTGATGCGAATTCTTGATCGATGAGAAACTCAGTGACTTGTACAGCCGTGCAGACACAGATGTGCGGCGCCCGGCTGTGGTGCTGTACGTGGCTGGCGTTGTGACGCGCCCTGTGGCCTGCCAGGCGTCTGGGCGAGCTGGCCAACGAGCTGGTGAACAAGCACGGCGTGATCTGGTGCGCCTCGGCCGGCAACGCAGGGCCCGCTCTCAACACCATCGGCGCGCCGCCCAACCTGCCCGGCTCCCAGCCCGGCACCATACTCGGTCAGTAGCCGGCGCTGAGCCGTCGCACCCGGCGGACCGCTGGTCAGCGCTGAGCAGTCAGGCCGGCGGACCACCGCTCTCACTCGGTCGGCGCTGAGAGATCAGGCCGGCGGACCACCGCTCTCACTCGGTCAGCGCTGAGAGGTCAGGCCGGCGGACCACCGCTCTCACTCGGTCGGCGCTGAGAGGTCAGGCCTAGGTCAAAGCTGGCCATCAAGCCGTGATTGGTTGGCAGGCCTGAGCGGGCCAGGCACAGACGGCCAGGGAAGCGTCAGCTCGGTGCTGACTGGGCTGAGGCCGTGGGCCGTTCAGCAGCGGGGCCGTGCCGAGTCGTAACGGATGTCACTGAAGGCCCGACTCGCCGAAGTCGCACCTGCGTCTCTGTCGCTGTGTACACCGTCGCATGCGACCCCTGCTGCCTCTCCCATAGAGGTGATCAGTAGCCGTCAGGGTATAGCCCCCCAGCTGCACTGGCCTGTAACCGGGTGCCGTTGGTGCGTGCTCACCGCCAGCCGTACGTGCTCACCGTCAGCCGCGCATGCTCATCGCCCGCCGCGTGCGCTCACCGCCCGCCACGCGTGCTCACCGTCAGCCGTGCTTGCGCCTGACGCGGCCGCCCCCTGCTGGCAGGCATCGGCGCCTACGTCACGCCGCCCATGATGGAGGCGTGCTACGGCATGCGCGAGTGCGTGCCCACCATGCCGTACACGTGGACGTCTCGCGACCCGTCCGGCTCATCAGGTGCGTGCCGGCGTGTCGCGGGCGGTGCGTCGCCGCGGTGGAGCCGCGCCGTCGCGCCAGCTACGCCTGCTGCGGAGGTGGTGGTGTGTAGGGGTTCGTATAAGCTTCTTGCACGTGATAATGCTAAACCGTGCGATCAGCACTGGTCTGTTTCACATTCTGGTGCAGTTTCCGTGTGCTTGTAAGTTGTGTGCCCTTGACCTGGCCTGGGGGCACAGGGAATCGGCGAGTCACGGTGTAAGTCCCGGCTGGAAGCCCGGCTTACTTGACTGGACCTGTGTCCGCAGCTGGCCGGTACATCACGGTGTGTGCCCCGGGCTGTGCCATCACCAGCGTGCCCAACTACACGCTGCAGGGCTGCGAGCAGATGAACGGCACCAGCATGGCATCACCCAACGCCACCGGCTCCATAGGTCAGTGCGAGGTGGTCGGGTGTCATTACCGGCTCCATAGGTCAGTGCGAGGTGGTCGGGTGTCATTACCGGCTCCATAGGTCAGTGTGAGGTGGTCGGGTGTCATTACTGGCCTTATGGGTCATTGTGGGGCGGTCAGGTGTCATTACTGGCTCCATAGGTCAGTGTGAGGTGGTCAGGTGCCATTATCGGCTCCATGGGTCAGTGCGAGGTGGTCGGGTGTCATTACTGGCTCCATAGGTCAGTGTGAGGTGGTCAGGTGCCATTATCGGCTCCATGGGTCAGGGTGAGGTGGTCGGGTGTCATTACTGGCTCCATAGGTCAGTGTGAGGTGGTCAGGTGCCATTATCGGCTCCATGGGTCAGTGTGAGGTGGTCGGGTGTCATTACCGGCTCCATGGGTCAGTGTGAGGCGGTCAGGTGCCATTATCGGCTCCATGGGTCAGGGTGAGGTGGTCGGGTGTCATTACTGGCTCCATAGGTCAGTGTGAGGTGGTCAGGTGCCATTATCGGCTCCATGGGTCAGTGTGAGGTGGTCGGGTGTCATTACCGGCTCCATGGGTCAGTGTGAGGTGGTCAGGTGCCATTATCGGCTCCATGGGTCAGTGTGAGGTGGTCGGGTGTCATTACCGGCTCCATGGGTCAGTGTGAGGCGGTCAGGTGCCATTATCGGCTCCATGGGTCAGTGTGAGGTGGTCGGGTGTCATTACCGGCTCCATGGGTCAGTGTGAGGTGGTCAGGTGCCATTATCGGCTCCATGGGTCAGGGTGAGGTGGTCGGGTGTCATTACTGGCTCCATAGGTCAGTGTGAGGTGGTCAGGTGCCATTATCGTCTCCATGGGTCAGGGTGAGGTGGTCGGGTGTCATTACCGGCTCCATAGGTTAGTGTGAGGTGGTCAGGTGCCATTATCGGCTCCATGGGTCAGTGTGAGGTGGTCGGGTGTCATTACTGGCTCCATGGGTCAGTGTGAGGTGGTCGGGTGTCATTGCTGACTCCATGGGTCGGTGTGGAGTGGGTAGACATCATTGCAGACTCCTCAGGTCTGCAGGGGTCAGACTCAGGTTAGGTCAGGTAGACCATCGGGTGTCGCTGTCCTCTCAAGGATTCTGTCTGCTGGCTGTGCTCGGGAGCTTGGAGCAGCGGAGGATGCCATGGTCGTGAGTTCACTTGGCGAGTCTGCCCCTGCAGCTCGCGCCCCGTCGCCCGTGACTCGTGCTGCGGCGTCCAGTGTGTTCACATGGTCCCGGGTATCTTGAAGACTCGAAACACGTTGTCGTATCTGCGTAGGCTGTGTGTTGTGTCTGCCCCTCTGTCGCCCGACAGAACATGAGCATGTCCGCTGAGGCGTAAAGACCTTAACCGTTGGCAAGCGTGCGGCTATTGTAGCATCCACATAATCGTGCTTGAAAAGATGTGGATGTCTGGTCTGGCTGAACGCCCGTCTCACCCGCATCGGTGTGTGTTGTAGCCACGCTGCTGTCGTGCCTGAAGGGGCTGGGCATGGAGTACTCGGTGTACAGTGTACGGCGCGCCATCAAGGCCACGGCCGTGCCCTTGACCTCACCCGGCGCCGACCCGTTCGCCGCCGGCAGCGGCATGCTCAGGGTAAGCGGCCGCCACACGCCCGACCACTCACACAGATGTGCTCACGCCGAGCTCGCCGCTGTGTTGTTAGGCATCTGGCGCACGCTAGCTAGATGTGGTCCCGTGCCACACACATGTGTGAAGAATACGTTGCCAGGTAGCTGCCTGAGTTGTATTACGTTTTAACCTGTACTCTTCCAAACATGTTCCTGAATATTGCGGACTTAGTTATATGGCTGAATCGGACCTTTGAACGATGGAATGAGGCTCCTGCATATTATGCTAAAGGGGATGGCATGTGGAACGTTGCGACAGCACCAGCACTGAAAGGGTACGATTGTCGCTGCTGGTGAAGTGGGGCAGGGGAGCTTCGCCAGCCCGTTTGGCGTTACGTCCTGGGAGTGTTATGTATGCAGCAGCGTGAGCTCCGATTAGTGGCTGCGGCCAGACCGGTGCAGCCCACAATGTTTCACGCCAACATGGCCTGTGTGTTGGCCGTGCTGCATTGATGACTATCGTAATTCGTGACGTGATATGGCAACACGTTGCCACGGCTACGGGGGGCGGTGGCTGATGACTGTGGACGCATCTCTGTTTCAGGTGGATAAAGCATTAGAACATTTAAAACAGTACCACAGTAGTCAAGATAAGGACGTCACTTTTGTAGCCACAGTTGGTACGTGTGGGGTGGGGCTAGGCACGGGCCTGTATCGTCCCCAGAATGGCACGGGCCTGTATCTCCCCCAGAATGGCACGTCAGTATCGCCCCCAGAATGGCATGGGTCTGTATCTCCCCCCAGAATGGCACGGGTATGTGTCTCCCCCAGAATGGCACGGGTCTGTATCTCCCCCAGAATGGCACGGGTCTGTATCTCCCCCAGAATGGCGCGGGTCTGTGTCTCTCCCAGAATGGCATGGGTCTGTATCTCCCCCAGAATGGCACGGGTATGTGTCTCCCCCAGAATGGCACAGGTCTGTGTCTCCCCCAGAATGGCACGGGTCTGTATCTCCCCCAGAATGGCGCGGGTCTGTGTCTCCCCCAGAATGACACGGGTCTGTATCTCCCCAGAATGGCACGGGTCTGTGTCTCCCCCAGAATGGCACGGGTCTGTATCTCCCCCCAGAATGGCACGGGTCTGTATCGCCCCCAGAATGGTCCTTTCATTTGCTGGCTACATGCCAGCACGCATGATCCTCCTCCTCCGAGATTGCCTCAAGTACTGTCTTTTCACCTATCTGGTATTGACCAGGTTCCTTGCGTTAAGACCGTGAATGACGTGCGTCTCGATCGGCGGTGTCTGTATCGCGGATCGTCAGCTCAGTCTCCAGCCCTGTGTCTCGCCGGGGGGGGGGGGGGGCGCTGGGGGCTGAGCTTCAACTGCTGCCAGCATCATCGCTGGTCACCTCTCGCTGTTGAGAAGCGTTCGCACTCGGCCGGCGGTGTGCGCGTCCCGCCCAGTTCGTTGCCGTGTGTGCACTCGCCGTGAGCCGCGAGTGCTGACGCTGCTGGCGTGCCGGCAGCGCCGAACGATCTCCACGGCATCTACCTCAGGGACGGAGGAATCGACGTGCGCCACAAGATCGTGGAGAAGGCCGTCTCCGTGCGCACACAGTTCATCAATCAGGACGCGGCCGGTGAGTCCGAGCGGCGGGCGCTCGCGGCGGCCGCCGCAGACCGAGGGGCGGCTGGTGATCGGTCAGCGTAGGGCGGCGTGCGGGGTGAACGCCCGCAAGCTTACGCACTAGAGATGACCAGCGTTCGGACGCGAGTGGAGATCAGAATAGTCCAGACATTCTGAGGGGCAGCCGGGTCTTCTGTTGGACAGCTGGGAAGCTTGTGAAGAGATTTTGGTTGCTGGACATCGTAGTGGACAAATTTATCCACGAGTGTGCCGTTTACTGTGAGCCGAGTTGTATGCGAAGCTATCCGTGTGATGCCGTCGAGATCTTGGACGTTCCCTGAGTCCGTTAACGCATGTTGTGCCAGAGTGGCGTCATTTGTGCGGCAGCTTTGTGTGTCTTGTCGCCGCCCTTATCTCGCCCTGCCCTGACATCCATCACCGCTGTGACCTCCCTTCTCCTTATCTTTCAGACCTCCGACTGTCCTTATAACCCTGACCCTCCCTGTCCTCGCTCTGTTAAGACACAGTGTCCGCCACCTGTCTCCATGCTATGTATCACACACCCCGCCACTGCTGCCACCGCTGTCCCGACGGAAGGCCCCTCTACCGCTGCCACTGCTGTCCCGACGGAGGGCCCCGCCGCCGCTGCCACCGCTGTCCTTTAGAGGGTCCCGCCGCCGCTGCCAACTCTGTCCCGACAGAGGGCCCCGCCACCGCTGCCAACTCTGTCCCGACGGAGGGCCCCGCCGCCGCTGCCACCGCTGTCCTTTAGAGGGTCCCGCCGCCGCTGCCAACTCCGTCCCGACAGAGGGCCCCGCCACCGCTGCCACCGCTGTCCTTTAGAGGGTCCCGCCGCCGCTGCCAACTCTGTCCCGATAGAGGGCCCGCCACCGCTGCCAACTCCGTCCCGACAGAGGGCCCCGCCACCGCTGCCACCGCTGTCCTGTAGAGGGTCCCGCCGCCGCTGCCAACTCCGTCCCGACGGAGGGCCCCGCCACCGCTGCCAACTCTGTCCCGACAGGGGGCCCCGCCACCGCTGCCACCGCTGTCCTTTAGAGGGTCCCGCCACCGCTGCCGCCGCTGGCCCTGCCCTGACGAGCGGGCCCGCTGTGCCGGCAGACCCTGTGAAGCAGATCAGCTTCGCGCTACGCTGCGTGCTTACCTGCGACGCCAGCTGGGTCCAGGTGGCCAAGTATGTACACCACATGAACTCCACTCGCAACTTCGCCATCAAGGTGGACGCCCGCAGCCTGCCGGAGGGGGTACACGCCACCAGGTGGGTCACGAGCCCGGCTGGGTCATGAGCGCCGGTGGGCCAGGAAGCTGTGTCAAGCAGGGTCACCAGAGGGTGCTGTGGAGAGGTCAGGACGGCCAGCGGCCAGCCATGCGGCCGCCGCGCGTCATTATGTCATGTTTGTCATCACTTTATCGCTGGCCTAGGTGCGCCGCATTCGGTCGGTCCCTAATGGCCGCCGTCCGTTCCACACTTACTCACCCGACCTCATTAAGCTGACCTGTTGTGCCTTGACCTGACTTACCAGGTTGTGCCTGAACCTGGCCTGCCGAACCTGACATGATGTACTCAACCTGGCCGTGTCTGACCCTACCTGACTGGATGTGGCCTAACATGAACGCTCCTGGCGTGACATGACCTGACGGGACCGGGTCGGCGTGACCTGACCTGACCAGGTCGGCGTGACCTGACCTGACTTACCTGCGTGACATGACCTAACTGGACCGGGCCGGCGCCGTCGGCAGTGTGAGGGCGTTCGACGCGGCGCAGCCGGAGCGGGGCGCCCTGTTCGAGCTGCCGGTGACGGTGGTGGTACCGATCCTGCTGGACCCGACAGACCCTACCCTCGAGCGCACGCTGTCCCTGCAGCCCGGACAGCTGGAGCGTATCTTCGTGCGGGTGCCCGACGCGGCCAGCTCAGCAGGTACGGGCGCCGGGCGCCAGCGCGCCCACGGCGCTCAAGCTCGGGAAGAGGGCAGATCGCGCTGTGGGTGTCATGGGGCTCCATGGCTGCTGTTAGGTGTGAGGGAGGCGTAGCGATCCACTGAGGGTGTCGTGGGGCTCCATGGCTGCTGTTTGGTGTGGGGGAGGCGTAGCGATCCACTGAGGGTGTCATGGGCTCGATGGCTGCTGTTTGGTGTGAGGGAAGCGTAGCGATCCACTGAGGGTGTCATGGTGCTCCATGGCTGCTGTTTGGTGTGAGGGAGGCGTAGCGATCCACTGAGGGTGTCGTGGGGCTCCATGGCTGCTGTTTGGTGTGAGGGAAGCGTAGCGATCCACTGAGGGTGTCATGGTGCTCCATGGCTGCTGTTTGGTGTGAGGGAGGCGTAGCGATCCGCTGAGGGTGTCATGGGGCTCCATGGCTGCTGTTTGGTGTGAGGGAGGCGTAGCGATCCACTGAGGGTGTCGTGGTGCTCCATGGCTGCTGTTTGGTGTGAGGGAGGCGTAGCGATCCACTGAGGGTGTCATGGGGCTCCATGGCTGCTGTTTGGTGTGGGGGAGGCGTAGCGATCCGCTGAGGGTGTCATGGGGCTCCATGGCTGCTGTTTGGTGTGAGGGAAGCGTAGCGATCCACTGAGGGTGTCATGGTGCTCCATGGCTGCTGTTTGGTGTGAGGGAGGCGTAGCGATCCACTGAGGGTGGCAAACGGAACCTGTTGTATGAACAAGACGAAATAGAAGTCCTGACTTTCTCGGAAAGGTTTGAACCAGTGATCAGGTGTCGCCCGGTACGTCTTGACCTTGCTGTCCAAAACCGCTCTTCAATACTTTTCCTCGTCGCTTCGGTTGACTGACGTGTAGCGAGGTCACAGGACGTGGTCGCACAGCCTCAGCGAGAAAAACGCTGCGTGTCGCCTCTGTTGGTGGGTGGTGTTTCCATCGTGCGCGTGCTGGCCGTGGCCGGCGCCGGCATGTAACCGCCGCTCGGCCGTCGCTGGCAGCGGTGACGCTGCGCTCCCTGGAGCGCGAGAAGGACCACCGGTTCGTCATCCACGCCATGCAGTCTGTGCCGCACATGTCCAGCAAGAGCTGCGAGTACTACAAGATGGCCAACCTGGCGCCGGGCTGCTCGCACCATGAGACCTTCAAGATCGAGGTGCGGTATGGGGGGATAGAGGTGCGGTGTGAGGGGAGGTGTGGTGTGGGGGGAGGTGATGTGCGATGTGAGGGATGTGCGGTGTGAGGGGAGGTGCGGTGTAGGGGAGAGGGGAGATGCGGTTTGCGGGCAGGACGAGGTACGGTGTGAGGGGAGGATGGGGTGCGGTGTGAGAGGGGGATGGTGTGCGGTGTGCGGGGAGATTGAGGTGCGGTGTGAGGGGAGATTGTGGTGCGGTGTGAGGTGTGAGGAGAGGTGTGGTGCAGGGGAGGGATGTGCGGTGTGAGGGGAAGGTGCTGTGTGAGGAGGAGGTGCGGTGTGGGGGAGGGCGGTGTGAGCGGTGGGGGTGAGGTGCGGTGGAAGGGGCGAGGGTGAGATGCGGTGTGAGGGGCGGCCCCGGGAGCCGCCTTGTGTCGAGTGTCGGCTATGTGTAACAGCCTGGTATTGGCGGAGCAGCCGAGCAAGGCTGCCTTTCAGCCGTTATTTTGGCGAGGCGTGCCGCTTGGATCGTTCTTCCAACGTCATTAGCATCGTAGCCTTCAATAAGACACGCAACCCCAATCTTCGTGATTCAAGCGGCTCAAAAAAGAATAGCCAGACAAAAAAGCATACCCAGACCGGTAGAAGACCCTGTTTGACATACATTATAAAGCAAAAAGTGTCTCTGTTTAATGCGCCTCAGGCGATATATCGTTTGTTGCCCGTCGACATTGTCACCATCTATCAGTGTCAGGCCGGTACAAGGTCAGGGCTGATGGATATCACCACTGTCGCGGCATGAGTGGTCGGCTGCAGAATGTCGTAGGGCGTCCTGACTGACGGCGGCGGTGTCAGGACGTCGATGGCGTGTCAGCTGTGGACGTCATGACACGGCGGACGTTAGTTCGGGTGCCCTCTGTCACTGCGGGATCAGATGTGTCACGATAATTAAGGTGACTGTTGGCCCTGAAAAAGCCTGCCCGCGTCACGGCCTGATGCTGATAATGACGATGACTGAGGTTCTATGGCGCGTCGGCCGAACTGAGGCCGCACCTGCGTGCCGGCGCGGTGTTTGTCGCCGCTCTCGCCTCCCCACCAGTCTCCAACGGCGATCATTGACCTCACCCGGCGCGGCGCCGCCACCAGGGTGGCCACGTGCTGGAGGTGGTCGTCTGCAAGTACTGGACGAGCCTGGGCGCGGCCGACGTGCGCCTGACGCTGGCGCTGGACGGCCTGCGTCCCTCGGCGCCCGTCCTGGCCATGACGGCGGCCGAGGTGCTGCGCCTCGAGGTCTCGAATGCGCTGCGCTCCACCGAGATGGCGGCGCCCCAGGTGCTGCTCAAGGGTCAGGTGTGCAGCTACAGGTGAGAGGCGCGGGCGGGCGGCGCCGGCCCCGCGTCGGCTGGGGGTGATGACGCGCCGCCCGGTAAGAGGCTGGGGCGCTGCCACTGGTCTGTGCGTTGCGAGGCGAAGGCTGATCGTCCGACTGTGGAGAGCGCGTGCTAGCTGTTGGTCGTTGGCTGTTGTGGCTCGGCCTTTGGTAGCTGTGAAGTCACCTGAGCGTGGCCGTGGCTTGACCTTTGGTGGCGGTGAAGTCACCTGAGCGTGGCCGGGCCTCGGCCTTTGGTGGCTGTGAAGTCACCTGAGCGTGGCCGTGGCTTGACCTTTGGTGGCTGTGAAATCACCTGAGCGTGGCCGTGGCGTGACCTTTGGTGGCTGTGAAGTCACCTGAGCGTGGCCGTGGCTTGACCTTTGGTGGCGGTGAAGTCACCTGAGCGTGGCCGGGCCCCGGCCTTTGGTGGCTGTGAAGTCACCTGAGCGTGGCCGTGGCTTGACCTTTGGTGGCTGTGAAGTCACCTGAGCGTGGCCGTGGCTTGACCTTTGGTGGCTGTGAAGTCACCTGAGCGTGGCCGTGGTTTGACCTTTGGTGGCTGTGAAGTCACCTGAGCGTGGCCGGGTCTCGGTCTTTGGTGGCTGTGAAGTCACCTGAGCGTGGCCGTGGTTTGACCTTTGGTGGCTGTGAAGTCACCTGAGCGTGGCCGGGCCTCGGTCTTTGGTGGCTGTGAAGTCACCTGAGCGTGGCCGTGGTTTGACCTTTGGTGGCGGTGAAGTCACCTGAGCGTGGCCGTGGCTCAGCCTTTGGTGGCTGTGAAGTCACCTGAGCGTGGCCGTGGTTTGACCTTTGGTGGCTGTGAAGTCACCTGAGCGTGGCCGTGGCTCAGCCTTTGGTGGCTGTGAAGTCACCTGAGCGTGGCCGGGTCTCGGTCTTTGGTGGCTGTGAAGTCACCTGAGCGTGGCCGTGGTTTGACCTTTGGTGGCGGTGAAGTCACCTGAGCGTGGCCGTGGCTCAGCCTTTGGTGGCTGTGAAGTCACCTGAGCGTGGCCGAGTCTCTGGTTTAGTCTGAGTCGCCCTCTGTGTCTGCAGGCCGACCTCTGCCAAGGTGTCTCCGTTGTCGGATGACCGCGACACACTGCCCGACGGGCGGGTCATCTACGGACTGACCTTGACCTACGGCATCAACGTGCTCAAAGCGGGAGACATCACGCCCGACTTGTGAGTCGCACGATCCCGTCCGTGCCCGCCCCAGTGCTCGGATGGGTGGAAGGCGCGCGCCCGTGGCGGTTGCTGACCGTCAGCCATTCCCACCCCGCAGTGAATGTGAGTGTGAGAAGCTGATACGCTACCGTGCGCTGCTGCGCCACTGCTGAGGGTCCGCGCTCGAGCGGCGTGTCACTGCTGAGCGCCCTGCTGCGCTCCCAGACGTTGGTCGCGTGAAACTGATGTGTACCTACATTGCGGGCTCCCCGAAGAAGCGCCGATAGTGGTGACAGTTCTTCCTCGTGGTACCGCGCGCTTGCCTGCGCCTTGTCTCGAGGCGGCGGCCGGCCCCGCCGCCGCGCGTCGCCGAGCGCTCTGCACCATGATGACCGCTCGCTGGAGCTGGGTGGCTGGCTGCTGACCCTGGCCCCGCCCTCACCCCCGCTGGAGTGCAGCCAGTTCCTGAGCGATACGCTGTACGAGTCCGAGTTCGAGTCTCAGATGTGGATGCTGTTCGACGCGAACAAGCAGTACGTCGCGGCCGGCGACGCCTACCCGAGCAAGGTGAGGCCGGCCGGTGCGGACGCTCGCGGCCCGGCCCGGTCGGTGACCGGGCGCTCCTAATGATCCGGTGACCTGGTGACCGGGCGCTCCTGATGATCCGGTGACCTCCTGGTGACCGGGCGCTCCTGATGATCCGGTGACCTGGTGACCGGGCGCTCCTGATGATCCGGTGACCTGGTGACCGGGCGCTCCTGATGATCCGGTGACCTCCTGGTGACCGGGCGCTCCTGATGATCCGGTGACCTGGTGACCGGGCGCTCCTGATGATCCGGTGACCTGGTGACCGGGCGCTCCTGATGATCCGGTGACCTCCTGGTGACCGGGCGCTCCTGATGATCCGGTGACCTGGTGACCGGGCGCTCCTGATGATCCGATGACCTCCCGGTGATCGGGCGCTCCTGCTTCTCACATGCCGTTCAATAGATCTGGTGAAGTGGGCCCAGCCTTAATGCTTTGGGTTGTCCGCTGTATGCGCATTATTTTGACTTAATTCGTAGACTGCAAAACGTATTGTGTTGATCTTTGGTAGGCATTGTCTGTGCTGAATTAATCGCGCACTAACAATACTTAATGTGTGAATCGTGCATTCTCGGTGTTGTTATCGGTCTCGCGCAGGACGCAGATCGGCCCCTGTGTTTGCCGACACAGTGTGACCGCTGCCACTGGCTGCAGCTGTCAGTGAACCTTATCGTGTGTCACTCATCCTGCGTGCGGCGAGGGCCTCGACTCGTACACCAGTACTCCGTGCGTGTAGTGGGGGGCGTTTGCGTGGATTGCAGTGCGTTGGTGTGACGCAGGCGTTCCTCACACTTCAGTACTCTGTGCGGGTGGAGAAGGGCGAGTACACTCTGATGCTGCGCATTCGCCACGAGAAGCGGGAGCTGCTGGAAAAGCTGACCGATCTCTCGCTGCAAGTCACCTTCAAGCTGCCCAGCGAGCTCAAGGTCGGTGGGCGATCACCTGCCGCAGTGTCCGGGGTCGCAGTATTCGGCCAGTGGGCTGGCAGGGATGTGGATAGGCTTTCCTAGTGTCGCACCTCTCGAGTCGGGGCTCACTCTTGCTCCTCCCGCGCTCAAAATCGTCCAGTTAGGCATCATGCCAGACTTCGGTCAACCCGGCATCTAGGCGCGTCTGGGTTGGAATCGGCCGGGCAGGTCAAATGTCAGGGTTCGGGGTCAAAGGGCAACAGATTAGCAGCCAACGAATCGTGCGTGCGGAGGCCGCCGGAGAGCCAGAATTCGGTGGCGTGAAGATGTGTTTCCGACCTGCACGCCCTTTGGATGCATTTCGCAACGCTGCGCTGCACTGGCCCTCATGTGAGCGGCGCGCGGACCTGAAGTGTATTCATCGAACCGACTTAGCGACCCGGCTGAGGTCATGTACCGTCTGGGCGGCGTGTTGGACCGGCCTCAGCTGGCACAGGCTGGAGGTGGTGCGGGTGACGTTCTGTTTCTCCCCGGCGACCCCCACCGCGATGCCGGTGCGACCTGGCCGGCTGACAGGGTGCGTCGGTGCGCCGCGCTCGTCCGGGGTCACGCTGCAGCGCTGCGAATCAGACTTGGAGTGCTCCTTGTTCGCTGAAGGGGTGCGATGGTTTGGCGGTGCTGCTGACGCTCGTCACGTGTTTTTTTCTGCACCTGGTTCTCTGTGACACCGTATTGCCTGCGCTTCCTCGTGCTCCCGCAGCTCGCCGGCTCGACATGTTATCATATTTTACATATCGCACAGCGCTAGAGCGCGTTCTGTTTCAGCGTATCTTGCAAGCCCGTCACACTCGCTACTCCGTTATAAACAATAAGTTCAGTTTTGAGTCGTGCTAACGTTACAGTAGCGACATGACGTCGTAAATTTCTGTGTCTCCAGTCACCGCCTGGAGCTCTGTAGCCAGCTGCTATCCTCGCCACCTCACAGTCTGTAAAATACGTCATGTGTTCCCCAGCTGGATGGGCTCATGACGGCCATGCTCCCGTGTTCTGTTTCGTGTTCCTTGTTCATGCTCCCGAAAGATCGTGGGCTCGGAACATCCCCGGCACTACCTGGGCCCCTGCCCAAAGTCAGAGATAGCGACGATGATAGGTCCGCGTACCGCATCACGAAGCCGATCCAGCACTGAGCGTGCCCCAAAACACCGAGCGCTACGGCCCATCACCCGTGCAGCCAGCATCCGTCCAACGGTGCTCACTCCTGGGGCGTCGACTGACCGCGAGCCGTCGGTGCCGACAGCTGGACACGCACTACCGGTACAACGACGCGCTGACGGGCAGCCGGCGCGCCAGCACGGCCCAGCTGCGGCCCGGCCTCCGGCTGCCGGTCTACATCGCGCCGCTGGCACTCAGCAACAACAGGCTAGTGGGGGGTCGGCCCGCCGCCGCTGGTCGGTCGGCCGCACGGACAGCAGCGGCCGGCCTGCATGTGCACGACGAGCGCTGGGTGGAGGCGTCAGCACGGATCGGATGGTCGATGCTGGAGCTCTTTTGGTAGTGGACGGATCGCTGCCGACAATGTCCGTTGTTTAGGGGGCTTCCTGCGGGTGGCTTCAAAGTTGCTGAGAATGTGTGCAGGTGTTAAGGCGCGTTTGGCGTTTAGTTGTTTTTGTCTTCGTACCGTTTATGATGTGTCGTTTCGTTTTGTCACCTGACGCCGCGACCGTTGGCCTGACCTGTCACCGACGCTGCCGTGACCTGTCACAGACGCTGTGGTGACCTTTCACCGACGCCACCGTGACCTGTCACAGACGCTGTGGTGACCTGTCACCGACACAGCCCTGGCCTGTCACAGACTCTGCCGTCACCTGTCACTGACGCCGCCGTGACCTGTCACCGACACAGCCCTGGCCTGTCATCGACGCCGCCGTGACCTGTCACCGATACAGCCCTGGCCTATCACCGACGCCGCCGTGACCTGTCACCGACTCGTAGTGGCCGTGACCTATTCCTGACGTCGCACCGCTACCTCGCTTCCCTGGCCTGTCACCGATGCTGCCCCGACCTGTGACCTCGTGTCGCAGCGCTGTCCCGTGACCGACGCCGCGCTGCGCCGACAGGACCTCGAAGCTGTCGCTGTCGGCCGGCCAGCTGCTGGTGGGCCATCTGACCCTGCAGCCGACCCGCGGCGGCTACGACAAGGCGGTACGCGCACGCCCTCGGCCCGGCCGCCAGGGCCCCCAACCGGTGTGAACGCCCTCAGTCCCGGCCGCTCACCTGCGAGCCGCCGCCTATTGGTCGGCTTGGTGGAGGGACGACATAATTGGGTGCTGATTGGTCGATCTGGCGGTGAAGTGGCGCGACTGATCGCTGGTTGGGGGACCGGGCTTTGATTGGTCGATCTGGCGTTGGGACTCCCGGAGGAGGCGTGCACATACGCTTGTGTGGATGGACGTGCTTGTCTATTGAGTCGTGCGACCTGATGCGAGGGATCTGACTGGGGTCATCCGTGACCAATCCCCAAAACAATAACGTACGCTTTAATAACACTAATTGCATCTGCTTATTATATTAAAATGTTAAGATTTAAGCTATTTAACAATGATGACAAAAACATTTTAAAACGTCAACACCTAATTCGACCTTGCTCAGTCGTAAACTGAACCAAGTCTTGGCAACTGTAACAGTTTTGTATATATTGTAGGCTCTCATTGTGTTTGTGCTTTCTTGACGAAATGGCTTCAAACGCGCCTCAAATGACAACGCGGCACCATTTTGGAGTCGTGGTAAACGCCGCGCGTACTAGAAATCAGCTAACGGATTTCTAACAAGCACAGCGCCCGCAATCGGCAAATTCCACGAATAGCTGTGCTGATAAAGCGCGATGTCACCACCAGCATGATGACCTTGCTGATAGCAAGACCGGCGTTGGACGCCAGATCATGGACGTGTGTATATGGTGGCGTGCATTTGCGACAGACCGGCTGCAGTCGGTCGGTGAGACGTGCGACTGACGTGAGCCGTGACTCCGGCGGCGTCCGGCAGGGCCAGTTTCCGTTCCGCTACTTCATCCCCGACGTGGCCAGGAAGACGTCCAGCAAGCCGGAGAAGGAGAAGGTCTCCAAGCAGGAGGAGTTCCAGACGGCGCTCAAGGACTTCAAGATCATGTGGCTGGGCAAGCTGGGCTCGGGTAGGCGTGCGCCCGGCTCTGAGTGCTCCCCCCCCCCTCCCCCTGCACACACACGCGCGCGGGGTCTCATGGTCCAACTCGTGGATGTTTGTGACGGCGTTCGAACGCGTACGACGCTGCGCACATATGCACAAACCGATCGAAGTGACGGGGGAGTCGTGTCGCTGACATCGGGCTCCCCGTAACAAGCATGGGGAAGATGGCACGGCTATGGAAGGCACTCGGGCGCGCGTGTTTTGCTGTCATACGATCGAGCACTTGCACGGCTATGTTGAAAGGCGCTCGAGCGCGCGTGTTTTGCTGTAATACGATCGAGCACTCGCACGTTGAAGCTGTGAGAGGGGTTCAGACAAGTTCTTCCCATGCCAAAGATAATGACATAACGCGGTATTAACTAACGATCATCGCAGATAGATGCGACGTGTCAGGGCCTGGGTCACGCGCTGCCGATGGGCGGGTTGACGCGCTGCCAGTGAGCGGGTGGATCCGCCGCCGGTGGGCGGGTGGACCCGCTGCCGGTGGACGGGTTGACGCGGTGCAGGTGGGCGGGTGGACCCGCCGTCGGTGAACGGGTGGACGCGCTGCCGGTGAGCGAGTGGACGCGCTGCCGGTGAGCGGGTTGACGCGCTGTCAGTGGGCGGGTGGACGCGCTGCCGGCGAGCGGGTGCATGCGCCGCCGGTGGGCGGGTGGACGCGCTGCCGGTGGGCGGGTGGACCCGCTGCCGGTGGACGGGTTGACGCGGTGCAGGTGGGCGGGTGGACCCGCTGTCGGTAAGCGGGTTGACGCGCTGCCGGTGGGCGGGTGGACGCGCTACCGGTGGGCGGGTGGACGCGTTGCCGGTGAGCGGGTTGACGCGCTGCCGGTGGGCGGGTGGACGCGCGGCTCCAGCTGGCTCTGACTGGCCACTGTCGCAGGCGGTGGTGACGCGGCGTCGAACCTGCTGGACGAACTGCTGGTCGGGGAGCGGCTGGATCGCATCTGCGCCAACAGTGCTAAGCTGCAGACACTGGACACGACGCTGGTAAGTGGGCGTCGCGTGCGGGCCGCCAAATTGCCAGCGACGCCGGTGAGACCTCAGGCACAGGTCAATTGAGCACACTGATGACTGTGGCAAAAGCGCAGTGGATGGCTCGGAGACCGCGGGTGGCCGGTGCTGCTGTGAGTGAGTCCGGCGCGCTGTCCTCTGACGCAGCTCCGCCCCTCGATCCCTGTCCCGGTGGTCCGTCCGACGCCGTGTCTGTGACGCCGCCGTCCCGCTGTGGCCAGGAGAAGGACGCGGCGGAGGTGGTGCGGCGCGCCGACGCCGTGCTGGCCGACGTGGACCGGGTCCGCCTGCTCACCTACTACGGTCGCAAGAACGCCGCCGCCGAGGACGCCGCCGTCAAAAGGTGGGCCGTCGGCGAGCGTGCCAGGCCGCCGGACCTGGTGCGGGTTACACCGACGGGAAGTCGACGCGATGCGCTTAAAGATGACCGTTGCGGGATATCTGCCATGCCCTCACCCAGCTGCCCCCATCTGCGGGTGCTGCATCGCCGTGGAAAGATCGGCCAAAGCACCGGTAGTCACAGAGTTGCAATCACCCTCAGTTAAGTAAAGCTGGGGGTGGGGGGTGGAACACGGCCGGAGTACCCCACAGCACTATCAGTAGCTCGCGGCACCGTGCCCCTGAGCCGGTCACTCGCGAGGCGCTTGTCTTTTCCAGGAACCATCGCAGAACAGAAGTATCGTGCCCAAACCTGCAGGCCTGCATCTCTGCCTTCGCCTTTGCGTGGCGGGGAAGCAAACTCCGTGTCGTGCGCCGCACAACGCCGCAGCTTTTCGTGACTCCCACCTCCCTCCCCCTGCTCCCGCTACCTCCCCTGCGCCCCGTGCCTGCTGTCTGACCTCGCCGCGCGGCCCTCAGCGACATGGAGAGGGAGCGAGCGGCCATGCTGGACGCGCTCTCCCGCAAGGGTGTCGTGCTCTGCGAGTGCATGGAGCGGAAGAAGCCGGCCGACGTGTTCGCCATGGCCACGCTGGCCAACGTGCAGGACCTGATGAACTCGGCGCTCGAGTTCGCTGAACCCACCGAGCTCAAGGTACGGATCTGGCGTCCGCGGTGAGCGCGCGATCTCCGCCGAAACAGCCAAGGGCGGCACCGCAGGCCTGTATCAATTCCGGACCAGCAGATGCGCGGTCCTCCATTCCGGAGATGCCCATGAAGCAGCCGTGGAACAAACGTCAACAGCTGTTTATGATAGATGATATAGCTGCCACAGTTTCGAACTCATGTCTTATGCACGTCGTTATGCTTCATTCCAAATATATAAATTCGGAGTGTGTATAGTTAAGTATAATATAATTCAGTAACGTGTAATTAGTAATAAGGCAAGTAGTATAGTAAAGCTTAGTTTTACGGAGGGACTGAGACAGGGTAAGAGTATCACGGATGGAGGAACTGTCCGGAAGTCCGAGCATCGTCCCCGTCTTGTGTGTCCTTCCCGGTTAGCCCAGTGGGCAGAGCACTGGACTCAATAAGAAGACCCTGGTTCGAATGGTGACAGTTCAGAGGAGAGAACTCTGATTGTGGCGCCCACGTGGCTGAAATAGAAATATCACCCAGTGGTCCTCGGGACTCCACGACCCATTCACACCATAAAACCTCCATAGAACACACACATTCAGCCCCTGTGACAATGTGTTTATTCCCAGTGGGGGAGAGGGGGGAGGGGGGGCTGGCCGGTCCTCCGCGTCCAAGGTCACCCGGCGTGGCCATCACCTTCCAGTGGCGGAGGGGGGGGGGGGGGGGGCTGGCCGACCCTCCGCGTCCAAGGTCACCCGGCGTGGCCATCACCTCCCAGCGGCCCGCTCCCCGTGCCATTCTAACACGACCCGACTCCCAAACGCACAGTTGTGACCGTGTTCAGGGAGGGGAAGGGGATGCGACCGAGATAGTCGCGCGGTTCACCTGGCTCGGACCAGCGTCCAGCCGCGTCTGCCGTGTCAGTGACCGCCGGTCGCCGTCCCCAGCTGCTGCCCTTCTCGGTGCGTCACGCGCTGGCCAACAGCCGCTACGGGCTGGCGCTGCGCTACCAGCAGCGCCTCACCGACGACAAGCCCACGGCCGAGAACGAGCAGAAGCTGGTGGACATCTACGAGCGGCTGGGCTGGCGTCATCTGGCGGCCCACCTGCAGCGCAGCCGGGCCGTTCGCTTCCCGGCCGACTACCGGCCCATGTAGTCCGGCTCCCGCCGACGCGGCGGCGCGGCGCCGGCGCTGGCCGCCGCCCGGCCCGGTAAGGGGCTGGGCGGCCGCCGGCCGTGCGGCCGGGGTGGGCGACGTGAACTTATAGGGCATCGTACGGGCCGCAGCGGGCGAGTGGAGAGCGGGGCGGCGTGGGACGCGAGCGCGGCGAGCTAGTAGTCACTAGCGACACTCCTCTGAAGGTGCGGTGGCGCGGGCGGCCGAGGGAAGGCGGTGCGGCGGCTGACTGGCCCGGCCGCCCTGGTACGGGTCGGCACTCTTCCGCGCACGGGCGGCTCAGACCAGGTGGCCCTGGCGGCGATCTGAGCCATGTGTATAGAGATGCAGCGGGAGTGACGATCCGTGGTTTGGAGCGTTTTACTACTTGGGACGGCATGTTGATAGGGGCCGCGCGCTTTTGACGTCGCCCGCCCATCAGAGCGCCGATAGCATCACGGCTTTTCCAGCGGGTCGTTTGACAAATGGCTCATCCAGGGATTGGTGTTCTAGGACCTTGACATCGTGTGCTGGTGTGCTGCCGTGTAGGTTATGTTTTTTTACCATTTTCGGGTATTGATGGCACGAACGGCGGGGTTTTACCTGGCGACATCAGAGAAAAGGACGGATTCAGCTCGTTAATCTTGTCGAAGCCTTTCAACCATAGCATGATGTGAATACAAACGCCGCCGCACTCTGACGATCTGTTCGGTGTTGTACTGAGGTAGTTCTGTTTATACACCCGAATAAAGCCGTCGAACCAGCAACCCGCAGTATTCCGAGACATAGTTTAAGGATATTTAATTTAGATTTTATCTCATCGGTTGTCGCCGCTTGCCGACTCAGTCGATCGATGCACTGTGCGCCTCCCATGTTTCCGTGGGAGACGCGGCTGCGAGGCTCGGGTGGACGGCTTCTCTGTCCGATAATCCCGGACACCGGGAAGCGCACGTTGCAAGGAAGTGCACACGGAATGTCCGGGGTCGAAAAGTGACCAGTAATATGGCCAGCAACACACGATGTGCATGACCACGTTATCTGCTCTAGCAGACAGCTAAAAGGACACCTACCCCTTCGCTTACGGAAACATCGAAAAATCTATTAGAGTTGAAGCGCCACCAATTCAACGACTAACAAGAGACGGGAAGCTGCCCATAAACTGGTAATTCACACAACCGTTGTGGAAAAAGTAGCCAGAGTTCTTGAATGGAAGCGGATGAACTTATTCTTGACACTCCTCAGGGCAACATTTAGGGAGAAGGAAACTTACGAGGCTGCTGCTGAAACCTTCCCTGACTCAGGATACGCAGGTCGAGTCAAAGCCACTGTATTGCCCCCTGTCAAGTCGCTGTATTGCCCCGTCACCGCCGCTTGTACAGGCACGGTTTCAGTTCGATCTCTGGCAAGTCCTTCCTCTTCCCGTTCACGGGAGCGTTCTTCTTCATGCTGAAGAGGTAGAAGTACTCATGCGACAGGTCTTTGCTGATGAAGTGGAAGCCGTACTCCTTCATATCCCGGACGAAGTCGTCCACGGACTCGAACCTGCTCGCAACCTCGGCTATCCGAAGCTGGCCGCTGGAAAAACAACAACAACGTATGGGCTGGGCACTGACCAAGCAGCACCGGCACGTTCCCAAACGGCGTGACAACTAACAATCAAGGAGAATCAATAGCGATACAGGCCGGAGAGCCCTCCATCCAAACGCAGCGCAGCGGTGCTGTACTGGTCACGTCGCTTGGACCAGGGCGTCCATCTGTGCTGGGTTCCGTTCCGACAACAACCTTGCCGCGTCCCGCGTGGTACTTTTTAAAGGCTCGAAACGGCCGTAGCAGCCGGTGAGACTGTCAAAGCCCAATCATCAGGCCGCGCCACTCGGCCACATTTCAATGGCTAAATCTGCCTGTAAGGCTGATCCTGTTGAGCACCAGTCTGCCGACATGCCGTCGGAGCTGCAGCTGTCATTCCCACCCCACTACAGACCGGCGGGAGTCCCTGGGTACCTTCATGTGACCTATGAGTGGATGTGGTTAGTTCGAGACGGCTCGGGGTTAGGCACGGTGGTAATACCATCGAGCCACACCATTCGCCGTGCTTTATTCGCTGCACGCTTCACCGAAGTGCGCCTGCTTGGGCTTAACACCGATGCAATCCGGCGGAGGCTAGGCTCACAGAACGAAGTCACCACCAGGTGTCAGGATAAACAGTCTGAAAGGCAACGGGACGTCCAAACAGACTGCTACCCGGCACACGACTCACCCCGTCTCTGGTTTCCGTCCGGACACGGTCGTACCACCAGCGCGTCCCCCCGCCGAGTGTGCGTCCGGCCCCTTCACACCCGCCGCGAACCCTGACCTATCCTGCTGCCCTCCTTCCCACTCACCCCATCTTTAGCAGGCGGTTGGCTTCGGCCACGAAGTCGCCCAGGTTGGTGCCCATCAGCGCCAGACACAGCACCACCACGTTGGCGGTGCCGTCCGCCAGGGGCACGTGCGCCATGTCGCACGGCGTCACGCGTTCGTTGATGGCCACCAAGTCGAACGAGAGCACGCGTTGGCGGACGGCCGTGGCCAGCCGGGCGTCGCCGCAGCCCAGGTCCACCACCAGGTGGCTGGGAGGCCTGCCGTCACCAGCGGACAGGTGAGCCCAGCCCCGTCACCTGGGGCGCATGGTAGCAGGCCAGAACGGCAACACACACACTCGTGCGGGCGCACCGGCGCCGTTGGTAGCGATGGACAACTTTGACCCGCCTGTGCCACTCTCGCAGTCCAGCAGCGGATGTCCCATATAACCATAGTGCTGGAAGTCCGAAAACGGCTGAGAAGTGCCCGACCACGTGAAATCGTATGGTCACGTCATTTGAAGTCAGTGCCTTGTACAAATGGCACAACAGAAAGCTAAACCCTGAACGCCAAATAGCCAAAGCACCGCTTGCTGCCACTGCGCCTAGCTCACATTTTGTTGACGTTCTGGATGATGAGATCGAGGGGGTTGACGGGCCACTTGGCCACCTGGTTACGGAAGCCCTGGTGATAGGCGTCGAAGGACTCCCGGTCATGCGAGAACATCTGCAACGCTTCGAAGCCAGTCTTGGTGTATAGTTGCTCGTTGAGGTACCTGCAATACGAACCCAGGCCGTCAGGTAGCCAACAACACACGGCCGCCTCGGCATCGCAGTAGCTATTATGGCGTAACTAGCATGTCAAGCGACAGAGGCAATGCCCAATGGATAACACGACTGCAAACAAAACACTGCTTATAAATGTTTAAAGACTACCAAGTATGCACGATAATCGTGCACAGGCAGTTTTCTCCAAACGCCGACAGGAATAAAGGCATGCGCGTGCACGGGGCTCACCTGAACCGCGCCGACTCCAGCTTTGACTCTGAGGTCTCAGCGGCCGCTTCCTCCTCCCGCCTGAGCTTCCTCTTAACCAGTTTCAGCTTGCGCCGCTTCTTTTTGCCACGCGCAGAGGGCGCTGTCGCTGGGGTAGCGCCGTCACCACCGTCGGCGTCGGCAGCAGCGGGTGGCGTCAGAAACGCCAGCCGCTCGCATCGCGGCTTCTTCAGCGGTACAGGTGCCGGCGGCGGCGGGGGCGTCGCCTCTGCCGGCTGGCGGACGGTAGCGGGAGCGGCACTGGCGCCGGCACGCGGCGGCTGAAGCTGGTGTAGCCGGCTGAACACCTCGCCCGCACGCCAGCTCATTTCCCTGCGCACTAGAGATTGGCTGTTGAAGCCTGGAGCTGGCTCCACCTGGGCTGACTTCTGCTTTTTGAGTTTCTTACCTTTCAGCTTTTTTGATACTTTTTCAAGCTGATTCATTTTAAGCTTTGACCCCTTTGAAAACCCTTTCTTTGAGCTTGTCCTTGAGCTTTTTCGCTTGCCCAGTCTTTGATGGTCTGATGCCATTTTTCTTCACTTGTTTTACCTTCATCTGCCACCTGGAAAAGACAAGCCAAATATGCACAAACACAAAATTTAATGTGTGTCATATTAGTCAAGCTACACAATGACAATAAACTTGAAGTTGCTTTTCATGTGATACAGAAGTTATTATTTCTGCAAATTTCAAGGTGTAATATCTTATATGTGGTAAGTCAAGATCAGTTAACTGTATGTCTGTTCCACACATGTTCTGGCATGTACACAACTGTAACCAGGCTTGTTATTTTTAATTAAATGAAACTCCAGCATGTCATAGTTACAGCACATTTAGCCAGGAGGAGTACCTTCTTGACTTCTACAAGGATATACATTAATCATGTAAATATCAGGCACTGGACACAGAGTCATGCTGAGTTTGTAGCCAACAGCCCCCAGAGGTGTTTATGACAAGTCACCTTGACAGAGAGGGGGGCTGGGGGAAATGTCCCCCCCCCCCCTCCCCGATATTTAGAGAGCAGGTGGAGTGCCGCAACTTTGGTTGAGTTATGGTTTTCATAAAGACATCAAGATTATCATCCCTTTTGTTTTTTTGTTTCTTTCTTCCAACTTGTGTTTTTTCACATCCTGTGTTCATCCAAAGTGTAGCTTTTTTGGTGAGATGGAGACAAAATTTTACTTCGTAGTTTGTTGGAGACTGGCTGCTTAATGGCCTCTTTTCAAAATGACCATTGGTATCAATGAATGAACTGTGTGCTGTTTTATTTATATTTAAACTTGTTATGCCAGTACTGCTTCAGTTGTTTGGACTTACTGTCCAGTTTTCAGGTATTTATGGTCTGAAGCCTGTCCCTTCAGACATTTCATTCTTTGACTATTTAGAAACCAAAACCTTCCAGAGGATACTGATTAAAAAAGCATGAGCTCAATGGCCGCTCATAACTCTGCACTCAGTCATAATGACTCAGCATTCACAAAAAGGCCTTAACTTCTGCCAGTCACTTTCAAGTCAGATTTGGCAGCAGCATTGCTGACCATTTGAGTGCACCCCTACCTCCACAATGGGATTTCATGCACAGCCTGTCATTCCATCCAAGCTCCCTGGCCTCTGGGACTCTGAACTGAATGACTGTCATGAGAGCCAGAAGAATGAGCAATATCATTCAATAAGAGCTAAACATGACTTGCCATCTGAAGGTCATACCTTTACATATTTTCAATGATTCATTACCAATGCATACCCATCTGAACTCTGTGACTGAGAAGTGACTGGTCATCCAAGGGCTAGAGGCCTCATGGGCTTTAGCCTCCACCCCACCCCTATCACACTCAATGTCAGTTTTTCATTGCAACACTCATGAGTTTTTTAGATATAATTTGAGATGATCAATCTGATGATCAGGGAAACAATTTTGATGTTAGATCTCATAGACATGACCACAAAAATAATACATGGTGCCAAACAGCTATAATTAGGTAACAAGGTGCGAGGATGGCGACGTGAATATGTATGGTACTCAACTGAATTGCTTACGGTACCATGGTAATCCAAATTTGACAGCCCGTTGATGTGCTAGGTATCGCACCCATTAGCATTTGTGAATCTTTTAACCCGTTTGTGATTTGAGTGTACTGAAAATGAGGATGGCCCTCACTGGTATATCATTCTCCTATCACAAATCATGGTATACCCCTCACAAACGTTTACCGCGCCCCTTGCGACATACCATCTCCAACATGCCCAACCATTCCCAACGACGGGAACAAGACTAAATAATCTGATGAGCCGCTCACATCCATCGACCAAACGTAGGGGCGTGGACAAGATTACCTTGCACTCCCTCCAGACGCTGATATGTACAAGCCCTGCACATGGGCAGTGGCCCTCCCCGTCTGTTCCCACCTAACTGCCTCACATGCCCCGAAATACGCAAGGTTCGGCGATTGATATTCCGCGGGAGGAACTAAACGACTGACAAAATACTTTTGCAACCCCTTACTCTGAGCCTATGAGACTGATCCACAAGAAACCTTCCCCATTCAATGTCACTTGGTCGATAAATTTCGATTCTAGAAGATGGTCACCTTGGGTTGACTCATAAGTCACCAGAAGGCTCAAACCACAAATCCACACCCCAAGGCTATGTGCCTGATCACCACAAAACCTTCATCCGTCAGTGCGACGTGCAGGGGCGGATCTAGAGGGGAGGGGCACAAGGCCGTGTGCCTCCCCCCTTAGGCCCCGAAGGGCCCTGTTCCGTACAAATCTGCCTTTACACGGTTTCCCTTCTTTGTGAAATGTCGGCTTTGCTGTCCCGTCTCTGAGCTTCTGTTTTATCTCCATTTCTCGGTCCCCTGTCGAGTTTCCCTTTAGATTTATGTTTTGTTTAGTTTACTGTCCCTGCGACCCCGGCCCTACGGCCAGCCCGGAAACTGCGCCGCATGTGTCGTGTTCTGTGCGGGGCCGCGCCGCCCGGTAACCGGGCTGTTGTCTCGCGAGCGCCGCCAAGGAGAGGGCGCCCATGTCCTTTTCCTGGCCCGATATTCAAACCTCAAAATATGGCATCAGCCGACGGATGCGTGTTGACGAACAATCGAACGATACCGAACAAAATGGTCCTCCGGGCCGGATCTATTAGTGACTAGTGGTTGGCCTGTGGTGCAAATCCGCTAATTATCCGGTGAGATCGAACCGTGATAGACTGACTCTGTGATTGAACTCTGCGAGCATGAGTGAGAGATCGTTGAGAACGAGGAGCGAAGCTTCGGCCTCATCGAGAACCAGTGAGGCTCGACAAAAGGCGGCACTCGCCAAGCTGCGCCTGTCGCAAGCGCAGCAGGCGAGTCAACTAGAACGGCAGGAGATGGAGCAGCAGCAGGAGCTAGAGAGACAAGTGGAACAGAAAAGGAGGGAACTGGAACAGCGGAAGATGGAGGTGGCAACAGGAAGGAAGCTGCGTACCATCGACTTTCGAAGCCGAACAGTGTGAACTCCAAGCGCGTCTCATCGAGGAGGAAGAAAATGGGGAACTACGCCCGGCGTCCATCCGAGATGCAGCTGAAGCTCTACCGCTAGCGACCGCTGTCAACGCGGAAGGCGCACACAAAAGAAACAACAGCAATGAGCAGGCACGGCCGACTCCAAACGACGCCAGCCGAACGGCACGCTGGGTGAGTGACCAGGCTCTTCACATCGAACATTCCCGTGAGGTGACACACTCGCGCTGCACCTGGATCGATGCCTTGGAAGCTCATGCCCAGAAGACAGGTGATTCAACACCATGGAAAGGAGGTGGTATGCTCCCGTGCCAACTGCCACGGCTGACATTGGAGAAATTCGACGGCGATCCTCTGCACTGGCCTCGATGGATAGCGCTTTTCAAAGCGCTGGTGCATGACCGTCGCGAATTATCTGGTGCAGAGCGCCTGACCCACCATGACCAACATGACCAACATGCCACCTCCAGTCCAGCCTGACGGGACCAGCGCAACATGCTATCGATGGACTCCTGTGAGACGGCAGCCTGTACAGCGAGGCGCTACGAGAACTACAATGCCAGTTTGGAAGCCGGACCACCGTGGTCCAGGCAAGTTTGAGGAGTGTGATGGATCTCCCCGCCCTACGGAACAATGACATTCCAGGACTGACCGAGCTATCGCGAGCCCTCCACTCAACAGTGAACGTGCTGAAGTCACTACACGACGACGCGGACCTAGCTGTATCCACGAACGTGACAGCGATAGTGACACAACTACCAACAGCTCTCGCATGGAAATGGGGAGAGCACCTCCAAAGCATTCAGCATCGAGAACCCACGATGACTGATCTGGACGAATGGATCCGAGTGCAGGTGTCGACGGCGCGTGCCGTGGTCAGCGGAACGGCCGCCCAGACGGACGGCGGACGGGAAACGGGACGCCGTAATTGGGGCCATGAGGCCATCAGATCGGACCGGCCGGCCGGCGTGTCGGCGACGGCCGCGACCCTCCCGCTGGACAAAGCCAAGGACGGGCAGTGCGGTTCCTGTGACGGGGCACATCGAGCTGGGAGCTGTGAAGAATTTGCTCGTTTGTCGGTGGACGTACGTGCGATGGCCGCGATGAAACGGGCCATGTGCTTCCGCTGTCTCGAGCTCAACCATCGTGCCCGGAAATGCGTCTCTGCCCAGAAATGCTCCGTAAACGGCTGCGACAGTCGGAGACATCACCGCCTGCTCCACGGTATGAAGGAAATTCAACACTACGCGAGACAGGGGGACAACTGGCCACCAACAGAAGAACCTCAACTGGTCGGCGTCGCTTCAGTGGGGCGAAAGGACCAGATGCTGCTGCAGATCGTGCCCGTTTGTGTGTACGGACCACGTGGGATGAAGAAGGTGAACGCGCTGCTGGATATGGGGAGTCAGATCTCTCTCATCAAGGAGGACACCGCATCGCACCTGGGACTTGACGGACCCGTCCAGCCGCTGAACATCAGCGCCATTGACAGTAGCCAGACGAGACCCTCACGCCAGGTGGACTTCGAAATTCAGTCACTGTCATCTGAAGACCGATTCAGAGTGACGGCTGCACAAACAACCCTGCTGTTGAACATACCAGGCCAGGCAATCGCCTGCCCGAACGAGAAGTTGAAGTGGCCACATCTTAAAGACCTGAACCTGCAACAAACGGTATCGGATGAGATCGAGGTGCTGCTGGGCACCGACGCGTTCAGTTTGATCGTGCCCAGAGAAGTCCGGGATGGTCCACCGGGCAGTCCGGCCGCAGTTCGAACCCGGCTCAGTTGGGTGGCTTCCAACCGGCTTCCCGGCAGATACAAGCACGACGAAAGGGTTCTGCATGTGAACTTCACTCAAATGGCAGATGAAGACGACATGCATCGGCAAATTCAAAACTTCTGGACAACTGAGTCGTTTGGAACGAAGTATGACGAGCCGCCAAGAAGGTCACGTGACGGCGAACGAACCCTGAAAGTGCTGGATGACAGCATAAAACTGACTGATGGTCGGTATGAAACAAGGGCCATGTGGAAGCGTCCGAACGGCAGGCTGCCAGACAGCCGCCGCGCCGCTCTGATTCGTCTCAGGCACACGGAGAGAAAACTCGAGCGGAAAAAAGAAATGTCACAAATGTACATCGGACGCGTTTTCGATGCGGTCGATCGAGAGAATTGTGCTGCCGAAGTCGGATGAGTGGTGATGCGTTTTGTAGCTACGGCATGACTTGTCCGATATGTCTGTGTTGTTAGCATAGAATTGATCCAAGAACCGTGGATGAATTGTGGTGCGGCTGTGTTCCGTACAAATCTGCCTTTACACAGTTTCCCTTCTTTGTGAAATGTCGACTTTGCTGTCCCGTCTCTGAGCTTCTGTTTTATCTCCATTTCTCGGTCCCCTGCCGAGTTTCCCTTTAGATTTGTTAGTTTACTGTCCCTGCGACCCCGGCCCTACGGCCAGCCCGGGAACTGCGCCACATGTGCCGTGTTCCGTGCGGGGCCGCGCCGCCCGGTAACCGGGCTGTTGTCTCGCGAGCGCCGCCAAGGAGAGGACGCGTACGTCCTCTTCCTGGCCCGATATTCAAACCTCAAAATATAGCATCAGCCGACGGATGTGTGTTGACGAACAACCGAACGATACCGAACAGGGCCCATAAGCTCCGAGGGTCGTATAGCCGGCCAAACAGGTGCAGTTTTTGTAACACAAAACACACCAAAACTGGCCGTCTCTGGACTTCCAGGCAACCAAGAGCAGTTATAAGCACAAGTGAAAGACCTATGAGAAGTTAAAAAATTCAATGATTGGAAAAGCTGTGAACTGGAAATTTTAGATATCATTACACTATCTAGGAACCCCATATTGCTGCCGGGGACCAATATGCCCACTTGCAGGATCATTTCAATTGTTAAGGAGCATTTCACGTTGCCCTTCATTTATTTGCATTTGCTTGGAGGGCCCTGCACTGTTGTTGAGGCCCTTCCTGTTAGCGTGCCGGGACACCCTTGTCAATCAAGGGCCCTCCCACGGATTCTTTCCACTCGCCAGAAAGGTTCTCTAGGCTATAGCAGGGGTCCCATATGTTAACCTGCCGGGGTATTCTCGGTTGCTCAGGGACCCTTTACGTAGGTCTCGGTTAACCTACCGACACACTTGCGATATACTCATGAGCCCTCTGCATTGGTCTAGGGCGTTCCAAATGCTCTGTCGCTTGCTTGGGGCCCTGCACTCTTGTCGGAGGCCCATCTGACGGCCTGCTTGGGCACACTCAGTCGCCCGGGGACCCTCCACACTGGGTCTTGGGTACTTTTTTCTGAATGGGGGCCCTTCGCTCTTGTGGGGGGCCTATCTGATAACCTACTGGGGCGCATTCGATCGTTCGGGAGCCCTCCACATTGGTTCTTGAGCACGTGCTTTTTAAATGGGGCCTTACGCACTTGTCGGGGCCCCCTTTGTTCGCCCGCTCGGCCACACTGGATTGCTAGGGGGGCCCTGCACGTTGGTTCTTGGTGCTTGAATTTAGGGCCCTCTCGTCCTATCGGGATCATTTGATAACCTGTTCCGGCACACTCCATCTTTCGGGGGCCCTTCGCACCAGGTTTTGCGTACTTCTTGTTTGAATAGGAGGGTCGTATGCTCCTGTCAGGCCCCTTCTGATAAGATGCTCGGGCCCATTCGATCGTGGTGGACCTCTACATCGGGTTTTGGGTACTTCCTTCTTGAATGGAGGGCCCTCCGCTCTTTTCAGGGAGCCTATCTGTTAACCTGCTTTGGCGCACCCGATTATTCGGAGCCCTCTTCGTCGAACCGTGGGTATTTCATATTTGAACAGGAAGGCCGTACGCTCTTGCCGGGGTCCCATATGTTAATCTGCTCGGGCACACTCGAATATCCGGGGGCCCTCCACTT